ATCAATAAAGGCTCTGACCTCAGCTGTCAACCAACTAAACTCTGCTTATAAGGGGACACTCTGCATCCCAATTGGCCTGAAAACAGGTATCAGACAATGTTTTTTTCATTTTCTTTTGCTTTGTCTGAACGGTTTAGGGTGAACTTAACAGATTCTTGTTTTGGAAATTATGTGAGCTTGTCCACAGCTGCACAGCAATGACACTCGGGAAATGTTAAAATAAAAAATAAAAAAAACACACCGCGTTCAGTTGCTTTTTTATTATCCCTCTCGGACAGCAGGAGTCACCTTTGAATACATGAAAATACGGCATCTCCATTGAAGACAGAAAGAAATTTACAAAATGTTCCTCTCCGTCTTAACAAAATACACAAAGATACCTTCACTGTCCTCAAGCCAAGTAGGCCAGAGAATTTTATGTAATAGCTCAATGACTAAAAATACACAAGCAAACTGTCAGCGGCTAATCATGCCTGATTTATTTCAGGATGGTGCTGATGAGATAATTTTGTGCTCCTGTGTCTTGGCCTCCAGCGCTCTCATCACCCCTTTGATGCTAACAGGTCAACATTTGGAAAGAGGATGGGGTTTTGTGGCTTTTTTCTTATTTTTTTGCATCATTAAACTGTCTTTCTTCTCTCAGGCCATAAATGAATTTTTGGTGGTGTCAGGCAGCATATAGCTTTTCATTTTTGGAAGATAACCAACATGTTTTCAAGAACCGCGGTACAGTTGTGACACACGAAACACAGCATGTAAAGCTTAAAATAAGGCGACAAATGGAATATTGTAATGGCACATGCATTCAGTGCTTCAACATGCAGCGGAACGAGCTCTGGAGCTTTTTGAATAATGCAAACCATTAATCCTCTTGAGGGTTTGTCCCTGCTTGGTGAACCATTCACCAGTTGTTTTCATTCATAAAACTCCTAAAAGTGCAAAGCGGCTTAAAGACTTTATTTATATCTCATTCATTCTGTTATATGGCAGACTGTCTTTCATAATGAAAACAGATGATAATGATCAAGTGCTATTGCCTGGATTTCAAGAATGGCTCTCGTGCTCCTTTCTATTATGAAAACAACTGTCCAAGAATATCTGTGTTTTGCATTTTAACCCTGTATCAGGATTTCACTCATTTAATTGTTGGAGTAGATTCAAATACGGTAGCTGTGGGAGATGATTTATGGACACATGACAGAGAAAGACAGGGACAGAAATGCACCAATAGATCATCCGCATCAGAAATGAAGACAAAACTTTTTTTTCGTTGTATTTAACATTTATTTTGCCAGAAAATATCTATAACTCTTCTGCTGTAAATGGTCACCATTATGGCGGCGAGGACTAAACCAAACATGAATCTCACATTTTGACAACATTGTACAGAAAATGATCTAACAGGGTAAATCCAGGATGCATGGTACTAAATGCTACTAAAAGACCATGCATATTCTGATGATTATCCACGTGGCTCAGGATCTAATACCTGTTCGAATTAGGACAATATAATTGATAAGGCTTCACTTTAAAGTTTAAAATTGGATGTTTATATCTCTGATTTGATAACTGCAGCGATTAATTTAAACATCCTTGAAAACCCAAGTAACGCAGTTGGATTTCCAAGCAACATAAATATCCCTTTTGAATGGATTATTGTGAAAAACCTTTTTTCACCTTTCATTTTTACAAACTCAAGACTATAAGATAGCAAGCTGAATAGGATATTTTTTGGAGAAAACAGTCACATATGTTGTTACTTTAGCAGCAAGTGGCACCTGCATCCCTTCTCCACCATTCTACATCATATTAGCTACACAGAAAGCCTAGACAGGATTCAATCAGTCGCATAACGTCAGTCAACCTACAAAGACCTATATCTCTTATTTTTGGGGGACACTCTGGAAAAAAGACGCCTGAATTTCTCAGGGTGAAACTAACTTTTTTTTCTTCAAAGAAATCCAAACTTGCAGAGGTTTGCACTTGAAAAGAGTAATGTGTTATGAAAAGAATGTTTCTGGGTCTTATGCCCTAAGCACATTTAGAAGCGGTGGAGATGCAGGAAGTGGGAATGCCTTTGCTTTATGCTCTCAGCACATAGAGAACTTTATCTGGCCTGTGCTGTGTATCCTCTCTTATAAAAAGAAGGACCATGGAAAAGTAATCCTGTTTGGCTGAATTCACCCCGGATCACAAGTCAGCAGGAAATGACACCAGCAGCCTGCTAACAAGTAGACTATCTTTAAATTGGGCGATTTTAGATGATATATGTCCACGTCACTGAGGACCTTATAGCCTTCACTAAATCACAGCCGGGACTTTGGGCCACTAATTGCGCTTTTCCTCCTCACATCTCCAAACAAGGCATCACTTGTGACCTTATCTCTGCGCCTATCAGAGTTTTAGCATTCACATGGCAAGCATGGTGATGAATGTAATTACTAGAGCCCAAAATGATAATACTGTCGTCTTTGAGCAAACTAGTAGCCCGTCAACTGTTGTAGCACCCCATCCACTTTCCTCCAAATTAGAGGAGAGAATAAAAATAGAGTCATTACAGACCTGGGACTATAGGAGAAACCCATGGGCAACAGAGAAGGCGATGTGGTCATCAATAATTCAGGAGATTTAAATTATCACGAAAACAAGTTCAGCAGTCCTATTATAAAGTTTATCACAGCCCAGAACTCTAATATTATGCGAAAGCTTTACAGAAGCCACAGCACTGAAACATACAAAAGAGAATTTGTCCAAAAGGAATTTGATACATTGCTTGACTCTTTAAATAATGCAATCTTGTGTGAAAATCTTTTTCCCACACAGGCTTTGTAACTACATGTTAAATGTTTTCAACAGGCAGTGATTTCCACAGATACATTATTCTGAGAACTTGTTAAATAATTTACCTTTCCTGCTTTCATATGCAGCACAGACAAGGGAACGATTCTGAAACATTGTCTGTTAAGTTTTCAAACCGTTCAATAATAAAATGAAGGAAGAGAAACACAATTGAACTATGCATGTCCCTGCCGGTGGGCATTTTACGTTTAAAGGGTGGAAATTAAACTGGGGGTACCCAGTGGCTTTTCTTGAGCCTACAGTAAAATCCTTTTTCATCTGTGTGTTTTGGCAACTGCTATTTCCAACGTCAAAACTGATCTGTCATCGACAAAGAGTCCTCAAAAAGCTTCAAGGTGAGAAATAGAGTCGTTATGTAAGAGCACAACCTTAATTGAGAATAAAGCCAGATTTGCACATGGGTGTAGATGTTTATGTGTGCTTGTATCTGAGTATTATAACAGGTAACTGGGCCTAATGCTTTCTTAATGTTGATGTTTATGTTTATTTTTTGGTTCTGTTTCTGATCCTAAGTGGGACTCCGGCTTCCTCCCACCATCCAAAAACAAATGCTTGTTAATTGAACACTCTCAATTGCCCCTAGGAGTAATTGTGAGTGCGTGTGTTTGTTTGTCTCTGTGTGGCCCGTAATGGCCTGGTGACTTGTATAGGATGTAGCCTGCCTCTCGCCCACTGTCAACTGGGATAGGCTCTTTTAAAGGCCTCCCATAAAGGCAAAAAATAATAAAATCACCAATCTAAAAACCTTCCGTTTTCATTGATTATTCAGCTTTAATGTGCTGAACAGATAACCCCACTGTCTACATCTTGTTATTGATGTGATTGTTGGCCTTTTCAAATAAATATATTATCATTCAATAATATAAGGAATTAACGTGACTTCCCACTCTCCAGATGATTTCCAATCATAATTCTCCAGCAACTTATACTTACTGGTGGAAGTGTTTCATTAGGTGTAAAATTGTTATCCGCCACAGAGTGCAGGATGAGTCATCATCGTTTTTACATTTTTCTCCTCGAAAAGACAAAGTCTAAAAATATAATTCAGTATACTGTCAAAACTACTTTTTCTCATTCAAGGGTCAAATTCAAGATGGTGTGGACAACAGCAACCACTTTTAAATAATGCCTCATTAGGTAATTATATGAAGCACTTGTCTGTGTCTGCCCATCATTATGGTCACCTCAGCAGGGCGCTAAGAAACTTTCGGTTTATAACTGTGTAGCTTGTAACCTTGGTGAGATGGATTCTCCTCTGACTGAGTCGCAAACAGTCTGGTGAGAATTCACATGGATCACAGAGTTACGTTTGCACTGACATTTTGTCTGTGTTCACCTAAAATTTCCCTTTCACACGAACGTCCAAAGGCACAATTTACATCCCAACAAAACTGGAGGTTACTGGACTGGTTTCTCATCTTACAAAAGTAAGCTGTGAAACTGGCCCAATGACAATCTGCGTGTTAACGTTAATGGAGGCCTTGGAAGAATCTAAAATGACATTGACACAGATGGCAACATTAATATCATCTTGTTTCCAGTTGGCCTCAGTAATAGGGGCAAAGACCTTTATCTTTTCTCCTATAAACAAACCTCATTACATTAATGTAACGTTTCCAAGCCTGTCTACTTGAGTTACATTAACACACATTTCTATCACACGTGCCAGCTGCACGTCATCATATAGCCGACGTAATACTGCATGCATGTGCTCCTCCCTGCATAAACTCAGAAGCTCCCTCTTTTTAAAATAATCCTTTATGACAATTCTATTTTCTATTCTGATGTCTTTACACTTCTAACTCATATCTATGTTGACCACATTTTCTTTCTTTTGTGGTTTATGTATAGTGGATGCACTTATGTGAGCTTAGATTCTTTAAAAAAAAAATCACCGAGTTTATTTGTAGTCGTTAGATGTTTAAGCTTTTATTATTTGTTTAGCATCTTTCTTTGGTCTCGCATCGCCGTAAAACGCATTCAGCTTTGTCAGCACACGCTCAGTCGTCAGACAATACCGCCTCCTTGTGGCCATAAGCAGTAATACATGTCTCCGCCGGCCATGACCCGGATGTAGATTCCTGTGTTTTTCTTTTTTTCTCTCTCTCCGGTTCACACGTGGGGCTGTAGTACCGTCCAACATGGCAGCGTGCAGTGTGGAGGAGTTGTTAGCTAAAGCCGAGAAAGAGGAGGCTGAGAAACTGAAAAGTATCTCTGTCCAGAAAGAGCTGGACCTGGAATTTGACATCGGGAACCTGCTCGCTTGTGACAAAAACCGCATCGAGTCCCGGGACTTCAGAGAAAAGAAGAAGGAGGACTTCCTTCGGTCGTTAGCGCGTGACAACACGCAGCTTCTCATCAATGAAATATGGAAGCTGCCCACTGAGAGGGTAGAAGAGGCGATAGTAGCCAAACTGCCGGAGCCCACGACCCGGCTGCCAAGAGAGAAGCCTCCCCCGAAGCCCAAACCTCCAACTAAGTGGGAGCAGTTCGCCAAGCTGAAGGGCATCCAGAAGAAGAAGAAGACCAATCTGGTATGGGATGAAACGGCCAAGGAGTGGAGGAGGCGCTGGGGCTATAAGAGGGCCAACGATGAAACCAAGGACTGGCTGATCGAGGTGCCGGAAACCACAGACCCAAATGAGGACCAGTTTGCCAAACGCATCAAAGCCAAGAAGGAGAGGGTGGCCAAAAACGAGTTCAACCGGCTGAAAAACATCGCCAGAGGACAGAAGGTCAAAGTCCCCGGCGTGGGTCTGCTCCCCAAAGCCCAGCAGTCCAGAGACGAGCTGGCCAAAGCTGTGAGCGTGGCCAAAAGCTCCACGGCGTCCGTGGGGAGGTTCCAGGACCGCCTGCCCAAAGAGAAGCCCCCCAAGAACACGGGCAAGAAGAGGAAGTTCGAGCCGCTCATCGGCGACTTTTCCAACGAGAAACAGAGGCAGCTGGAGCTTCTGAGAGTCCTGGACAGCAAGAAGCCCAAGCTGGACATCACGAAGGCCGTGAACACGCAGATGAGGGAGGAGGACCGAGAGGAGGCTGCGGCCAAACGGAAGAAGGGAGCAGGGAAGAAGGGGCGGAAGGCCAACACGGGAGGGAAGGGCGGAGGGAAGGCCGGAGGCAAAGGGAAAGGGGGGAAGGCAAAGGGGGGGAAAGCGGGAGGAGGAAAAGCCGGGGGAGGAAAGAGGAAAGGCAAACCTGGGAAGCGCTGAGGGGCCTGACTCCTCTACACGTGTGTGTGTGTGCCTTGCTGTGGGCGTTGATCTGGACTTTCGGACGCCCTGTGAACTGATCATTTAATAGTGACTGACTGGCAGATGGGGTGGTGGGAACCCAGGACCCCTGCGGCCCCCCCGGCCCCGCATGTGAATGAGCTGAACTGTGAAATGACCCGAGTGTCCAACAACGCTGAGAAAAAAAAACTGCGTTTCACATTCATATCAGACACGTGGGGGGAAATAAACAGGAACACACTCAAATGGCAGATACTGATGAACATTCATCAATTATTAAAAAGAGGAATTGGTCGCCATTTTGAGGTTTTTGCTCTCTTTTTTGGTCAGTTTAAGAAAAGTTTGATGTAAAATGATTATCAAAGCTGCGGCCGCTTTTATTGCTTTTCTGTCTCTCCTGTCTAGTTGAATAAACTATTCTACCATTTGACCATTTGTAGACTAAATGATAAATATTGAAGCTGGTTATGCACATATGTCACGTGTCCTTATGTCACTAATCAATAAATTGTATTTGCAATTTGTATGGAGCTGGTGGTGGCATTCGAAAGAAACTGCATTTTTAAGCTTCTATATAAAAAATTTAACAATTTCTTGTCTTCTTATCTGATTCTACTCAAACAAAAATAAAAAAACATTTGGGTGACATGCATCATGTTTAAGTCTGAGAATGTTGGCACTTATTGACATTATTTTATGTTTTCTTTTAGAAAAAAAAAGAATGTGATTAATTTTGAAAAATAGATTTGGAAATAGTTTCTGATTAACTTTTCAGATCAATAAAATCTCTAAGATTTTATTAATAAACCGTATAGGTTTTACTGATCTTCTACAAACATTTGACTGGGCATTCCCACACTCTTATAGAAGATAAATTGATAGGGAGTTATAGTGTCACCAGCAATAAATTCTAACATCTTAGAATAAAGATACAGATATGGTAAAGGCTGAGTAATCAAAACAGTTTCACACATTTTATGTCAAATCATTTCATGGTGTGTGATACACCCCCTTTGGACTACAGTGTATGTAGCACTGCACACAGTGACTCAAATTAAGTCTCAGTGGAGATTTGTTAGTGGTTGGTCATTGATGTATAACCTTAATTTTTTTGGACCTTACATAACTTCCCAAACTGCTGTGTTAACATTTCCAATTTTAAAACTGAGCTTCTCAGTACTAGCCCCCTTTTTTCTTCCGAGAAGAGAGCAGCAGAGAGATTTTCTAAGAGGCTTAGCCCTGCTGTAGGGTTATATAAAGGTTTTGCTTCACGTCCAAGCTGGAGATAAAACATTAAATTAGAAAGAGTGAGAAGTGGACTAGATAGCTCAGCTAGCAGCATTTGCGGCTTTTGGACAAAACATAAAGTTGTTGTTTTTTTAAACACCTGTTTGTGTTTTAGTTTTCACTTTTGACTCTCACATTCTGCCTGTGCATACAGAGATGCTCTTACAGCCAAAGGGGGTGCTGTAAGTGTTCACAAACCTGTGGCTGCAACAGGCCACGAGGTTAATTGGTTGCGTCATCTATTTACAGGTGTATCTTTTTTCAGATGTCTTGCTCAGTCCACCAAGCTAATTCTGACAGGAACTGTGTTTGTCCTTAACCTGGAAAGTTGAAGACATACGCTTTGGATTAAATCACTGTGTGTGCAGGCATCTCTGATGTGTGCATGCTTATTCGCTTCAAGATATTAATCTGCAGCAGAGTGACTGCCCTTGTGTACTTGATGAATGTGTTTTAATTGCTAACCCAAGCTAACAGCCAAGCCAGCCCAGAGCGGGAGAGGGGAGGTGGTGGAGTTTTAAATCACCATCTGCTGAGCCGTCTCCCGCCACCGACCTAAGCCCATTCATCTTTGTCCCTGCTCACCCAGGCCACTAGAAAGTGGGCCACAGTCAATAACTCTATATCAGTCAAGCCCTCTTGATGAGATAGAATTATGAATAGTCAACCACGTCAGGCAAGCTGTGGCCTCTGGACTTCTCCCGCACAGCGACCAGATGGTCAAACAACAATAGACGCTGGCATGAGGACCCAGGTGGTCAAGCAAGATGCCCCAGTGATTTTTATGTCACTGCTGAGCTAAAATATATGAAACGCATCAGCTAATAGTCAATCTTTATGATAAATAAAAATCAAGTCTGCACAGTTTGTATCCTGAATTAGGCTCTAAGGTTTTGCTGGGAGTGCCTGTGTGTGTCTCATTCACTGTGAGGGACGGGCTGTTGCCGGTGGCTGGCTCCGGTAAGTGCTGCAGTGGATTAGTCAGCTGCATTTATTTAAAGGTAGTGCAGAGACGTTGCAGGAGCAGGAGCAGGAGACAGTCAGAGTACAAGTCAACATGCAGCGCATCTACATGCACAGCAATGAGCACTTTGAAGTTTTCACCACTGTCCTTGCTCCACAAGGTAAGCGGGATCATATCTGCAGTGAAGACTGGGTTGGCATGACATCATTTGTATTGATAGTGACAGGAAAATAAGTCCAAAGCTTTGTTTTCACCCTATATCACCAAACAATGCAGCTGTGGGGATGCTCGTACACATCCAGCGATGTGAAAATTGTGTTATTTACAACTGTAGCCATGGCAGTGTTTAGAACTAACCTGTTTTTTTGCCGATTCATTTTCCCTCTCAATGGTTAACAGGGAGGTGTCGATACAGAGCTGAAGCTGAGAAGGCAAGTTCATTTTTCTATTTAACATAAACAGTCAGCATATAATAGATTTTAAATACATTTAGTCACACACAAAATTTGAGACTTGATAAATGATGATAAATTGAAAAAAAGACATTAAAGTCGTACATATGAAGGAACATTCAGGAGACGAGTGTGACATCAATGTCACATAAAATAATTACATTTCCCACAGATTAATTGGGCATTTTATTAATCTAATTTCTCTGACGAACATGGTCCACATTTAGAGGCAATCTATAATAAAGAACCAGATTTAGAGTTTCTATTTTACTGCACCACAGGTAATCCCTTAGACTTTACAGGTAATCCTTTCCAGTCATAGTCCTACTTTTGGACTGCAAACAAGGACTATGAAGCTAATCGGTGTCAGTTTGACCAAAGAGTACTTTGCATGATTAAAGTTTGTTGAAAACTCCTAAATGAACCTTGGACATTTTAGACACATAGGGTAGATTCAGAAACTGTAACTCTCCCTCTGTCCTTTAGATGGTGGTGGTGCACAGCTACAGGCCTCTCTGGCCCGACGAGCTGGAACTGCACCCGGGTGATGTCATCCTCGTTCTGTCCAAGCATGAGGAGGAGAGGTGGTTTGGGCGGCTGCAGGATGGGCAGCAGGGCTACTTCCCCGCCTCATGTGTGATGGAGCTGAGCCAGGTTGGTTGGCAGCCTGGATGTGCTCAGTGGTGCGGTTTGAGAGGACTGCTTTACTCTGGGTGGGCAGATCCTCTGCACTGCTCCTCCTGCTTGAACACATTACTTTTTCTTGATCGAGTCAAGATGTTGGATATCTAAGTAAAATCAAGTACACTGAAATGGACATTTTTCCGTATTTACAAAATATTTGTTAAAAAGTATCAGGGGGCATCTCACAACCATCTAAAGGTTCAGTTTATTCATGACCTGTTGCTGAAATAGAACACAACTCACAGTGAAAGTGGACTTTAATCTCTTAGTAGAACATCCTGGAGGGTTATATATCTTGCTTTTAGAGTGATCTTGGTTGGTTCACCTCTCCTGAATGTCATACTTAAAACTTTTTGCAAATCTGATCAGTTACTCTCAGGTTCTTTTTAAAGCATTTTCATGAGTTTCTATCAATCGTATCTAGGCAGAATAACATAACATAAAAAAATCTTATTCCCAGCAGAAAAAAGGGAAACTGAATAAACTGTGATCAAAGACAAAGCACAACAGCTCATTTGGAAAAGCATCAGAGGCGGCGTACCAGCTATTTTGGACATCTGTTGTATATTGTTAATTCAAACATTTCATGTTTGTATTTTCAGGCAACTCTGCCGTCTAAGCGCCTTCGAAGGAGTATATCTCTGAGGACCACATCCAGGGACAGTGAAGGCATCAGATGTGGAAAGTAAGTATGTACACAACCAACAACCACAACAAAAATTGCAGGCCCCCACCGCTCTGCAATAAGCCTGAGCATCATGGACACACGCTCAGAATCCGACAGATGTTCCCCACATCCCCCAGCGCCTTGTCCCGTCCCAGTGCTTTCCTCCCCGCGCCCCTGAACAGGTGGCCGCTCTCGTCCCTCATTAGATAACAAAGCGCACTGATTACCAAGCCCCCAAAACACACACATGCGCACACAATTATTTCAAATGCAAGAGATGTGTGAGTGCCATACATATAAATGTTTTACATATTTTACTTTAGAGCCTGTCACAAAATCTGCTCATGCACATACATGAAAAAAAGCAAAACATGTCACACAACCTCTTCATCTCTGTGCCTGTCTTGTCTGCTCGCAGTGGAATTTAGGTCATAAGGAATAAACAGCGCCTTTGTGTTTGTTATTTCCTCTTTGTCCCCCAGTGTACACATTCTGCAGGCACTCAAGAGGGGGAGCAAAGGAGGAGGGGTGGGGCTGGACAGAGGCCAGGTTGAGCCAGAGGGCCCCTTCCCTGAGCGGAGGCCCCAGAGCTCTCCGCCCCATCCTGTGCCCTCCCACCCTCAGATACACAGATCTCCAAGTTTGCTTCACAGGATCTTGTCCAAGTGCCGGAAAAAGAGTGAATGCCAGGGAGCCACCAATGGGGGCTTCGAGGGTGACTAACAAGTCCTTTACTTTATCCTGGGGGGCCGAGCACAGTGCACTGTGTGGGCTGTGTGTTGGAGATGAGGTTGGCGAGCAGATGTGCTTATGAAACATGCAAATATGCATCTTAAATGTCCAGATGTGGCCCTGTACTAGTGCCCCATCAGATGTTCTTCACTTGGCTACACAGACAAGCAGGAAGTAAAATGCTGAGAAAACACAACCCAACTAGTGATGTCGCTGGTTCGCTCGGCCCATTGCGTCTGAGAATGTATGCAGTGATATCACTACTCTGGAAGAACGGTAAAGAGTTGGTCTTTTCTGCCCAGTTTCTCAGCATTGAATCAATTGCCACACTGAAGCTTTTGAGAATATACATTTGCATCATAGTGATGATCAAATGCAGCTTTTTTCTGTTGCGTTGCAGTGATGCGATGCCGTCCCTTTATCATGTCTTTTCTCTGATATATGTATGTAGATGCATAACATGCAAGTCATAATGATGACAGTAAAAACAGTAAAAACCTCTCTGGCTAGCGTCTTTTTATGCGCCTCAGTGTACTCTTCTGGACAGAACACATTTTCTTTGCACACTTTGGGCCCCCCTTCCTATGTAACACTTCTGAAGGATGATTAAAAAACTTGAAAGGAAGCATGATGGAGGCCTGCCCAAGCCTCGCCAGCGGAGCACCAATTGTATCAGTTGTCCTGGCAACATTGGAGCAGCTCTAAGAAGTTGCATTCTTCTTCTGTGGTGCCTCCCTGCATACCGCTGTGGCTGCATCTCTATAGGGTGGGCTGTAGGTTGCCTGCTTCCAGTGGATGCAAACAGCAAAACCTAATCTAACCTTGGCCTTGACATCCACGTGGAAACCCTCCTCCCTCTGCTGTTGGATATTCACTGTTGTATAATCCTTTGTTATGAAGACAGTAGGAGGCAGTCACTCTGGGGCCAGAGTTTTGGAAGCACGTCTTGTACAGGAAAGGGTGTAATTGTTACAAAGGGAGGCAGCTCCTCTGAGAACACTCTGATTCATGAGGAGAATATCTGAGCTAGCCTTTCCGCTGCTGTTACTTAAATTAGACTTGAGACTTTCTCTTTCATGCCTGTTTAGCTTTGAACATTTTACAGCTGAACAAGATTATAATGTCGAACAATGAACATGAAAATTTAACTTTTTCCTTCCTCCATGATGAAATATACTGAATACCTTTTTGAACAGCAGGGGTTGGGAATAAATTGATCCCCTGCTGCCCTTTTTTTAAGCATGATAAAAGCCAGACTGCCACGAGAATCAAAGATATAACTTCAGTTCAAATGAAAGTCTGCTGATAGAGTTGCTAAACATGGCAAATCCAAATAATTGTAAGTCTGACTTGCCTCACAGAGGGTGACACAACACAGTGGAAACAGTGACCTATTTAAGGCGGAAAGGGTTAGGGTCCAATTCTCCCACACACACACACGCATACACACATACTTTTCAGGGCGATGGACTCTCCCGCCTAAAACCTCTTATCCCTGCTGCGATGTGTTGGGTGTTTTCTGTGGGGTGGGGGGAGGTAAGATGGGGGAGGAGGAGGGGGAGGAAGAGGGGTGCCTGCCAGATGACTGTTCCGTCAGCCCTATAATGGGCTGCCATCTGCTGTCTAGCATACACAAAGACAAACAGTGTGTGTGTATGGGAGTTTGTGCTTGGAGAATGAAGTCTGCGTAGAGTTTTTTTTCCATGTGCCTGAGGGCTCTGCTTTATGCCTTTAATGAAGAAAGTTGCAATAAAAATAGTCACGCACACCGTAATTTGTCTAATCCTTTATGAATTAAGGGGCAAGGAAGGAAAGTGCAAGCTCTGCAGTTTTTATAAAAACTCTATTTTGGTGGACAAGCTTCTCCTAGTCGGCATATGTCAAAAACACTTCCCCAAAAGCTACACTGCTGCCATAACACTGAAACGCTGCTGCCAATAACAATTGGCATCTTTCAGCTGTATGGATTGATTTCTTTGGAACAAAAGGCCCTTTGCCCATAAATGAGAGCAAAGGGATGACAGGTTGATTAAGTGGACATGGCGTGCTTGTGGCGCCTGCGTGTTTATGTGTGCATTGTTTGCACGCATGCACGCTGCCGCTCCATCATAAGGCAGGCCGTCACGTTCTTTGCCTCCCTCCATTTGGGGGCAATTGAGTGAATGGGCCTGTAAAACCAACAGCCTAAAGGACAAAAGAGCCCAGGGGCATTAAGTCATGGGTGAGTGGGCCCCTTTAGGGCCAACAGCTGACCCTGTGGAGAGGCCTCTTGTTCTGGTGGAGGGGGCTCGTGTCCCCGGACCCTAGGCCAAGTTAGCAGCATGACCGATATATACATTCATGTATGACAGTGGGAATAAACTCAAAGTCTTCGATCAGACCTCAGATCAAGCACTCACCTGCTGGACCGTCCACTCCAGTATCAGAGAAGCAACACAGTGCAATTAAAGATGGATCTCCATTTCCATTTTCCGCCGTGAAACCAACACTCAGTGAAATCGGCTTTTTGGCCAGAACTCAGGATGTTGCCATACCCGCTGTGAACATGTCCGAAAAACTAAAGATCATCAGAAATCTTTATTGTGTGCGAAACGCTACTACAAATTCGTACAGGGAGACTTGGCAGAGGAGGAAAGATGTGGGACAATGCACACATTCAACACAGGAATGTCAAAATGGAAAACAAAATCTTGCAACAGATGCATTTATTTTTTTGCAAATTAAGTACATGGTTACAAAGACAGCTGGCAGGACTCTTGGTACCTTGGTTATGACATCATCTAAAAATGGTATATTAAACAGCACAATGGTTAAATCTGTGAATCACCTTGTAAATGAAAGCAAAGTCCAGCATCTTGTGTATTGCTCATGCATAACTACAGTAGTATATGACAGCTGCTACTATCCTGTATATGTACTTAACTCCCTCAAAACCTATGATGTTACATGGCCAAGTGTTGTTAACATTCAACATCTTTTTTTACTGAATGGAATGTACAAACCCAACTCAAACCAACAAACAGAACATACAACACAAATATGTACAGATTAGACGCACCTCAGCCATCAGATTCAAATACAAATGATATCTATTGACGTTAATCAGCTGTCTGTACTAAATATTCCTGATCTTTCCCCTTGATTTCCTTGGCAAGATTCCCTTCTTATTATTCTCACTCAAAGGCTTAATGGTGGATAATCCAAATTGTAGCTAAAACTGGATCCACTATTGCAGATAATACGTGATAAGTGTTTATAGCTGTAGTGTGGATTATAAAAGATTAATTTCAGAACAGTAAAAAAGTGTCACAAATCAGCCTGTTAACATGGAAGACAGAGTGCAATAAATTTCCTTTTCAGTCCAACCCAAATTGACAGGAATTTACATTGTACTGTATGCATTTTGCTGCAATGTGGAGCCAAATACTGAGCGATTCAAGTCTTTTTCTAGGGACTGTCAGCAGGATATGAAGAGATGCCGGCTGATATCTGTGTTTTTACCCAGTGCCACCTGTCGGTTATTGCAAGGTTTTTATGAAGTGTATTTTAAATACACACTAATGCAGCAGAGCAAGAGGCTCTTGTGTGTCTAAAGAAAACAAAAAAAACAAGCAGCACAGTCTTCAAATCAACACTCAAACTTAAACACACTCATCCACAAAACGCTACATTATGAGAACGAACAAAGAAACTTTAAATTCAAATGAGTAAAAAGTGCAATTTGTCTATGATTAGAGGTCAGAGATGGAGTCTTGCTACCTAATAGCGAAGGATGCATTTGAATTAGACGAAGCAAAACAAATCTATATGTTACAAAATCACACAAAAAACTACAAAATGATTATTTGTCTGAGCGGGATGTGAAATAAAAATGAAAAATTAGTGGCAGTGCATGTTCGTTTATTGTGGCAAAATCAAACTAATCGGTTGACCAATCCTCAATGAGGGAGAAAGAGACAATAAAATTCTTCAATAATTTCTCTTAAAGGTTTTCTTTTTAAAGAAATAAATAAATTAGTAGACATTAAATAAATAAAACCTACAGCCTTCATGTAAAACTACACGGTTTTCAACCAAATGCAGATGTCTGTGATATGAGAACTAATCAGTGTCGACTGCGACACTAAAACATTTGGCCAAAGTTATGGTGGCTATTCGTTTGGACTCCTTTAGAGAGATAGCTTTAAAGTTGTTTTTTAGCAAAGTTAAAAAAAAAGAGAAAAAAAAGTCATGGTGTCCGATTTATATTAATATCTGAGCTTTAAAACTGTCAGAAAATAAATAAAACAAACAAACATTAATGTACCCTTCCATGTTTGAGGTTCTTTCACATGAACATTGCAATGAAATACATTCAACTGATGTCTCTGTGGACTCCATGGCCTTGGAAAGGAAACGCTGTGTTGTGAGACAGATACCATCAAGAATGCTATCCAGTTTGCCCTTAAAAACACTGCTCCTTTCTCAGCAGCACGACAACAACAACAAAAGAAACTCAGTAGTGCAATACTGACAGCGTCTTTTTTCCATCCTCAAAACTTCACATCACCTTGGAAACTTCTCAGCAACACTTATAAAAACCCACGAAGCTGCGAGTTGACTCAACAATTTATAAAAAATAGTAAACATTACGGTCTGTACTGGACGAGATTTCTTTTAAAAACCCATGGCTTCATTCTAAAGTACACGGGTGTAGTAGAAAAATGCTACAAATGTGACAGGTGAGGTCTTTTAAACTCTAACAACAGTGATAGGGCGGTTCAGTAGAGGAAGCTGGTAGAGTTCCACAATGACTAGTGTCTTTTTAAACGATATGGTAATGATTTAGCCGTCCGAGGTGATACACACTGCTTGCGTGGCCTGCGTGTGTATAAGCTGATGATTGGTTCTTATAATGATCCACTAATGCTAAAAATGCCTTTCTGTGCACACGTCCGTCCTAGGCAGTTTTGCTTCAGTTTCAAAAGATTGACTGGATTGTCTCTTACGGGACTCAGTGGAGGTTGTAGTTGTTGGACAGATGTAGTGCTTCTTGTTTAGCAGGGGGTGGCTTCAAAGCACGAGAGCCCTGGAGGTAGAGCTGGATGACGTGTAGGGATTCAGGTACTGACGAGCCTGTTCAGTCATGATCAGCTGGTCCTCAGTCTTCCCATAAACCACTGCTTCCCACTCACTCACCTGCAGAAAAAAGGGATCAGAGGCTATGGCTAAGACTCCAGAAAGCTGCCATCAGACAAAACAGCATATGGGATGTAAGAGAATGCAGGTTTGGTTTGGTTAACACACCTGTCCGGTCGCGGGTTTTGGTGTTTTGTGACAGGAATTAAACCTCTTCACGTGGGGGCTTGGGTAGAGCTGAGGATGAAGATGGACTCCTAATGAGGACTCCTCTTTGTCAGAAGTCACAGGCTGGCTACCCTCCTCTGTCACAGTGACTGGAGTGACCAGTGAAGAGCTTAAAAGTAGACTCTCCTCTGACACCTGTGACATGACATTAAGTGACTGATGCAAACTATGACAAAGTAGTATTTTTACTCAAACACTTCTCAAGTATGAAGTTTACAAACTTGGAAAGTTTAAAGCAAATATTTGACGTGCAGATGTGACTTTAGACTTTGGAGTTATGTTGGCTTTTAAACACAGAAAAACATCTGGCTTGTTAAAGTCTTTGGTTTTCTTCGACTTCAATTTGAATTTTGGTTACACCTCACAGTTTTAACGTTAAGCCGCTCTTTGGGTTTATTTTGGAGACGATTCCAGAATCTAAAGCTGTGATTTCCGGTGTTGTCATGGTGACTTACCTGTGCAATGTTGAGCTGCTCTTGAAAAAGTTGGATGTCGAGACTGTCTTTGACCCAGGGGTCCAGCACAAGGGACTTGCGCACTCTTTTAGCTGGTCCATCCATCTGAATTTAGAAGAGTGAGGTTTGGCTAAATCTAATTTGAATAATGTAGAACTTTAATAGAACAGACCCCCCCCCTCCCCCATAACACCAAGGAATTGTTCTTGTGTTCTTGAGTGCTACGTACATGATGTTTCCATGCTCTGTGTTCTGGCTGGAAATCTGCTTTGTTGAAGATGTCTGTTCCAGTCTCCTTCTTCAGAACTTCTCGAATGTCCTCTTCTAGAAACGCCAACGGCTGTGGCTGCAAATCAATGCAGGATGACTGTAAATGCAAGCTCAAACAGAACTAAACTCAGCTTCTCACAAATACTCTACCTCCATCTTTAATGGCCCGTGCATTTTCTCCTGGGCAGCCAAAGCATTTTTGAAGGGAGTTGGTGTCCTCGGGGTTGGAGCTGGGCCATTTTTTGGGAATTTAGGGGTCCTGGAACTACATGATTAACATTAGTACTTTCTTCACAAAAGGACACTTTTACTTGATTTTCCAAGTGAATTTTTTACCCATCGTTTTCTTTCTGGAGCTTAGGTGTGGTTTCCTTGTGAATGGGCGTGTTGAGGAGGCACCTCTGAGAGCACACAGGAGTCGAGGTGAGGGCAGGATCGTCCAGATTCAGATGCTCTGTCGCAGATATGTTACAGAACTGGAAAAAGGAGCAGATTTGTTATACCAAGGAATTAAATTCCTCAGTTGAAGGTTTCTGAAGAAGACTAGGAAAACAGGTGTTATTTACCCGTGACGGCGTGAATGGCTGGGACTTTGTTGGTGTTTTCTTGGGAGAGTTGGAGATATTTTCCAAGAAGGAGGAGCAAGTCCTGTCGGACAACGGTTCTCCCCTCTCCCTTCTCCTCTTCCTTTCTGTGGACGCCGGGTCGTTTTTGGATGAGTTGATGGGTGTCAAGGAGCTGAGACCTCCCAAAACAAATGGAGCAGGGCTCCTGTCATGGCCTGACATGGCAGTGGGGGTGCTGGCCGCGTAGCCCATTGGGTTGTAGACGGTCTTCTCCTGAAGCAGAGTGGTGAAGCCTGCTTGGTTGTGCCTGGGCAGCGTTGCCGTCTCTGACATGTCAAAGCTGGCTGTATCGCCCCATGCAGCGGGGTCCTGCAGGGCAAAGGACATCTGCAGTAGATGTTTAATACATTCATGATTTGGATCGACTCTTTCAAAACTGTTATGCTCTCATTTGTTACCCACTGAGTCAATGAGCTCCATGGTTTCTGCAAACTCTGGCATGGTCTGCAGGCTGGAGAGCACAGTGTTGGCCTCTGTGGCCAGGAATTTGCTGGGAGAGACAGGAAGCTGTGCCCTCCAGGGCCCTCGCTCTGCACGCTCCTTCAGACTACTGCTGCTTGTGTTCCCCGTGTCATCCGACACACTGTCTGACCAGGCCGTGTACGGCTCCACGCTCTGAGGGGCAGCAGACGGGACACTGGTGTTAGACGGCGCCCGCTGTTGATGGCGGACGTGGAGTAAAATCAATCTTCCATTCATTTTTCTAACTATCTCTGGCTGGTTTGCAAATGGTCCAGTGGTGAGGTCACTGAAGAATGGGGTAATAAACGAGTGCGGTGAATGAAGTAAGAAAAGGGTGTCAGTGAGGCTGAAGGCAGGGTTACAACCAAGCTGCACGATGAATGAGGGTATGCTCGAGGGATGAAGACTGGAGAGGATAAGGGGAGAGCAGGATGAGGGGTGACTACTACGCACAGCTTCAGGCTAGTCTGAGTAAGTAGCGAGACATGGAAAGAAGTTACTATTGCAAGAGCACAGCAAATGAAGCCGCAAGTAGGCGTCTCTGTGAGCAATTCTTGACTTCATGTGTATACACTGCAAAAAGTTCATAGTGTTGTCGTATTTTTCGTTTTTTTCCAGCACATAAACTGAACTTCTGTGGTGATTTTACTTATCTATGTGACTTTTATTTCCACCAATTAACATATTTTAGAGGGAAATGAGCCTTTTTCCAGTGTATGTAAGCTACAAACTCACACAGCCTCTGCTGATATACTATTCTAACACACATTCAGAGTGTGTTCTTACACGTGAACCTCTGCACTGCACATGTCGTTGGACTTCACTCTCTGCTGACATAAGCAGCAGCTCAAGCTCCTTAATTCTTTGCTCTCTGTCAGGATCATCCAGGCACGATGGCTGGAATAAACAACGTCCGAGAGGGAAGAGGTCGAGAAAAACACAAGGAATAGTAAAAGGAGAGATAAGAAAATCAGAAAAAGGAGACGAAAAACACAACAAATTTACAAAAATTTACGATTTAATGTTAGGTGAAAATAACAGGACAGTCAAGTATTTGATTTGCTTGATTTGTTAGCAATCACACATATAAATGAGGAAGGTTTTGGAAATACAGAAAGTAGAAAGTTATTCTTACTAGCATGCAGAAATGCAAATGCAAATACTCACCAATGGGAAGCTTGAGTTTTCTGGGAGATTGTCCATCATGTGCGCACTGTGAGGATCGTATGGATAACCAGCCATCTACCAGACGGGTCATCACACAGGTAAATATCAAGGACGTGTAAATAAACGATTCAGAACACATTTTGAAAAAGCGGACCCAAAAGCTGACCTGGTTGGGTCCCGCCACAGGCAGAGGACTGCGGTCGCGGCGCTGCGGCTCTGTGGACGATGTGGGACAGGTTTTGTTGTGACGCCTCTTCACACTAGCAGAGGAAGAAAAATTCTTGCAGCCGTCCTGCAGGTAACCCTCGTGCTCCACCTTTCTCCTCATGGTGGAATTCCAGTGGTTCTTGATGGAGTTGTCTGTCCTGTCGGGGTGAGGTGGAGGGGATCATTTTAGACACACTTCTGGCTGCACTGCTCCAAATGTTCATGGTGTGACGTCACAATACCGTCCAGGGAGAAGCTTAGAGATCTCTGCCCAGCGGTTGCCGAGGCGCTTGTGCGCTTCGTAGATGATCCGATCCTCTTCCTGGGTCCATGAAGACTTCTTCACCTCGGGGTTCAGGTGGTTGTGCCATCGTTCACGGCACTGCTTTCCAATCCTTCCCTGGAGGTGCTTTGCTATCACTGACCAGCGCTTGGGGCCATACTTGTGGACCAAGTCGATCACCTGTTCAGACACCAGTTTGGGGCATTTTGACTGCTGAAATGTTTTCTTTTTTTTGTAAACATTGAGTCAATTTAATGCACAAACTCCTGCATTTCCACAAATTCTCAATAATTCATTTTATGAGAAGATGGAGTAAAGATCTATGTATTGGATGAAAATGTACTAAGCTGAAGAGTGGAAACAGTGTTCATAGAGGCTGGTGTGTGGCCGCAGCAGAGCCTTTTTGGCCGTTTGTGTCGGAGCAGAAAAATGTTCTGATCTCATTCTTGGCAAGCTTGGCTACTATTGGTAGTTTTCTTCTTTTCTTTCTCTGTAAGAATGTCAACGTTCTGAGGTAATGAGACACAATTCCTGCCATTCCCCAGGAATACTGATCCATTTAAGGAATGCAAAACTCATCTGGGAGTTAAGGAAGATGTTAGAGTCTCACACGGACTGAAGCAGGACTGCAAATCAGGGCTGCATTAAATACTGATTTGGAAAGTGCGCTAAGGAGGGAAGAGAGCTGTCCACAGTGTGAACAGCCCTCTTCCCTCCTTAGCTCTGTCTCCCCTATCAGTTTCCATTTTTTTCTTCCTTCTTTCAGTCCAGAACAGAGACCCCTCAGCTCCTCTTACCTTCTGATCCTCTTCTTTTGTCCAGGGTCCTTTCACCAGCTCGGGATTGAGCACCTTCTGCCAGCGGTGCTGACACTGACCATCTGTCCTCCCCTGCGACGGAGACACAAAATGCAACACCTCATTACACCACACTGCCACACTGACTCCTGACAGCTTTAAATAAGTCACTTTCTAGTTACAGCACTTCCAACAGGAACAAGCTTGCCCAGTAGGGGAACTATGTGAGACGATAAGTAGGAGAAACAATTGATTTTGATGAAAAGGTATGCAGGTACTTACTGGAAAAAGGTTAGCGATTAATTTCCAGGATTCGGTTCCATGCTGTTCAACAAGTTTTTTCAGCTTTTCATCCTTATGAAATGAGAGGGCATGAAGGCGGAAGAAAATGGAGCCAGTGAGAACCTAATGCTTCTTTGGATAACATTTCTAAAAATTCATTTTTTTAATTGCACAAATTACTATAAGAAGCCTGATAAGTAAAGCCATTACTTATTTCATATAAGCTAAAGCAGTTTTCAAAATGGATCAATACAATGTACGACATAATATCTCGGTTTCAGTCTCAAGTAAAAAAAACAAAAGTCTCAGTCCAAACCTCACATGCACCCTTAATGAATTTACCTCATCTCGTGACCACTTTACTTTGCACAGGGTCTTTTTATCTTTGCCTTTCTCTTTACTTTCTGGATCTGTGGAGTGAAGTTCTTCATCTTCATCGGTGCTACAAATACACAGTGAAAAAGAAATGCACATAGCAAATCAGAAAGAGGTCACATATGAAAATGATATTAAATAGTGACTAAACTAACTACATGCTACCTTGAAAATCCCTGATACTATAAAAGCAGGGCAGAACTAAATGTACTTTTGAGTCTCATAAGACTGCCTTTGTGGGAGCACAGACTTTATTAAAAAGAGGACAAACTGCATTCCCGAGCTGATTTCAGGAGTTGGTGCACTTGTAGACCTTTACAGCTACACCCTTGAGTATACAAAGTCATGGTTTTGCTCAGGTTTTGTATTGGTTTGGCTCTGGTTTTGGATGAAAGGCGTTCCTCAGAGTTGGGACTTGAATATGGCAAGTGTTATGGTCATGAGTGAGGTTTGATTCATTCACTCCGAGCAAAAAGAAGTGTGTGTGGGGACCTATAGCTGAGCAGGAAGGAGGGGTGTAAGGTGACCGGAGGAAAGAGGGATTCTACATCAACAGGCTCTTTCTCTTGCAGAGGTGCACGAGCGCGAGTGTGTGGATGAGGTAGAGGAGGTGGGCTGGGGTGTGGTCAAGGGAATGGCAAAGACCTAACGGTCCAGCTTTTCAAAAAGTTAAACAAGAGCCTAGTTACATAATACCTGAGCATTTAGCAAGTTAATTTTCCCTTATTAACCTCAGAAATGCTGAGAAGAATTAAGAATATAACACTAAAAGAAAACCCGCAACCCTACCACCCTCAGATTTTAGGGTGGTAGGGTGGCGTTGTGAATATGTGGGTCATAAAAAATTAAGATGAAATTGCAAGAGATGTGGTAGATTTGACATATCAGAGGCCTGTCAGGGATTGTGATGGAGATCACACATAATTTGTCTGTAAAAAGTTCTTATAAGACAGACTAAACAACATCATTTTGATCATGGTTATTTTCTAGGGTTTGTAATTGACAAATTTAAACACCTATATCGGCATTAAGTTCTTAGGAAAACTTCAATTGACTTTATTTGCAGGAAGACAGAATACAAAAAAAGATTAAATCTGGAAAAAATGTAGCATGCAAATAGATAAGTGCAGACGTCTTTTTTATCTATTAAGCTTACCAGTTGGTTTTATGACAGTGTTCATTCAAAGCAACCTTATAAGATGAGAAAATAGACTGTTCACTGAAGAACAATCATTTCTTCCATTGTTAGGTGACACATTTTAAATTATTAGAAGAATGCAATTAAGAAATTATGCAGACTTAAATTACAGCAAAAGCTGATTAGTGTATATAATATTGAGTATATAATATTGTATATATGCAATAATATATAGTATTGTATCATTACAGCTAAAGCTGAACTCTGCAGAATGATCAGGCAGGTGCACATGCAATGCCTGGGATAAAAACACATGTTACCACCCCCTGCACACAGGGATGCATAGGAAACATGTATAGCGTCGCTTTCTGAATGAGAACACGGGCACAGAAACAGATGGCAAGCGAGCAGCCTTCTGAAACATGACTCGAACGTTTTCATTACTATTTGCACCTACCTGCGTGATTTCACGTTGTCCATAACAGTCGGTAGGACGGTAGAACCTTTTCAAAGACGAACCTCTGTTAGTCAGCTCTCTAAAATTGCTCATCAACAAGTGTCTATCCATAGAAATTGTTAGACATTAGCCGGTTTCTTCCAAGAGGCGGTCGCACCTGACTGGTAGTGTTTGGCTAGCCAGCAAGCTAACTTAGACAGTCCTAACATTCCACTTTCTGGGCAAAAGCCCTTTTCTCTACCGATGACATCTTTCTAATTCATCTGTGACTACCCTCCTCTGATACGTGTTTCCTCAAATGCTGTGCTGCAGTATATGAAGTCCGTAATGAAAGGACGGTTCGCGTATTTCTTTAGATAATTCCCGTAAGTCTTATGTCTATGATATTCTTGTCCTTCTGCGCGTATATATCGCGTTATGATTTTTGTCCATCCCGCCGATTCTCGCGCCCAACCCTCAGCGCGGGCGGCCTTGCCTCTGATTGGTCAGAAAGAGGACTGGGTAAATAGGAGCCAGTACTCGAAACTGATAGGTCAGAACTCAGGAGGAGGTTGCAACTCACTGGTTGAGCCACTTCCAGCTTTGCTTTCATTGGCGCAAAATTTAAAGTAGGCGGTTCTTGAAAGAGACAACTTTACTGTCACCTGCAATTGAAAGGATCTTTTCACTAAGACCGTGGAGGCTCATAGTGGGGTACGGGAACCTTCGGGGCCCCCACGGGGGTTTCAGGCAATAATGCGTTTTTACAAGTTTAGGAGAATTTGCAAGAGAGTGTATCATCTCAAACAAATTTGTGTTATACTTGTGCACATACATTTTCATTATACGTGATTTTTCATGGGATGTACATTATAAAATATAACAAGTTTATATTGCAGTGAAGTGTATGTCACATTGGAGTATGACCTAGTTGATTGTCATTAGGGGGGGCACTATAAGCGGCAGGTCCCCCTATTGCTATTGTGCATAATTACAGTTACTAAAACAATTATTGATTTATTCTTAGCGTTATAATACATGCAACTGGTGATATAATACACGATCGTGATCCAGTACACATAAAAACCATTACATAAACCATTACATAATGTTTGTGATTCGTTTGATTACATTTTGTTTCATTTCATTTTGCTGGAGTTTTACATTAAATAAAAATAAGAAACAGCAGAAATAAAGTGCAGAATTCCTTCCACTGAGGCCAACCGGAAACATTGTAGCAGTGTTTTGCTGCCACCCTGTGGACAAAAGCTGTACGCGGCTCTTGGTGTCTCTTTTTTAACCTCTGAAATGTAAATATTTTGTTTAAAAAAATTCCTCGCTTTGGAAATATACAACTTCAATAGTATTCAGTGTTCAGATCTTAACACTTAGCTATACGCTTTATTCACAATCATTAATGACACATTTAAAAAAAAAACATATTTTCGGCTACGTTAATTAATGCAAGATTACACAATTGAATGTACACATCTCTGTATTTATTAATTCATTTACTTTGATGTTTATCCTCTGTGATAGATTTGAATATGAGCATTTTACCAGTAGGAGACACTGTTTTACCTTTTGATTTCTCTGCGTTGTCATTCCAAGGTGTGAAAATGCTAAGCAAGCCATAACATGACCCGAAATGGCTTCCCGTGACTGTAAAAACAAAAGTAACAGTTATTTCTTAGTACATTGAGTAATCGCAGAAAAAACATGATGTTGTCATATCAAATTAATATGTATCAGAAAGTGAAGCCACTATAGTGCTATGACTGCTGCTTTTCTTGTTAAAGTGAATCTGTCATTATCAAATAAAATTGTCCAGGGTCAGATATAGAATGACTAAAGATGCTTCTAGTTTAATTTTTTGGGGTACCCAGGTTTTACAATAGCTTTAAGCCAAAAGGCCTTGATTACCTACGATGGATTAAAGTTTTAGTGATTCAATATATCTCAAGTCTGTCTGTGAAAATCTAAATACTGAAAAACAATATGACTTCATATTGTGACCTTTATACAGGATGTGCAGTTTTACTTTAACTTGGCTGCCAGACAATTGTTCTCAGATATATTAACTATTAGATTTTGTTTTTGATAATACTTATTGAGACAAAGGGCTTGATTATGATCGTAAACATAATGTGTTGCATACTTTGTCACTTCTGTTGATTTCCATCCAAGAGACAGTTATTAGTAATGTAAAATAATACTTCAAATGGAAAGATACAGCCTTTTTATTATTAATCCACGAATTGGCAGAAAGTTTACATTGTCTGTAATGCTGTAGCTTGTTTTTAGAAAAATCCTTGTAGTCAGCATGGGTACGCTGGTTAGTGGATGATGAAACTTAGTGTTCTCGTATTTTGAAGGGCACCTACCGGAAGTCCAGCGGTACATTCTATTTCACTTGGCAGCGTTCGTGTCTGTGCGGGTCCCGTGACAAATTTCATTGGAACTTTCTACGTCCAGGAAAGGCTGATGTTTCCTGCTACTCACATTCGTCTGGCGCTCAATTGCGGCGACAAAATACACATCTAGGTCCAGATTTGGGGAGCTGTGGTCCCAACTCCAGCGGTAAAATGTTAGCTGTGCCGGCAGTCTAAATGCTGCTGAGCGGAACATTCCTACTGGAAGGGCGAAAGTGGATGAAGACACCATCAAAATACTGTAAGGTACGTGATGTTCACGTTCAACAGGTACCTTGTTCTGATTTTGCTAACGTGCCGCTGACTCGCTGTTTCGAACAGAAAGCCTCCAGTGTCATGCTGACTTTAATAATGTTAGTTGTTGGTCATGTTACAGCCGTAAGTTCCACATAATACACAGCGGCGACTCTTACTATTCGAAGATTGCGGAGAAGAGTATTTTTATTTGACCTGAAATAACCGTTGACACGCACTAAAGTTAGCATTTTTTCTGTTTAGCATTCAGAAGGCGCTTTGCATTATTTACTATTTATGTCGTATTTTAGTGTCTTGTTAGCGCGTTAAAGCTCTCCTTTCGTGCCTGTGTTGTGTTGTGTGTGTACGTGTGTGTGTGAGTGTGTGTGTATGGGTGGTCAGCTCCTCCCTCCTCTGGATAATTTTTTTCCTCCTCTACTTTTCGGCTGGATAATCTTGGTCCTTTCCTGTAATACACGTGATACGTGTTTAGATTTAAAAGTGTAGTGTGTCCCAGTCCCCGCGCAGCTGCAGCTGGAAGCCATTCCCAGCGGCTCTGCCACGGAGAGATTAGAGGAGCTGAGGCCTTTCAAATGTCATCATCAAGGGAAATGCAACACACATGCCCATCGTAGTGTTCTGACCGATTCTCTGTGGCAAACAAAACAAAGTGAGTCACGGTGAGCCTTCTCCCTGGATGCCAGAGGGCCTGATCCCACTGGTCTGACATCTCAGGCATGTGGTCAGATTGATGACATCCTGATAATCTGACACTTGATAAGAAACATGAAGGGCTTTGTACGTGTTTTGTTTTTGTTGTTTCCCCATATTGGCAAATCGGGGTGCCATTTGAACCGCTCCAGAAGAAATATAGATATTAGTAAAAGCCTCACCACTGTGAATCAAGTGACATTTATGGTAGAGAAACTATCCATCCTTTCATCCATTTTCTGGCAAAATTACCTAATTCAAGGCTCTGGGTTGTTGAAAAAAAAATCTCCCTATCAGGTCTAACAACTCTCCTGCAACAGAAACTAAGAATGAAATAAATCTGTTTTAGAAATTGATGCATTTGTAGTGTTTGATATATATATTTTAAATACAGTCAGTCACCAGAGAGGGCTGTGGAGGTTAAAAACACTGACTGCCCTCATGTGCTGGAAAGTTGCTCCTCTTCAGCATCCTTCATTCTGTGAACTCATATTCTGCATCTTTTTCATACACAAACTGATTTTGGACGTGTTTCTTAAAGTAAGTTGGTGCGATGGCCAATAGTGTCTCTTCTATCATAGCATTGGATTTCTGAAGGTTATATTTCTCACTGATTATTCCTTTCTTTTGTTAAGTGCCTTTGTTTGTACTGAAAGGTGGCCATGAATAAAGTGCATTATTATTGTTGTATTTCTAATTTGGGTGGTACGGTGGTGTGGTGTCTAGCACCATTACATCACAGCACCCGGGGGAACCAGGACCTTTCACTGTGGAGTTTGCATGTTCTCCCTATGTCTGTGTGGGTTCTCTCCAGGTTCTCCGGCTTCCTCCCACCATCCAAAAACCTGCATGTTAGGTTGATTGGACATTCCAAATTGCCCTTAGGTGTATGTGTGCGTAGTTGTTTGTCCTGGTATGTCTCTGTGTCACCCTGCGATGGACTTGCGGACTGTCCAGGTTGTACCCTGCCTCTCGCTCATCAACTACTGGGTTAGACTCCAGTCCCCCCGCGACCCCGTTTGGGAAGAAGCGGTTCAGAAAATGGATGGATGGATGGATATTTCTAAATCGTGTGTAAAGTATAAGTTTGGGTTAAGGATAGACTGTAGACTGCATGTATCCGGGTTGACTCAAGTTCATGCCAGTCAAGCTGCCCCAGCTGCACTAACCAAACCAGAGATCTGTCTGCTGCATTTTAAGTAGATGCTCCTGTTTGAGAATAGTATTGATAGCCACTCAGATTTCCACTTTAGATATACACAAAATGGGTAATCTTCCTTAGAATAGATTATTGGAACTTTGTTTATATATATATATATATATATATATATAAATAAAAATAAAATTTAAATACTGGGTTAGCTTAAAGGCATTATTTTCTGAAATGAGCACAATTCCGTTCCTGCTCTGGATTTCCTCCCCATAAGTTTATGAAGGACCATTAGCTCCTCAAACCTTTCCAGCACTGGTCTGTTTGTATGAAGGCACAAACAAGCTTTCTTGTCATATGTCCCATTCTGGTGCCACTTCTGCTTTGTTTTCTTGCTTAAATTCCTTGACGTGTGTGACATGTCGTCACATGCACAGAAAACAGATAAAGGGACCACATAGGACACACACTGGCACGGATGTGTGTTTGAGCTAAACAGGAAGAAAGCTATTTTGGATCCCTCATCATTGTCCAGCCTGTTTGTGCCTGTCAGCACAAGTTAGCTCTTCTTGTTGTGAAAATGCACCGCATGCTGGACTGAGACTGTGCTACACGGAATGGAGTTAACGCTCTCTGGCTCTTTCTCACACTCATTCTCAATTTCTGTCATTACAACAAACTCGACAGGCTGTGTTTATGGGAGTGGCAAGCTGCGGCATTCCATCTGACTGTTAGAGCAGCAGTGTCAGCTCCAAATGTACGTTACACTAGGTGGTTGAAGGTTATCTCCCTCCCCGAACAAAAATATTTCTGGAATGTCAAAAAGCAAGTCTTACCCAGTGATGTTCAAAGGTATTTAACCATGAAAAACAGGAGCAGATGTGAGACAGCCCCAGGATGTGCCCAGCCATTTTGGTGTGTACCAGCCTCAGTTTTATAAACTCCAGGTTTTAAAACAGAAAAGAACCACCTGAACGGCCAAAGGGCTACGCGGAGTGTAATTTTCAGCATTTTTAAGAGAAAATTGTTTAAATTATTGTGGGCTGCATGGCAGGCACGAGAAGTTGGTACTTTATATGCCTTTAGAATGTTTTCATCAAATGAATGCCAGCTGGATTTTCAAAAGGAAAATCAAACTGTTAACGTTTTATCTGTGTTTTATCCTTGTGGATGGGGGCTGAAAGAGAAACTCAAAGAAAGTTTAACGTGGTAACAATATAAAAGGAAGGGCTATGGATCTGAAGGCCATGAAGGTCTCTCTGTTTGCTGAAAAGCATTTTAAAGAGGGCTTCTCTCTTACCGCTGCCTCACCGCAACGTGAGCAGAATGGCATATCCCTTCAGGATCAATATGCAGACAGAGAAAGTTGACACAATGCAGCTTTTTCATGTGTTCGGAGCAAACAGCAGGGAGATTGTTCAGATAAAAACTGTTAAAAAAACTAGGGTGACCTCACAGACATCAAACAATGGACAAGTCAGAGCACCACACAAAGACCTTTGTTGTAAAACAGACATTACATAACTCAAAGTGAAGGATATGCTTCTTTGTGTACGGTTTTTGTTAGACTCCAATATTAGTGGTAGATATCATGGTTTAAAATCTCCTCCTGATTGAATACAGGACATGTTATCCCACAGCACTGAATGTGGTTGTCCCTGCTCATCACCGTGCGTGGACTCACACTCGGCCTTATACAGTTGTCAGGGGAAAGAGTTGAACCCACCTCAGCAATGAGGTTTATATATGTCTAACCTTTTGAGTGTCTCCAGCTGAGAGTTTGTTTAGAAATACCCTCCTATTGACTGTGGCTAGTGTGAATGTCACAGCCTCTGCATGTTGGAGAGTCGGTGTGTGACTGCGTGAGGCCAGATGTAGGTATACAAAAGAGGGCGCATACCTCATGTCTCTCATGAAATAAGGGTGAACACCAAAGCAAAACTAGGCAATTTAAATGGGCTTTTGTGATATTTAGTTTTATTCGGTGTAAGCGCTGACATGTATGATCAGGGGAAGGAGTGAGTCAACCGTTTGTCCAGTAGGAGGGAGCCTGCCTGCTGTCATGTTGCAGCTCACTGACCCATCTGTCATTAACAGTCCACTCTCAGGACAAGGTTTCCTCCTGGAGTGCGTGTTAATGCTAAAACACTTCGGCTTTTTTATTTTGTTGAAGAGAGCTGACATTTTGTCAGAACGATCATCTGTTCATTTGAATCCTGCACAACAAAAGGACGGGAGGGATCGTTTTTCTGTTATTGAGTAAAAAAAAAAGATTCCTCCCTAAAACATGGCGTGAAACCCTTCAAATCTGTTCTGAGTTTAAACGAAACAATCAGCCTGTAATTGAATGTAAAATATCCTCAATTGAGGCCCCATAAAGAGGAGGAAGTTCAAACCACTTCTCCTCATTCTCATGTGAGCTCACTGGGCAGTAAAATGTGCGAGCATGGAGCCCTCATAGCAAGCATTGGGAACATTGTGAAGGCTGTATTATTTGTTGTTCGCTGGCATAGCTGCCTTACAACCTTACAACCACTAAGCTGTCGCTGGCTTTTAGACTCTTTGGTTTGACAAAGACTGCCAACAGAAAAAGTAACTGCAAAACAGCAGGTATTACAGTGCTTGTTAAATACAGATCATGTTATCGTGGCCATTCCAGCGTAAATTGAACATCTGCGTACAGATGTGCTCAGCTGTCGGGTGTAAGGTTCTGTTCATGTTGTGTTAAAGCACTTTAATAAATGTGTTATACAGATAGATTTGTCTTGCCTTACCTATATCTCGAGAGTTCATGATGTATCCATCTATAACAACAACTACATATCTTATTCACATATTTTATTTTATATATATATATATACAGTATGTTCGGCTCGGAACTATAGTCAGTGCATATAAACAACAACAAGCTATTTAAATTCAGAACAAGACAAATGTTATTTTTCTAGTGTCCATGAAAAGACTGTGCATATCAAATAGTATCATGCATCAGGCTGCAATGTGTGTGATCAGAAAATAGCCAGTTTCACTTCCACAGTGACTAAGTGGGCTTTTCTCTTTTTTTTCTTATGCTGCAGTGAACCAGCATGGAGTTTGGCCGCTCGTCTACTTGAAGCCTTACCCAGGGGAACTCGTTGCATTCTGACTTTGCACCTTTGAATCTCGACAGACCCTAATGATGGAGGAGCAATCCAGGTTCCCCAATGTCAGCATACCCTGCCACAATGAGCAGAGAGACAAAAAGAAGCGCTACACAGTGCGTACATCCATTGACCTTTGATTTACTTTGGTCGTAAAGTTAAATATTTGTCAGAGGTGGTGGTCAATTTATTAAAGTTTAATTTCACTGCTCTGGTAAAAAGATTATATTTCGATTCTATACTCTTTTGTGTTTATTCAGCTCTGGTTGCCTTCTTTCAGGTTTACAAAGTCATGGTATTAGTGGGGCAACAGGAGTGGTTTGTCTTCAGGCGGTATGCAGAGTTCGATAAGCTCTACAACACAGTGAGTGGTGAAGCAACACAATCTTAGTTTGACATACAAACCTTAACACATAACCATATTTCTGTTTCTTATTATTTTTCCCCTGTTTTTGGTCATTTTCTCCATTTTTCTTTTGTCATTTATTACAGTTAAAAAAACAGTTTCCATCGATGAACTTGAAAATACCAGCAAAGAGGATATTTGGAGACAATTTTGACCCAGGTACGTGTTTTCTTTCTTATCTCACTGTGCCAGGTCCCCTAAGGTGGAGGTGGTTATTTTAATCCATATTGACCCACATTGTGTGATTAATATTTATGCTTATATGAATCAATCCAATAGAGTTCATCAAACAAAGGAGAGCAGGGCTGCATGAGTTCATAAAGCGAATTGTTTCACATCAACAGCTTTGCAACCAGTAAGTAGTTTGCATTCTCAGTATACGCATATGAAGGATTTCTGTTTGATTTTTTTCCTAAAACACAAGATAACAAATCTGTTTTTCACATTTGCTTGTTCTAGTCCAGATGTGAGGACTTTTCTACTGATGGACAAAATGCAACACTTTTCAGATGCCTCGGAGGATGAGGATGACAAAGTGAGTAGCTGGTATTCAGTTCTATGACAAAGCTCTGCTGGATGTTTTTTGTTACATCCAAGTCAGACTAAGACCATATAAACATGCATTGTGATGATGTAACCATATTTTAAACGTAATTCAGTTTACTTATTTTGTTTATTTAGGCAATAAGCACCAGTTATATTGGTTACTGATCTTAATGATGTTTCTCTCCTGTCTAACAGAACAGTTCTACCTCCAGAAACATTAACTTGGGTCCCTCTGGAAATCCACAGTATGCTCACTGCTTAAATGAATTGTTGTATAAAGTTGAATTCCATCATGTTGTTTAGCCAGAAACATGTTCACAATGGTAAAATTGAAAAATATATTCTTTCTTACAGGGCCAAGCCTACAGACTTTGATTTCTTAAAAGTCATTGGAAAAGGGAGTTTTGGAAAGGTATGTAGAGAGTTTAATGCCGGAAAATACACTTTCCTCTTCTTTGTCTGGAAACCCAGTTTGTGAATCTGTTCAGACATTGTTGTTACTCAGTTATGTGATGTTGGGGAAACGGCAGGTTTTAGTTCTGCATGCGTTGGCCTTTCCATGTAGGAAGTGAGAACCAGATTGGGAATTGCTATGGTAACAGTGTTGATGCAATGTTTCACATGGCCTTTCTGTCCTTGCTGCACAGGTTTTCCTTGCGAAACGAAAACATGATGGAAAGTATTACGCAGTCAAGGTTTTACAGAAAAAGATCATTCTCAATAGAAAAGAGGTAAAATGTACAGTGAGTCATACTGATGAACATAATACATAATTTGTGTTTTCCTAAACTCCCTCTGAATCATTCCTCCATTCAGCAAAAACACATCATGGCAGAACGCAACGTGCTGCTGAAGAATGTGAAACATCCCTTCCTAGTTGGGCTTCACTATTCTTTCCAGACCACAGACAAGTTATACTTTGTCTTGGATTTCATCAATGGAGGAGAAGTGAGTTGTTTCACTCTTAAAAAAAAAAAAGAAGAAAAAAAAAGGCATGACGCAGAAAGGACTCATGTGTCTCAGCTTCCGAGTGAAGTACCTCAGGTTATAAGTACTTTGTGAGTCTTTAGAGTCTTTTTTTTTTAGCCAACAGCTACAGCTGCATATGTGGGAATCCTGTTAAAAACTACGACATTACTCAGAGAGCAGATTGCCTCTTGAGTGTGACTTCCTCTGTGGGTCAGATGTGATTAGACTTTTTAAAGCTGCTGGGTGTGACTGTATGAGAATGACTAACTACAATCTGTGTCCCAGTCAATCTGCTGCCTCATGGCCTCTTCAACGGAATTACTACAGATTCTCATTTTGTAGAAGTTAAACAGGATTACTGATAACATCTTTAGACCATTCTATCCACAAATTCTTAATCTAATGCATAAATGATCACTGCTGAGACTATTGATAGTAATAACCTATGTAGTTTGTTGAGATAATTTTTTAATGAACTCACTGTGACTTTTTGATTTCAGCTTTTTTTCCATCTTCAAAAAGAACGGACCTTTCCAGAACCCAGAGCAAAGTTCTACATTGCAGAAATGGCAAGTGCGCTGGGATACCTGCATTGTCTCAATATTGTTTACAGGTACGCTGGTTGTTTACTGCATGCAGTGTAATGAATGTTAAGGTGTTAATAAAACCTGCTAAAATGTGTCTTCTCAGAAAATTAGAAATGAAAAATGGATACCATCTAAATTGAAACCATGAAATTTAAGCTAATTTAATTTAATACTTGGTGTGGGTGCCTGTGTGTGTGTGGATTTCATTTAGTGAAATTGTGTTAGATAGGTACAGATTTAAAAACTTTCACTCTCATTCTTTACAGAGACTTGAAGCCAGAAAATATCCTTCTTGATCATGAAGTGAGTATTCATGTTTTACAGTTCAACCCAAAACATACCAGTTTGGCACTGTACAGTTTCCTTAAAGAGGACTTTATGTAAACTGTATATTTGTTGTTGTTTTTTGCTTTGTTTTATTTATATATACATTTGTATGGCAACATTCCAATAACGTAAGACTTATTTGACCAGTTATCACTGTGTATACCGTACAGCACGTTCCATCACATTTATACCACTAGGGTTATTTCCAGCTGCAGAATGCCCGTGATTGGATTAGGCCTGACTTAATGACTGTCCTGCCTAGTCTTGTTGGGAAAGTGAGGCAACTGTGAATGGGACCGACTGAGCTACGTTGCAGCCAACATTCCTAGCAACAATAGAAGCCTCAGTGCCTGAGGATAATGAGCTGCTTGTGTGGCACATGTTATCTAAAAACGTCTGTGTCCCCTCTTTAAAGGGACATATCGTCCTGACTGACTTTGGATTGTGCAAGGAGGGCATTTCCCAGACGGATACCACATCCACATTTTGTGGAACTCCTGAGGTATGGGTACCTCTCTGTATGCAGACTGCTCATTTTGCCTAAGATTTGTCCAAACAAGTTTTGTATTTAGTGTCTGAACTTACTAATCATTGAAAGCGTTGCTGAAAAGGTTTTGTTACTCATTTTTACAGGTTTGATGATAATCTGTGTTGCTATCCTGTGTTAAATCATTTGTAAGGCTTTTAAGCAGAAATATACAATTTATGATCTGATATCATTTCCGACCTTTTTTTAGGTTTAAGGGTCATTTTATTCACACTGTTTGTGTGCTTTTTGTGACTAGTACTTGGCTCCAGAGGTCCTGAGGAAGCAGCCATACGATAATACAGTGGATTGGTGGTGTCTAGGATCAGTGCTGTATGAAATGCTCTTTGGCTTGGTGAGTTTCACTTACTTTTCCTTAAATAACTCAAAATGTAAATCTGTTCTAATGCCTTTGCTCCTTTTTCCATGTCGTAGCCGCCATTCTATAGCAGGGACACACATGAGATGTATGACAACATTCTTCACAAACCCCTGGCGATGCGCCCTGGTGCATCCAGTACAGCCTGGTGTCTCCTCCAAGGCCTGTTGGAGAAAGACGGCACACGCAGGCTGGGTTCCAGAGATGACTTTGTATGTCTCCTTATTTAATGAACCTTCCATTTATTGCATATTTTTTCTGCTTTCAAGCTCCCTCTGGTGGCTAATTTAATTACGCCACATAATTTCCAGTTATGTGTATTTTAAAATGTATTCATTTTCTAATACAATTTACGCCGTATTTAATTTGTCCTTTATTTTTTTAAAGATTGAAATCAGATCACACAGCTTTTTCTCTTCTATCAACTGGGATGATTTGGAACAGAAGAAAATCCCTCCCCCTTTCAAACCCAATGTGGTAAAGTGTTTATCTTTTTATGTGTTTACTAGCAAATTTTTCTTTTTGCTTTTAATTACTTCTGTTAAAAACATATTTTTGCCCCTTTTTTCCTTTCCAAGAACTATAAAGATAATGTTTCATATAGACTTTGGTGTAACTTACAAAAAATCTTTTTTTCTCTTTTATTAATAAAAAAAGCTAAGATGACCGCTGATTTTCTTCCCACCTCCATGTTTTTACAGAGCTCTTTTAGTGATATCTCAAACTTTGATCCTGAGTTCACGGAGGAGATGGTCCCCAATTCTATCTGCTGGGCTCAAGAACATTCCATCGTCAACGCCAGTGTTATGGAGGCCGACGACGCCTTCGTGGGCTTCTCATATGCTCCACCTTCTGATGACTCTTTCCTATGAAATTTTCCCGAAGAGGTCTAAAGATGCCTTAACCATTGTAACATTTTTCAATTAAAGGGAAAGGGTTTTTCGATGGGTTAACTTGTTCTATGAAGCCAAAGCGATCAGCAAAGAAACTGCACTTAAAACAGATTTCAACGGGGCGTTTGTCTTTATATTTTACCTGTTTGTATTTATATAAATATATATATATATAACAGAAGCTATTTTTAGAATTAAGGCCACCTGCTCTTTATTAATGTAATTTCTGAAATGAGCCTTTACAAAGCCTTAAATTTATTCCAGAAATTAAATGTGTCAGCAGTTGTGTAAAAAAACTTGAACAGTTCACTGGACTTAAAAAGGCATTTTGTTTGTCCATGCAGTTACTGTAAAAAGAGACGTGCACCGTTCGTTCTAACAAAGCTGGATGTAGGCATTACTTGAGAGACCACTGCGTAAAATATTTTGGTTTATTGGTCAAAAAAAGACTATACTTATACAATTACTTTCACGATAAATGCTGATTAATTTTCTTTTCTCTTTTTTTTTTACTATTAGGTTATTTTGTGTTTACATGTTGCTTTTCACTTCAATACATTTGTTCATTTTAAATGAAAGATCCACATTTTCTTCAACTGGCAGTAAAGTAGACCTGTACTCCTGCACTAGAATATTAATAATTAAAAAAAAGTCAAAGAAAAAAGGTGGGATGTTGTGTGTTCATTCATTTAATTCATGTACGACACTTCCTCGCAGTCACCATGGCAACATGCTGGACGTTAGCGCGGCAACGCAGAGCTGAAGCTTTAAGCAAGTTTTTTTGTTACAAGCGAAGTCTACTCGTTTAAAAATGTCCGTCGTTTTATCGCTCAAAGAGTCCGTTTTGGTCTATTTAGACAGAGGGGGTGGTCTCAAGAAACTCACCGACGACTGCAATGCTCTGAACGGTACGCAGTTCCAGTTTTTTGTGATTATAAAATGAAACCATTATATAAAAGCGATACTTTGAAATTAGCTTTTGTTTGCTTTATCTTTCCAGACCCACAGCGGACCGAGGCGGTCTACAGGTTCATTATCAGTGTAAACCCCTCAGATTTAATCGAGTTGGACCCTTTGCTGGGTAACTGTGTACTGCACGACCCCCTCAGAGCAACTTTTCTGTTTCAGTCAGTAAGTGAAAACGGACAGCTAACCTAAATGTAATTCTAATTAACTTAACTAATTTGTACTTTTTTTTAAAACATCACTGTTTAGGTTTGCTTCCTGGCAATTAAGACACTTTCACTCACAGAAAAAATACATACACAGAGTCAGGTAAGAATGAATACCTTAACCACCCTGCATAGATGCAGGGTTGTCCGTCTTTGTTATGGTTATTCCCTTTACGTACCTAAATGTGTGGCATGGACAGCTGGACCAGACAAACCTGTGTCATCCGTTATGACTATAACACTATCTCCATTGGTTGTTTTTATCAATTGAGGTGGATGTCGTGCTGCACTTCACACATCTGCCCCCTTTTCCCGAGTACACATTGGACCTTTGTAGTTTTCCTCGTGTGTATGGCACAATGAGGCCCGTCTCCATGCAGGGCTTGGTCATTGCCATGACAAGAGTCACAAAGTACACCCGAGGGGCAAGATATCTGTGTATTAATGACGACTGCCCCTGCTCCACAGGTATAGTACAGAGAAAACATTCTGAATTCACATTTATCTTTCACTTGTCTGGGGCAGTAACAGTAAAGAATACACCCCATGATGAGGTGGGTTTGTACACACGTACTCTTCTATTAAGTAGGACCCACATTTCACTTTATTTTCATGATTCTGGCTCCAGGGTTCCATCACATCCGAGTCCACGCACCTGGTGCCACTGAATCAGCCACTATAAGAAACAACTTCAGCTGCACAATGTGCAGCTCCCAGCTCAAAGAGGACGTAAAGTTGAGAGTGCTAGGAGGTATGCTTACAAGAGACTTTTACAATTAATCCAAGCAAAACCAGACTTTTAAAATGAATGTTGTCGTGTTGGGGAGACAGAGACTATAGCAAGATGTTCATCATGTCAAATAATAGCCAGAAAATGGTAGATAGCAGGAGTATATAAATTCAGCCATAAAAGCTGCTTTTTTTTGGTCTGATGGCTAAATACTACAAAAACTGTATTTCTATTCAATTGTATTTCCAAATTTGTAAAATAAAACATTTGAGAAACTTGAAGACAACATTTGTATTTGGAACTCAGCTTGACTCACATCTACAATGATTGTTTATAGTTTTCCTATTTTCTTAATGAGAGTGTTTTACATATCAGTATTTCACGTGCTCTTTTTGAAAACAGACAAACAGCTGGTCGAACTTGTCCATGTTAAAGCACTGGATGTTCTCAGATGCCGTCAGTATAGCCCACTGAGATACCAATCTGTCACTCTCTTTCTCAGAGGTAAGTCTACAAGGTATATGGGTTATATTTTCCCAACACCCAACTGCCTGATACAGTTGTCAATGGGGGAAATTAGACAATTATAGTGATTTGTTACAACAAGAACCTTAAATGTAGGTATTTTTTCACTGTGAGCCCTCCTTGTAAATTTCTCGTGATCTGGCATAACAAACTAATTTTTGTGTATCTAGGCATCTTAGTCAATAAATGTCTGAAACAACCCGAGTTTCTCTTAAAAAAGAATTCTGCGTTTCTAAACTTTTTTGTTTTGTCATGTTCAGCATTAAGTTACATTTTTCCCTCTTTTTGTTCACAATGGATCTTCTTATAATTGCACGAAGTTGACACTATAGTGTATGACAGCCAAAATGTGCTGTTGAATTGCAGTGATATTTGAGGAAACTGCTCTGCAGCTGACCCCATTTTGTGGGACACTTGACCTTGTCCTCTTGGGTAAAAAAAAAAAAGCAGAATTAGGAAGCTTTGTTTACATTTGCAAACCGATGTCTTTGACACACAAAAGAAAATCCCTGCACAATAGCTGTAGCGTTTCAAAGGGTAAAATTTTGGTATTTGCTTGTAGTCAGATTATCATCCATTCTAAGCAGTTTCAATAGATTACATTTACAGTCACGTCTGTTGAGGGCAGCCATTAATTTTCTGTGGTTTTCTAAATGAGATTCAATTTGCAACACAAACTTAGTTCAGGGGAGTTCAAATAAATAGATTTTGTGCAGACAGCTACATGGAGTGCCTCAAGGTAGGATATTAAGTGTTTCTGTCCCCTCTAATAACATTGTCCCGCCAGTACCCATGAGAGGTTACCAAATGTTTGCACCAGGATTAACATTTTCTGTTGACCCAGTCCTGTGGAGGAACTCAATACAGCAGGTTCCCATTACTAAACATATATGTTAATAAGTGCAAGGAACACTCATTAGCTGGCTGTGTAATTTGCGCACAGTTAACTCTTTGTTCTGAGCGCTTTGCTGTGTTTCTTTTGGCAGAGTTTTAGTGGCGTGCATGTTTCTTCAATAATCTCCAGGCAGCAGGGAACAACGTCTCAGTTGCTTTGTTTCCCCCATTCACACAGATGAGCTGTGTAACTCGATGAAACTCGGCCGACCCTACAGGGTGCTAGGCATTCCTGCACATGTGCACCAGTGGCCCAGTGTTACCTGGAGTATTGAGGCAAACGGCGTCCAGCTTTTGGAACCAAAGTGTAAGGCAGAATTAAATCCTACACACATCAGCACGGTCTGAACTCTGCTTCCAACCTACAGACAAACCAACTGTTGGCAAGATGAAAACACATCTACTGTAAATATTGATTTTTTTCACACAAACAACCCCCAGTAATTAATTTGTTCATTCCTTCTTTTGTTTTGTTTTTTATCAGTCTTGGACTTTATTGTGCAGGAATTTCCATCCACTGTTCTTTCAACAATTTCTTCAGCTCAATGAAGTTAAGAGTGTTTGTTGTGCATTGCTCTTTTAGGGTGCAACCACAGTATTTCAGTCTGCTTTTTCACTGGGTTATTTCAGATACTTGATTCCTGCCCATTTTGTTGTTTGTTGTAGACTGTCTTTTCTTTTCTTTTTGTTGTGTCCCAACCCTGGTGTGAACCTTCAGGGACATCAACTCTAAAATTATTCCAACACTACTTCTGCCCCTTGAATTTTTGACACAAAGTGTTGTTCATTTGTCATCTGATCTCTAAAAATACTGATACAACATTGAATTAAGAGAGGAAGTTCCTCTTTTTAATTGTGAACTTAACACACACACACTTCTGCCTTCAGGTTCCCATAAAGTCAGTCCTAGGTTCCTTGAGCTGTTGAACTGCATGTCTTCCTCTCCCTGGAGGTTCTCCGCCATAGTAACTCACTGCTTTGGTTTGGATGTGGCTCCTTCAGGCTTGTACAATACACTAAAGCTCAGTTTGCTGCTCAGCTTAGTGCAGACTAAAACAGATGCTAATGACACATTTCACAACTTGGATCTCCTTGTTGTCACATCAGACTCACTAATACTTGACAGGTAAGGGAAAGCTTAGATATTTGAATTACAAAATTTGAGTCATATTTTTCATATACAAAGCTATAATGAATTATTCTACTTGTCTCTTTGTGCCAGACTAATGGCATACAGTTTGAGTTTGGCGTGTCGTGGGGTCAGGCATCAGGCCTCAGGAGAAATGTTTGCTTCTCTGTCTCGTGATGAACACGGGACAGGTACTGCTAACATCCATGCTGGTTCTGCTTTGCTTGCCACTGGTGGCATTTGTTTGGTGGGAGATCTCAGTTGTTACAAAAAGGAAAAGTTGGATTACATTCAGTCAGGTATAGTACTGAAGTAGTTTGTTTACACCCTAGGTTTCTGTCATGAAAGTCATTTTTGCAAAAAATTGGGGGGGGGAGTGATCATTTATCCACAATCTTTATTTTCTTCCAGTTCTGGAGAGCCACACAGTGTCTGTGTTCATTCCTGGTAAGAAGTATGGCGAGGATGCTGACCAGCAGCTTTCTCTTCCAGTCGAATGCAGCTTCTGGGCTCTCTCAGATTCCTCTCAGCGCTCTGGGAGGGCAGACTCTGCTGTCCTGGGAACTGCAGTGAGTCCAGTTACAGTAACTTTTGCTAAACATGGAAGAGTAAACATTTGTCCTTGAAACTTAATCTTGTTTGAATCTAATTGCTAAAGAAGTTTGAATAAAAATCAGACTACAGATATCTAATTTTAAGTCTATTATGAACAGGAACTGGGTCCTGTACCACTTCAGCTTGCAGAGGCCTTTGGCCTCATCATTCAGTGTGGAGACCGGGTGGGAGAGCAGGCTGTTCTTGCTCAGACCGTCCACACACTTCAGCGTGCAGTACAACCTGAAAAATACCAGTACTCATCTTGCTGGGAGTTTTCTACTCAAGATTATCAGGAGGTTGACAAAATACTTATGTGGATTTTTTTCTTTCTTTTCTCAAATTAACCACATCTTCCTTTGCAGCTACTAGCACATGCTCAGGATTTAGAAGTGGAGCTTACATCTGATGCAGAGAAATTAATCCATGGTTACTACATGGCAAGCCGCAGAGCTCGTGCACAACCTCAAGGTGTCAAAATGTCGGTGGCCTCCATAAAACTACTGTAAGCTCTCACCGAAAGTCAAAAGGTCACATTGCAACTTTTAAGTGTAATAGCAATGCTTTCCACTAGATGGCAAGCCAACTTAAACCAGGCACCAATATTACTCAACTCAATCTCAACTGTACAAATACCATGTCACTATAGTGACACTTATTTGCAACTAAAAATCTAAAATAAATCAGTTTTTGATAAGGTATAAAATTTGTATTTTAAATTCCAAGCCTGGACCAGCTTTGGTTCATCCACTTTTGCTATATTGTCACAGGATCTCTTTGGCTGAGGCCCACTGCAAGTTGTGTCTCAGAACCAGAGTTTTGGAGGAAGATGCCGTGATCGCTGTACTCCTCTGTGAGAACTCTGTCACCCTCAAACATGGTAGGCTTTTCATCCAATTGAAAGATCATGCAACTTGAGCTAAACACAAATGTTTTACATTTTTGTAATGACCAATTTGATTGTTAAATTCATGTTTTTTTGTTGATGTCACCCCCAAGCATTAAAGCCATGACTCTGCTTCTCTCACATGGGACATTGATCTCCTATAGGAGCATCTGCTCTCGCTATTCCACCTGATGCAGTGTTCCCGTGTGATGTTGGACACGTGGAAGGTTTGCAGAGGAGAGATGCAGCCATGGATGAGCTCCACCAGAGTATCTTACGTTTCATCTATGCCTACGCACCAGGAGCAGATGCATACATTAAAGAGGAGTGAGACCTTCTAGAAGGTTAGGAACCGAAAGGTAGGCTGCACAGAGCGGGATTAACTTCAATCCATCACGAGGCCAGATTAAAAGTCACAGCCTGTAGGACAATAATGGGTGATGGCCCCATTCAAGTTTTATTCATGAAGGATTTTATCAAGTAGGAAATATAAAGCCTGAACGCATTCTGAAATTCACCATCTAAATTTTTTTTTCCAAAAAGAAACAAACTCAAGAATAGGAAGAAGTGTTTTATTACAAAAAAAAAAAATGAATGAAATATGACATGACAACTTCATCTTAAAATCAGTGTAACAGCACCTGTATCACAAGTGGGTTTGGAATTAGTGCTTACCTTTCAAGTGAGATCTGATCATTCAGCTGGCTCCATAACCCTGCCAGTATAAAACATACAGCAACCACTTAGATCAAGGTGAATTACTCATCATTTTTAAATTAATACAATTTCTGCTTCAGTTAGTCACATTTTCATCAACCCATTTTGGTCTGATGGGTAAACGGCAAAAAGTTAACTCATCATTACAAGTGAGATTAGAATGAGCATTTATCAGAAATGCTCAAAACATAAGTTGTCTTACCAGATTAGATGAAGCCTTCACATGTAGAAGAAATTAAAACCACCTATTGTAGAAAAAAAAAAAAAAAAGAAGTTTGTTAAAAAAATATATTTTTTTAAATGAGTGGAACTAACTGTAAAATCAGTTTCACTTGGTAAAGAAACACGTCTAAAACTGAGGTGGCAGCTGGTATTTCAGAACGCACAATCTCACCATCTTATTGTCTGATGGGTAAACGGCAAAATGTGAACTCATCACTATGCCAGCAGCAAACAATGTGGCAGTTCAAACGTGTAGTATAGGTATCAGAAAATTACACAAACCAACTAAACATTTCAATGTATTTTTTCCTGTCTAAAAGCTGATATTTATACCGTTGTCACTCACCTCTTTGGGGCAGTGCTTTTGATGCATTGATGTAATTTGGATCATGGCCACTTGAGATGTGAAGCAGCTGGAGGAGGAATAAAAGGATTTCAATTTATTCTAAAGGCTTCCATGTAAGTTAGATATTTCCATATGGAAAGTTTGTTGGGTGTAGGCTGGCATTTCAGTTAGTCACAGGTTCACCATCTTATTGTCTGATGGGTAAACGGCAAAATGTGAACTCATCACTATTCCAGCTGCAAACAATGTGGCAGTTCAAACGTGTGGATGAGGCATCAGAAAATTACACAAGATACCAAATACAAGACAATAGTCCAATGTATTTTTCCCTGTCTATGGGATAGAATTAAATATTCTTTAAAAGCTTTTATTTTTTCCGTTATCACTCACCTCTTTGGAGCATAGCTTTTGGAGCATTCATATCATTTGGGGCATGGGCACATGAGATGTGAAGCAGCTGGGGGAGGAATAAAGGATTTCAGTTTATTCTAAAGGCTTTTATATAAATAAGATATTTCCAAGTGACAAGTTGTCTAGGCTGGCATTTCAGTTAGTCACAGGTTCACCATCTTATTGTCTGATGGGTAAACGGCAAAATGTGAACTCATCACAACTGCAGCAGTACTCTCGGCTTACATCCAGAACTGGAAAATAAAGCATAACTCACCTTTAAAAAATGACAATATGACAACATTGGATCATTGCAGTTTGGAAGCTGTGAAACACCTGAAATGAGAACAAAAATATCCAATCTTTATTTCTATGACCATGTTCCTCAATACACTATTGACATAAAAAAGTACAACCATCTATGGGATCAATACTGGTTTGTCACTCCTAGTTTTCCACACCTTATAACTAATTGCTTTGGGGAGCTATACATTATTGATTTTGAGCTAGGGTGAATAAAATGTACTGAATGACTAGCCAATATAGCCGGACACGATGACTGATCACTTTAAGGTCAGAGGGTACAGCCTAACACAGCTTGGGAGCATGGCTAACCGCTAGGTCTGAGGACAGGTTCAACAGCAGGTCACAACCTCTGCCATGACCTTACGTTCTCCGTGAGGGTCATGACGACTTTCCCCCTGCGGGTTGCTGGGAGGAGAGAAATTCCCCGACCACCAGCTCCTCTGCTGACCCCTCCCCCTTGGTCAAAAGCAGATATGGACAACCCTGCACAATTCTTGACATCAGGGTCGTTTATCCTCTTATCATTCTACGACATGATGACTTATTGCTGCTTGTTAAGAATATGACAATTCAGCCAAATCCTGTCAGTCTATGGATTAGTCGAGACAATAGGTTCTTGTTCTGGTCAATATAGAAGTTGATAAGCATGACATAGCAAAAGCTCTAGTTTCCTTAAGATCCGCATTTTCTTCGTTTTATAATTTTTTTTAATACAAGAGTTATAACACTATGACCAACCTGCTTGGTAGCGGGCAACTGCAGGCCAGTATCGTGCCCTTACAGTTTAAACCACACTAAGAAGCAAATTAAAGGGAAACAACGGCGATCCCACGTGGCGAGTATGCTAGCTCTATGCTAACTACTCGCTCAAAACCCAGCTCCCGTGTCAGGAAAACAAGATGATCAGTTGTTGCATCCCACACTTCGACACAATACAAGACAGGGCCACACTTGCTTACCTGTAAAGGGGATTGACAACTTTGCTAAATAAGCAGGGCGGGCCACCGTGCAGCACACCGCGGCGGTCTCCACGTAAAGAAATAACTCTTCCGGGTTGTCCTCCTATTTAACCGCGTCAGAGCTGCGCGTTACGACGACTCACGAGCTGCAATTGGAGGGAAGCTTGTAATACGTTCATTTGAACAGCACAAAATTAGGATGTTTTATTTATTTTCTATTACAGCAGCTTATTTCGTCTGTTACTAGCATACAATTGGTGGCAATGCAGGTCAGATGTGTTTTTATCCCACTCCAAAAAACAGACGGAGGGTGACGGGCCCACTGTTGTACGAACTTATCTATCTTCAACTTTCTAGAGGTGTTCAATAACTCACCCTGTCTGAGCCGTGTGTTGCCCTTGACTTCATCAATGGACTATATAAAAACATCATAGCCCATATCCAGACTTTTCCCTTCGAATGCTGCCAGTGAAACTTTACTGATATCATGTTTGACTTTGGTCTCCATTTCATCGTTAATATCTTTAATATCTAGTTTTAAGGTGCCTGAAATTAAATTACATTGTATTTTTGTTTTACTTTTTTTTTTAAATACCTACGTAAATTTTGAAGCCTTCAAAATATTTTCACCTCCTTAATTCATAGAACTCGATCTGTTATATAATTCTGATTCATGCTCTCTCAGCGTGTTGTCATTTTTTTTCAAGCTATTAATATCTTCAGTTTGGGCTTTTAAAAAAACATTTCTAGCAGTTTAATTTCCAATTAATCTGCTCTATTTCCACAGTCTTTCCTCAGTTATGAACTATTACTTCCTATTTATTCATCTCGGAACCACAGCTGAATTTCACGTTATGTTCTAACAGCAGATTGAGGCCCATAAAATAAATAACAATAATTAATAATAACCTTCACGTGGTCTGTTCTGTTAAAACCTTTTGTTTTTGTGTCGCTATTTCTTTTTTTTAACCATTAAGAAAAAAACGTTACACATTATTCCGTTAAAAAAATCGTTGGATATGTTTTTTTTCATTGTCAAGTAATTTATTCACAAACACATTTACAGCCATGCACGTTAAAAGAAGGAACGTGAGATGAAGAGCCCCCATTGTGGACTCTCTGACAGACCACTTCACATGACAGATGTTTAGTTATTCACACATGCATTTAGTGCAAATGTCTCAAGTCAAAGTGCAGCTCAAGCATAGCGGCTCGTCCCCCTGGAATTTCTGCTAATATCATACCTGGGGCATGTGTGGACTGCACAATGCAAACGGGATCAGCCAAAACAACAACAGGGAAACACAATACATGCTCTAAAAAAAGTACAATCAAATTTAGCTCATATATTAATTTACATCGTCTTATTATCGGTACGGCCTTAGAGCGATGCTGTCAGATTTATTTGATTTGTTCGGCAATCTAAAGCTTTTCCTGCATCAGAGCTCGGCCTCATGAAGCGGGACCCGGCTCATACAGATGATGCAGGCTGCTACTGGGAGGTGGAGGGCGAAGGGCCCTGGTTCTCTGCTTCGGAAGGATTGTTCAGGAACTGCCCGGTAGCTCCGACGTACAGTCTGGATCGCATGGGCCATTTCTGTAAAGATACATTTGGTTGTTAACTTTTGACAAAATTCTAAAAGGCCGCCGGGTTTTGAAAATGTGTGATTTATTTGCACCGTCAGCTCGGTTTAAAACATACTCCTTTTTTTTTTTAAAGCACGTTTTCCACCAAATTAATCTAATCAGTTTTACAGCAAATTGATAGAAATAACCGAAAGCAATTATTGTTATGACATATTTCTTAAGCCATGGCTCTGACCTTTACTGGGTGCAGGTATCCTTCCCCCTTCAGGGAGTGTAACGCCTCTGTTTGTTTTGTGCTCTCTCCCTCGTCGGTGCCTTCCTCTTGTAGTGTTCGAGTCAAATGGGCAATATAGGTGGTGGCCAGTATCAACACGTCGAGCTTGGACAGCTTGGTATCTGGCGGCACTGATGGCAAAGTCCTTTGGAGTTCCAGGAAGGCGTTTCTCAGGGTCTGCACCCGGCTCCTCTCCCGGGCAGCGTTGGCCGCCGCCGGCCGGCCCCTCCCGCTCAGCCCGCCGGACTGCAGCACCTTGGTCCGGTTGAACTCGCGGCGATGGCCGTCCGGACTGGGGCTGGAGCTCGGACTGGAAGCTGGACTGTCATCCATCAGTGCCCCGGAGCAATTACCGCCGTCCATTCAGAGCGACTGACCTCCAGCCAAAGGGGTGCACTTAAAAGCCTGAATATTTATAGCAGATCAAATATATCTTTAGAGACTTCCTTTTAAAACAGCCAATTTATCGTCATCAAAATGTGTGGGTTATTTATTATATCGTTCCATTGCATTTAATTAAACTAAGCCTGTTATTAAAATTGTTATCCTGCTTTTATTTATGTTTTTGTGAATTACTCCATTTCTGTGGTCAGCATCTTATTAATTAAAATTGATCCTGTCAGTGCAGCAAGTTAAACCTAAAACAAATTTCAAGTCCACAGCTCATTCACTAGTAAATGACCTTGGAAAGGAAACGGACAGCTGTTTACAGCTGTGCTGACATCCACATTTGGGTGCTCAGAGGCAGACAGATTATAATAAGTCCCTGTGTCTTGTCTGCGTCTGATACGGATTTTACCTCTGGTATTTCTCCCAGGCGCTGTCTTGAAAAACGACATGAAGGCGACCCGAAAACGGCTTGTTTGGGATGGAGAATTGGGCCGTCGGTGTAAGGTCCCAGCTCCTGCAGCGCGTCCTCCCTGCGTCTGTGGAAAAGGCGCACGGCGGCCCCTGTGCGCGCATCCAACCCTCTACCTGTGTGCGTAAAACGTCTCAGGAGCCCTCAATTTATCTGATACTCAAAGTGTTGGACGAGGATTTCACTTTCGACGTAATTAATCACTCGCCCCATAACACTCCCTCACAGCCGGAAGGACCTCTCTTTCCCCAACTTCTTTCAGTGTGAGGGCAGCAGAGGCTCGTTTTCAACGCCAGAGGCGAGACTCTCTTTCGCTCTAACTGATGGCCGTATTCCTCTCTAATTGGCTGAGAACCTGACACTGCAGACCTTTTTTTGTGTGCGCCTATCAAAAAGCTGCAACGGGGGAGAAATGTAGTCAAAAGTACCACAGAAAAAGAAACTAAAGAGCCCATAGCGGTCAGAAATAAAGGCAAGTTAATAGACATTTGTATCAGAGCAGGCTGACAAACTGACACGTGTAAGGCGATACGCAAAAAGGATGACGAATTGCCCGGTTGTGTTGAATTGCAAGCTCAATGGAGCAGCTAATAAATAATCTCCATTCCTGCAATCAACAAGCGGGCATTTGGGAAATTCTTCTGAGGCTCCCAAATTAATCACTCTGATTTTCAGGGCTCCAAACGGAGATGTCGGTGTATTAATGAAAGGAATTATTCATAATATGTAGGCTTACATCCTCAGACTGCTCTCGTAAACATTGTTTTTGTAAGGATGGGGTAACAGTTTTGCTCGGGGCCACTAATTACAAGGTGAAGTTAAAGGAGGTTAAGTAAGCTTATTTCCTTAATTATCCTGAAGTTCCACACCCACGTGGCTTCTAAACTCATTCAAACAGCCAGTAACAATGCTGACAGTAAAAACATCCGCATTGTTCCTGCAGTTTTGCCACTAAAAAACCTGACTCATTTATCACAGTTGTTTGAATAGAAGTACACGCTGGCTTTGGATATTGTGAAGACTTGTAATAATAGGGCAGGGTGATCATTTAGATTGTGCCACTCTGCATCTTGAATTTCACTCGTTTTACTGGACACATTTAGAAGAAAAATGGCACAAATCATGGTAATTGTTGGACGGTTCAATTCCATTTATTTCTACTGAAACTAAAAATCTAAATTAGAGACAAAGCAGCTGTGAAAGTGAGATGAAAATAAAGGTGTTTCAGAAATTGCCGTCTTCAGATTATTCCCAGATGACAAATTCAGTAACAGAACCATGTTCAAATCAAATTATTAGAGAATAAACTGTGTTATTCAATGTGTGTATTTGTAGCTAAAACCACTATATCAAGGTTGCTGCTGTAACCTGTGCAGCTATGGACATCACCGCTGCCAGGTGGATGCCTGTCCTGCTACATATGCACAGAAAACTGATCCACTGCTACAAATGACAGTCACCAGCTTCACTTCTCCCAACTGCGGCTGATTTGGGGTAAGGAAACTTCAGCAGACTTCAGGTTTTTCTTATGCGTTCATGTGACTGCAGATAGACGATGAGACGGAAGGATGAAGGAATCCTTTCATAGGAATCCTCAATTTCTGTGTCCTAAAATATGACAGAGAGATAGAGAGAAAATACTTTTAAACAAAAATGACTGTTATTTCTATAAATCATAAACAAAACATCATCACTATCAGTGATCAAACGGGAATATAAAAGGAAAGAATAAGAAAGTTAGTCAGCAATTAAGCTCTTGTCATTGAGGATTTTTATATTTTATCTTATATCGTAAGTTTAAGTTGTAATTCCACTGCATCTAATATTTATGATACTTACTCATTAACTAAGTAATTAAGATAGAAAATAAATCTGAGCTCAGCTAAACTTTCTTGAATTGGGATACGGGACCTGAGAGACGGCTGCAGTTCCCATCTCTGCATGTCACGGGGGCCGTAGAAGGGACCAGGATGTTGTCCCTGACCCGTGGCAAAGTCATCTGGAAAGTAAACAAAGTCAGAAAGGCATGAGAAATTCAGACGAGCCCCAAAACACACTCACAACAACTGTGAGCCGCAGGACAATCAGAGGCAACTTTATCATAACGTTAGGGAGAATAAATATGGCAAAATCCAACAATGAACAAACCTTAAACATTTGATGTAATCAGCCTCATAGTGGATTCGATAAAACACAGAATATGGTGACTTACTGGTAAAAGGGCAGGCGATGGGTGGCTCACGCAGCAGCCGTTTGTTCTGCCTTTTCTTTTTAGCTTCTTTGGATGCTTTCCAGTTTATAAGGAATTGTCTGGTTAACTCATTAATTTCCCTTCCGTCAAGAATCTCTAAAATTAAATGAATAATTACAACAAACAAAAAAAAATAAATAAAAATTTCCCCCCATGATTAAGTAATTCCTATATATTAACCCAGGAAATAAAGAGAATTTGTGTAGAAGTTTGCTTGTTTTTTAAATTAATGTGAGATTAAATTATTAAGACGTTACCGATGCTTTTGCACACGGGTATCAGGCGGTCTCTATACTTTGGCTTTTTACACACCGGGTTCCCACTCAAATTCATACAGAGCAGCTGAGGCCAGAGGCTGAGCACGTCTTCCAACTCCTGCGACGCACAAAACAGAGAAACGCCAATATTAGTCGGTCACATTTTTAAATACAGTCACCTATATAAATGACAGCACTGTACCACCACGTTTATTCTCAGGCAATAAACAAAAAAAACAAACAACAAACGGTGCCATGAGCAAACATGATGCACATTTACCACTAATCAGTCACACATAAGGAAAGCCTTCAAAGACCTGGTTTAACTGAAGGTTAATGTGAATTACAAGGCCAATAGAAGGCGCATAAACAACACATCAGTCTGTTTTAATAAACAGTGTCGCCGGTGTCATGTAACTACAAGTTTTCTCCTGAGGCCAAGTGAGGCTGGGCTCCTCCAGCGAGTTGCCTGGAGTTGTATGTTTATCTAAAGGCACATTAATCCAAGCCTGGAAATATGAATACTCTCTGGACACGCTCTGATTGTTCATTGCCTTCCTGTCTTGGCCAAAGCGCTTCCACTTTTCCAGCTCGGGCTGCAATCAGTTCAGAGGGGACCCCTGAGCACCACACGCTCCCAGGCTTTGATAAATGATCGTGTCAGGGCCGTCACTCAGAAGGCCCTCACTGAAGAGGAGCCCAGCGCCAAATTGCCCCCCACGCGGGGGCGTGGAGAGCAGCAGGCGCTGGATACTCACTGAGCCTGGCTGGCTCTCCGGCTGGACTAATGATGGGCCAGTTATGAACCTGTATTTGACCAGAGCTTCGATTCCTCTGTCCTCTTTGCCCCGCACACGGATAACAGCCTCGGAAGATGCTGCCCATTTGTCACCCGGGCTGACTGCCTGTCATAATCTATTTTAAAAATCCATAATGTTTCCTATGGATTCCAACCAAATGGTGCAGAAGAAGAAATTGATCCTTAAGAGAGCTGTCTTTGCAGAATCAATAGAGGCAGACGGGTTGTATAAATTATAGGAGATATCTGCTGAAAATGACACATGTGTAACAATTACCTGCATCATCTGTCTGAAAAGAAAATGGCTCCAGTTAAAGAGGGAAGCTGTGGCACAGGACGCAGTTACAAGCTCATTTATACGAGAAGCTATTGAAGCCAGCACATCACTTCAGACGGCAAAGTCTCTGCTTGGACCGCCAGGTTGAATAATCAGAAGTTTGCCAGCTTAAAGCCTATCTCCGCAGCAGATCAGACTTACATTAAGTCATCTCCCGCTGCTTTTAGATATGAACGCTTAGGATTCAAAAGCAGAGGGAAAACCAACCTCCCAAGGAAAGAGGGAAACTTGTGCTTGTTTAAAGCTGTCAGTGAGAAAAGTCCCGGGGGAGTGGCTCGCTGATTTGTTGAATAATTCTGACCCCATGTGCGTCGTGGAGACTGGGAACTTCTGGAAGGATTTGTTGGATTTGGTACTTTACAACCCTTCATAGCGTTTCACAGACCACTGCAGAAATCTACAGAACAAGGTTAACGCTGACCCTGTTGGCCAAAGGATGCCGTGCTGGTTCTAATGCAACGTTTGCTTGGACCTTTAAGTGAATCCAGTGCGATCACTTCCTTCCTCTTTCCTCAGCAGAGGCTTTTCAGTGATACTTAATGAGTCTAATATAACCATATGCTTACCTCAATGCTGTGCAGTTTATTGTTAGTTGCCGAAAAATGCTTCAGTTCCTTCAGCACGGATAGGTCCCTGATGTCATCTATGTTGTTATTATTAATATTCAGGACACAAAGGGATTCCTGAGCAAAGAAATCATATTAATGGAGACAAAGTGGTTCATGTCGCAGACAGTTATGATATGGAGTTGTAAAAATACAATAAAAGACATATGCCATTGCGGTAAAAAAAAAAAGGGTAAAACCCACAGTGAGTAATATTTCTAATTGAAAAATAAAACACATTATAATGAAATTAGGGTACAATTGCATCCAGAAACCATCAACATAATCATATTTGTTAAAGCTTTTTTCTTTATGGGGAAAAGCTGCTCAGAGGAAGCACATTACAGCACAGTTATGTAAGCATTCACATTACTTCAAAAGGATTTTTCCCCCTTATCTTCACTTGTGATCAAGGGTTGTTATGTGTCTAAATGAGTTTTTAAAGACATTTTCTGCACCACTGGGATCACTGCTAAATCATCCCGGTGCTGCTAAATATGTATTTGGGGTTTTAAACACTATAAGGGTACATTTATAAACAGCTGGAACTACTAATTTACACAGCAATTTCTTTAATTTATCCAAATAAACAAGGAGCTGAAGCTTTTGGTGTGTTTACCCTTGGCCAGGCCAGTAAACAAAGTGAACAGACCAAACTGATTTGTTTGACCACAGAACGAAACAGAGGTCTCTTTGACATCATCAAGCACTGCACAATCCTGCTTTTACATGGATCGCACATGTCTGACTACTCTTACACTGGATGTGATTCCCCACTAGTGAATTCCCAGCTATTCACTTATCTTTAATCAAGACAAGAGGAAAAAAAAGCTTTCCTTTGATATTCTGATTACTTAAAAACTCAGCATATAGAAAACGAAGGAGGACCAAATTGCTAAGGTGTGCGTAATGTTATTTTTTTCTCATGCTATTTCTGTACCCAACAGTGTGAAAAAGAGGTCGTACAGCCAGTGAGAGGAGAGTCCTGGAGTCAAAGAGCAACTTCTCCCCTGGCGCCAGCCTCTGATTCTCCAAATGAAGCTCCTTGAGCTCACGGAGCTGCTCCAGACCCTCTACCACTGCGATTTTGTTTCCACCCAGATACCTGCAGAGTAAAAAAAAAACACACACACACACGTTCACATACTATTTAACACAGCACAGAACAGTAATGGCTTAAAATAAACCACTCACAGTTTGGAGAGTTTGGGAAGATTGTAGAGATTATCAATGTGAGTGATGCTGTTCTTCTGCATGTACAGATGCGTGAGGTTGGAGGCAAAGCCAAGGTTGAAAATGTATCTGATCTGATTATCATACAGGTAAAGAACAGCCAGGTTTCTACAGATGGAAATATCCCCCTAAAAGAGAGATCAAAACAAAAAAGGCTATCTTAAAAGGAGCATTTAAAAACAAACTGAAATAGAGTACAAGTGACTATGCAGGCTACTCACAATGTCCTCAATATTCCTGCTGGAAAGGTGCAGGTGGGTGAGGGTCTGCAGATATTCTGGGAAAGAGAGGCCCGTTTTCTTCCTCAAGTGCCTTCTAGATTTAGCTATCAGATCCACGGTCAGATGCACCATGTTGGCCCGTCACAGACTGCCTAAGAGAGACGAGCATTCAGCAAACGCAGCGTCTGCTCATGAGAAAAATGCTGATGTTGCTTCAAATTACCTTGAACAACTATATATTTATAAGATCATATCTCTTTTAGAATAAAAGAAGACAGACAGTACTTTGGCGCATTATTCGTAATTTTACATTCTTTTTGGGGAAAATAAACCCTAAAAACCTCCAAAAAGGCCAAAGGTTTGACCACACAGTTTGTGTTGTAATTAGAGCGATCACTTCTTCATGCAGTCTGAGCTTCCTTTACTTCTATTCATTTCCCAAGGGGGCTTTTATAGGGAGCTTGGCCAGACAAGTATGAAATTTTGCACTTTGATTGCTTATACAAAAATTTTGACAAATAGACTTTATCATACATCACCTCTGCACCTGGCAAATAAACAACTGTCAGGGTGTGCAGCCACAGACAGGTTACTGAGCACGAGTTTTTAAGCCCAAATTCAAGAGCTTTTATAGATGTCTTAAATAAAAAATAAGAGACGTAAAAGAGACAAACTAAAAAAAAGAAAGTTAAAGACACTAAAAAGAGACCCAATAGAAGACCAAGAATTTGCTGAAAGTAAAAGAGTGACAGCAGGCCTTTTCCACACTTGATCTTATGCTATCAGGCAGAGGTTATAGAAGAGAAGAGACACTGATCGATCATCTGGAGCAGAACTATGGACAGAAGCAGTAGACTAACTGAATTATTACACCTCGGGGACTTTGGTTTCCAGGGACATGGAGAAAGTAGTTTATCACTGTCAAATAAGGTGCGACACTCTAAAGCGTCCGGCTGCAGCACTCTACGTGAAGGCTGGAAATTACATATCGAAGTTAATACAGAGAGCCAGAGGAAGGTGTCAATGGCGTTCACGACTGAAAAAAGAAGAAATTGATAGAAACATAAATAAATATACCGAAGAGTTTAATAAAAAGGCGTGAACCACCTGACCTGTCTGCCGCAACGCTAGTAGAGTTCCTCTGGGAAAAAGTTAGTTTACACGGCTGTAAGAAGTAGAATATTTCTTCATACCTTTAGTCGTCACGAGGCAGTTTTAGGAAACCAACAAACTGCAACGTCTCAAAGAAGTTGGTAATCCAATCGTGAGCAGGGCGGTTTTGTTTGCGATTGTAGTGAGGTCACCATGGAAACTATGGAGGTTGCGCGCTGGACATTGAATGGTAAGGGTCACCGAATTTGGTGAAACCCTGGCAAAAAGGTGGTTATATCTCATGGAAAAACACTTCCAAAGCCAACATTATTTATCACAAAAAGCAGCAGAACAGACGTAATTTATTTGTACAAAGCTAAAGGAAAATGTACTGCTTTAATTAATCAATAGTGTGTGTGTATGTATGTCTTTAATCGATTAATACTTCCTAACCTTCCACATAATTGTAACTGTCTTTCGAAACGTACCAAATCCTGAACCCACCACATCCAGTGACCCCTGCATTGTTTACCTATATTGTGTCATGAGCTGAGTTTCCTGTGAGGTACTGCTTTGCCTTTACTTATGCAGGCGCATATGGCACAGAGGAAGTGCAGTACCCCCATATTTTTCTTCTGAGTATAACTTTCACGCGTTGCACCATACATTTGGGTTTAATGCCTGACAAATTAAGCCTCCCTAAATTTAAGATGGTTCATTTGAGCTGAACTATAGCGCGTGTGTGTGTCGATAATTCGGTGATAGTTATTAATCAGTCTGATAAATCTACCACTCTCAGCAATCAAGGCCAAATCTCCCGTGTATTCCCTTGAAGCAAAGGGGACAAACTCTGGAGCTGAATCTGATAAATGTTATTTGAAAATGGTTTAAAAATAGGTGTACTGGATTTTTGGCTGCCCACAATTTGACTTGATCTGAATTTGCATATATTCTCTTATTACAGCTTCAGTCATGCATACAAATACCCATCTGGCGATAATCACAGTATTTACACATCCAACGAGTTCAACATGTTTCACCGACTGAAAAATCTCCATGGAAGACCAAACATTAGGTGAAAGTATTTTAGACATGCATATTTTAAATACTTCCTCAGCACTGACAGTCATCCATGTAATATATTTAAATATTTGGCAAAAACATTAACTATTCAGCAGACTGTGCAAAAACCTTATTCAACAATTTTTAAGATTCCTAAATTTCACTAAAAAAACTAATACGTTTCTTTTTCCCACTGCTATAATGAAAAGCCTACAATTTTAAGACAAGGTTTAAATAATGGTTAAAGAAAAATCATTATAAGAAGTGGTGCCAAAGCTTGTGCTTGTGAGAAAAAACAGGCACCTCCTCAGTCCCATTGGGATTATCTCCTCTGCAATACATGACAGTAAAAATATACATGAAGCCATTACAATACCATAAAAACAAGACATGACACAAACCCTGGCCAAAGCAGCTGTCAGTTGAAAAAAAAAGACAGACTTGGTGAAGGTCTGTTCGGATGGAGAGCAGATATGTGGGCTGAATAGACTCCTGTGTGTGCGGCCTCTGTCTCTGTGCTGCGTCACTGCCACACCACAACCTGCCGAGCTGCGCACCCTGCCAGAGTCTGTGCCACCAAGAGCAGAACTGTGCAGGGAGCGACTCCGCAGAGACATCCCACACGAGGCAGTTGATTCCTGCTGAGCCTGTGCAGGAGCCTGAGTTTGTTGTTCCATTATGTAATGCTATGACAGGCTACACTTGAGTGACTGACCGGCCTTTCGTCTGTGTAAAACGTGGCCCGTGTGTTTTTGAACGCATTGCAGAGGGCTACGAGCATAAAGGAGTTTAAATTGGTAGCCAAATTGTAAGAGGGCTATGCTTTTGGCCTGGGAATATGCACTTTTTGTGTATGTCTTTGTAATATCCACCTAATCCAATATAAGGTGAAACAGTTTTTTATACGATCTACACCATACATCAATACAAAATAAAGAGACCTTTGTTTAAATTCTACAAAATACCCACAGACAATGTTTTTTTACCTTTTATTTTTCTTGCATGTACTACTGCATTTCTGAGTCGCTTTTAGGATTAAAAATGAACTGAAAAAGGAAAACAAAATCACTCCAAAGAGATGAACCTCTCGGCAGTTAGACATACACCTACAGCCCTAAAAGAGGACCTGGACATGCACAAGAAATCACTTCCAGGTGAAGTCCAAATTGCTCTGTGTGTTCGGCTTTAATTGGCAGATGTGTTTATTTGATTGAAGAGTTTGTCCTTGATGACTTGAGACATCAACCCATGAATTGCCTCGATGGTTGTCTTGCAGCTAAAACAAACCAGATGGAGAAATTGAGAACTTACATTGGTCAACTGATCAAATAAACTGAGAAAAGTGTAAATAATACTAAAAATAATTATGAAATTTATAGCGAGGATGATGGCAGAAAAACATTTAAACGGTTTTACGTCAGCATGACTGAGGACAACAAGGGAAGCAAAGGCACAGCAGCAATGTTCTGCCAACCAATCAGCTCAGTGGGAAAATGTGACATGTCACAGGGTGAAAAATACATAACTTATAAACCATTAGTCATTTTTGTTGGAACATCTAATGGATGGTCCAACAAAAATGTAAAAATTCAAATAAACAGGGACAGAAGGGACAGTGTCCGAAATTAAATAATTTATGATTAATGTCAAGAGCTGAAAGACAAATAAAAAACAAAAGTTCACCTGTCTCGTGTTGCTTTGGCCAGTTTGTCCTCAGACTTCCTATCGTGTGTGTCTAAGCCGAGCATGAAGCTGCCTCTACCCAGCTGGGCCTCTGACTGCTCAAGCTTCTCTGACAGGTCAAACACCTGGCCTGTGGTGTAGTCCGAGTTCTGACCGACCAACAAAAATGCACACAGAAGACAATTCACAATTCAATTTGCTAACAAAAGTTGAACAACAGATTTTCTATAAAGCAGGAACTTTTTTTTTTTTTGCAGAATGTCAACAAATCAGTCCTGCGAGCCATATGAACACATTCTGAATGTGGTGAATGAAAAGAAGTCAGTGACGTTTGCTCAAGGTGAGGCTGTGTTTATTGTGGAAAAGGTAATTAAAACACAATGACATGGGGGCCTCTGACGAGTGCGACAGTGTAGCGACTGACAAAGCCCGTCACCCGCGGAGTAGCTCATTCTTGACATCTAGTCAATTCATCTTCATCCTGAATGCCAAAAAGTCAACTGTTTGGATAGGCCTGATGTTTATTTAGACTGTTGTGTCTAACTCTAGACAGCGACCACAATGAAAATTCACATGAGGGGCTTTCAATCTTTGCAATGAAATGCCGGGAGAAGAAGCATCCCGGTGGCGTCCAGTCCAAATTCTGGACTAATCTCCTTTTGTTAAGAGTTCACATATAGCTTATTACTAAAATCAATAAACATGAAGGCTTGGCAAATAAGTGGCAATTAATCACAGTATCATAAGTGGGTGACCATATGTCTAAATGAGTGATTGTGTAATAATTAACCATGCATCAAAATGTCAAACAATTAGTGAACATTCAGAATTCTGAAGATGCTTACATACCGTGAGGAGGCTTGAGGAACTTAAGGTATTAACCCAATATTTGTTCCAAAGGAGTTCAAGGAGCTTTCTGTCAAGTGAAGACTTAAAGTATGTTACCTCCAAGGCGTAATACCTAAAAGAAATCAAAGAGAAAAAACCTTGAGTCACAATAAAATCTCACAGTGGCAAACAAAGCACATTAAAGCACTGAGAGAACAGTAATTATATTAAATGTACCCCACATATGTGTTCAATAAGGTGACCACATTGTAATATCTAGAATTACTTACTGTTTACAGTGTACACCAAAGTCTTCTATCTTGTTCAGAGGGATTGTCTGATATTCAGACGGTCCCTCATCCGGAGGTTTGTAACCCTGAAATTCCAGAGAGGAAAAACTCAGAAATGAAAATCATAAAATACCCTTTTGTTCTGCTAAAACCTTAATTTACAAATAACTACAAGACTGTATGACTATAATAGGATGTGAATTAAATTGACAAATGTATATCAGCAAAAATCTAAATTTAAAAACAAACATTGAAATGTAAAATGTCTTATAGCACTTTGATTAAAAGAAATATATTTTAACGATTTGATCCATGACCATAAAAAAAACAACACACAGATCTGCTTTCTTTGCGCTACCTTCGGGTATGTTCTAAAGGCACCGAGGTTGACTTTCCCCGCAGAAATAGTGCGAGTGGGGTCGATCTGCAGGAAGTAAGATACAGTAGAACAGGAAAACAAAGTCAGAGGTCAAACAATACCCCAGGGACGACTCAAATCTGGCCACCAGGAGCTTTTTGCTGTGGCTGTCAGTGTTGAAATTACACACTTAATTACATGATGCCTCTGGCATTTGAGCACATTGAAAACAAATGAAGTGTAAAGAGCAGATATGGTTGCAATAGCAAAATATTCATAAGTACAACACAGAAAGCTACAACTCATATATCAACAGCCATCAAAGTTACACTTACGTAAATGTGTACGATAGTGTTAAAAAAAAAAGTTCTTTTTTATCCTTTAAACTAATCACTATAAATCAGTTGGATTTAGACATAAAAGATTTTCTGTCTTACCACAACAGCCACAAAAGGCTCCTGAAACTGCTGGTTAAGCATCTGAGTGCTGACATCAATGCCTGAGAGCCAGCACCCATAGCCTGGATGACTGTGGTACCAGCCAATGGCATTCTCCAGTCGGCCAACCTAGCAGGGTCGAAATCACGTTCCGGATGTTAAATACTCAAGATTTTAGGAATATGACAGTAAAATAAGATCAAATGGTAGCTTCCATGCAATACACTATGCTGAAGTGAAATTATTCTTCTTCTGTGCCAATTCTAAAATTATATCTGAAAACAGCCTTTTGTGAACATCAAATCTCAGGAGAAACAAAAGATTATTTTTATTTTTGGACAACAAAGAAAAATCATCTACCATTGTAAAATAGTCATAGCAATAAAGCAATTATTTCTAAAAGGCTGGAACAATATGCGAGATACCAAGATGGGATGTGAGAGACTTCTTTAATTTCATGTGCTGTGGAATTTCAATGAAAGAGAAAATGAAAAGCTAACACGGCCAACGCAAGCACTATCAGAGCATCAGATTCTCTTTCCTCCTTTGAGAAATCCTTGAAGACCCAGCTATTCCGAGAGTATTTTTTCGTCCTGAAAGCTCTAAATGCACATATTTTCTTATAGCACATAACTCAATGTATGGTTCTCCAGTAAACTATGTCATAGTTGAATGTTAAAACCTTAATGTTAAATCCTCTTCCAGCATTTTGCACTCAAGGAAAAGTAAATATGTAACTGGTGTTTTTGTTGAATGTTAAACTTCTTTTTGTAAGTCGCTTTGGATAAAAGCATCCGCTAAATGCATAAATGTAAATCCAAACCATATTCTGTTCCCTTAGATAATAAAAATGCAAGTACTTTATTGTTGCGATTACAGTTACAGTTACAGTACATCAATATACAACTGTAAGTTCAAATAATGTGTTTGTAGAGTTTTTCTTCTCTTTTACTCACGTGTGTGTGAGTGAATATCAGTGTACCCACCTGTTTGGCATTTTCAATGTAGGCAGCCATGTATTCATATGCTGCCGCCTGGGCGTTGACTCTGGTTTCTGTCCCCTCAACAGGCAATGCAAAGCTGTCCATAATGATCATGGTTTCACCATCCACCTTCCCTAGCATGAGACCCATTACCTCCAGGTTTCCACCAGACCTGGCATGCATCACCATCTTCAACAGGGCCAAAGCGGAGATTTTGCAGTACTTGAAGTAGTGGTGACTGGTGAGAAGTCAGAATATACCATGTCATTAGATAACACGCATATGTAAACAACCGCCCCATAGTGTAGTTAGCTGTTGACAAAAAGAACGTTAGGCTAGTTTTTAGCCCCGCACCATGTCAAAAGCATTAATACCCCAAAATATTAGCTCAGAAAACACGTAAAACATCTTAAGTCAATTATTAATCTCATGTTTGAACCTACTCCTTTGTCCATGGCTTCGCTGCGAGGATTTCTTGTTGTTGCTTTTTGTCATATTTGTAAATTTCATCGATGCTCTGAACTTCCTGCATGCTGTTAGATAGCTCCCATGTTTTCTGCGCCGTACTGCTCCCAGCCATGATTAATTATCCAAGCTAAAAAGAAACAAAGGGTTGTTAAGGTCCCTGTTTTGACACAATTAATCGAAGAAAATGGATATTTCTGCAAAGATGATCAGGGCCCAACGTCTGCTTGCTTAGGAAGCCATGACAGTGAACGATACCAAAACGCGAAAATAGAACCGCAGCAGTCGTTTTTGTTATTATCACATGAGAAATGTTTTTGTAATTATTGGAGCATATGTATATTTTTTAACTTTAAATTGAAACTATGAAGGCAAGTTTATATAATTTGGCCGAAAATTGTATGTATTATTTTAACACATTCTATTATAAACCCCCCTCTGCCAGATGGTTTAGTCCTCGCGTACATTCACAGGCTGCAAGAACACACTGACATCTAGTGGCGGTTTGTCAAAAAGCCAGGCGCTGAAAGTAAGGATTTAACTCTCACGTCCAGGGCTCTGCTTGCATTTAGGTCTGGGATATCTCACTAGTTGACTGAATTTGACTTGATACACATTCATTTGGCTAAAATAGTCACAGAAAAGGTCGCAAGCTAGGCCCAGCGGGATATCAGTCAAGGCTAGTTCTAACTTGTTTGCTAACGTTAGAGATTTGTAAACTTTTTTCTGACACACGTGATAACATAGTTCAACGCAATGTTTTAGGAAAGCCGACCAAAATCAAATTGTGAGCTTTGAAGGCTAACTCCTCATATTGGAGACCTTTTATTTAGCTTAATATTAGCAGACCTGTTTAGCCTGCTGGGACAACCATTATGTCATGGTTGTCCCTGGCAACCTATGATGCTTTGTCTCGTTGCGCTGAAGGAAAGAGTCAAGTGTTTAGATTTTAAGTATTGATAATATTTGGTCTCCAGTAGGCACCTTGAAATGAGTATTTATGTATAGATCCAGATCTATTGACTAACCTATTCGTTGTTGTATGTAGGAGGGCGTACTCTGGAGAGCACGAAGAAAATTCCCTGCTTATGTCGCCAGAGAATTATGATAAAGTATCTCCACAGGGGAACAGAGGTAAGTAAAAGAACAGTCTTCTAAAATTACCCGAATCAGAGAAAATAGAAATTACTTAAATCTGAAAACGCTTTTATGTCAATCCTTTCCACAGTGAAAGTCCTGTGATGTACAATAAGAAACACTCTAATATGCCTCCAGCATCTGCATCACACAGGATAACCCCTGACCCAAACAGAGGTAATATATGTTTATGAGGCTCCATTGTTTGAATGTAAAGTTATATACAGCTTGCTATCTTTTTAAGGTTTGGGCTTAACTTCATTTCTGGGAACCGATTATCAGAAGAAGAAACAGAAACTGCTGAGTGAGCTGCAGGAAGATTACAAAGATTTTGCTACCAAGGTAGGGTTATTTACATATAAATGAATTTTAAAAATTAAATGTGTGCAGCCTCTCATTAAGCATTTTGCTAAATCATCTCTCTGTGCTTTATTGTCATATTCATCCCTCAGAAAACCTATGTTAAATGTCTTGAGCCTCAGTTGCAGCAGCAGGGACTTTCTTTACCCATCTATGAGAGGGAGTCAGAGAAGGTGTGTATGCTTTGTGTGTAGTGTTACGTGTTCATGTCCCTGCGTGCAGAGCACGACATGGACAACTCACCATGGTGACCAAAGCTGAAATGAAATTTTTCAAGTCATGCTGCTAACAGCTATATGTTGTGGTACAGTATTTTGCATATCTCGGAAACTGCGAAATAGGCATACTTACTAACAAAGGGCATGAAAGATTTTCAGGGCATGCAAATCATTTCATGTCAAAATTTCGTTGAAAATTATAATTAGTAGAAAGTTGAAAAATATCCATCATTCAACAGGAATGGCATGAAAGTGCATTGCTCTGTGAAGTCTATGCGTATTGTGCATTATATGAATATTACTTATGTAAATTAATAATACTATTAGTACTAATATATCAATTTTTTTTCTTTTCCAGGAAAGACTGAGAGAAGAGAGAAATAAAGAATACAACATCTTCCTCCAGGAGCAAGCTCATTTGAGGAAGTTAAAGAGTGGAACACCTTCAGTAACTTCTAAGGTATAGATTAAGTAACCAAACAAAAGATTATTTGCAGATCCCAGTAGGGAATTTATTCTGGCACTTATTAAATAAAATAAGATGTCTGTTAAATTACCACTTTCAGACTGAACAAATTGGGATGTCAGATGCCATGAATGTGACTTTTCAAGGCCCTCCTCTTGCCTTCCTCAATACTCCCACAAACATACCACCTCCTCCAATGGAGTACCCTGCATCCAGGAAAGATGTAGCCACTGTGACTGATACAGTAGACAGTGGTAGAAACATGGGCACCTGGAATGCCGCCCCTCGGAGGCGAAGGAGATGGCAAATCCATCGGCCAAGAGAACCCCACAGCTCTGAGGAAGAGCTGCATGCAGAAGACGATGAGTTTGAAGTTAGATGCAGGAGGAGGGAGAACAGGTGGGCTCAAAAGCCTGAGTACAAAGAGGAAAAGAGAGCCCAGGAACAGAGAGCAAACAGGTACAACCTTTATTAAACAGTGCCTGAGGTACAGATTTCTTAACTGATTACTTGAGGAATGAGTTGTCTTTTTTTGAAGTGCTCTTAGAGACATTAAGGGGGAGCAAACTCCTGCTGTTCATGACCAGAACATCACTGAAAGGATCAGGAAGTCAGAGTAAGCTATATGAATTTGTATGAATACTGACCAATGCTAAAAGGATCTTTTCTTTGGCCGTACCCTGGTTTATCCATAGCACTTCTCTGATCTACTCCCCGTTTCTTTCTGATGGCTTCATTCCATTAAGGTCCTCCATCAGTAATCTGTCAATATGTGACATGTTGATGGAGCATGAAACTCGGCTCAGTTACTAGCAAACAATTACACATCCCAGCTCTGTCAGAAAAAGCTGGATCATTGGAAGCATGAGTTTTCCCTCCCTGCCTCTTAGTTATAGACCAGCAAGCTCTGCAGGCAGTTATGAGAAAAATTTGTGATGTAAAATTGTAGCTGGGTGTTGCTCAGAGGAGAATAGCTTACAGTGCTGTCACATGTACTATGTATGATGTCTGCAACCACTTGACTTCTGCCAGGTGCCTCACTTTGTGTTTTTGTATTTGTGTGACAGTAAACAAATGTCAGTCAGCATGAGGGCAGCAGGGAGATCTACAGCTGAGTGTGCAACTGGTCTTATCATTGGTAAATATCTACTCGAAATGCTCAGAGCTTTGTAAAATGTGTTTGCCTGCTGTGTTATTTATGGATTTTTGCCCCCAACTTCTACAGATTTACAGATGACAGCATTTGTGATTTCTTTACTCTCTTTTGTGATACAGGAGCACCGGAAGAGCTGAAGGTCACTCAGATGAGGAAAGAACACTACAAGCAGGAGTTGCTCCGACAAATTGCTGAAAAAAAGAGGAATAAAATAAGGTTAGTATTTAAAAACTAAATCATAATCTTAATCAGAAATATTTTAGCCTTCAAGAGAGTCGAAAAGGATGATTTACACAAGCCCTGTGTTTTTAGGGAGAAGACTTTGGAGCTGAGGGTTGCTGCTTCTGGAGCTACAGATCCTGAGAAAAGGGTAGCTCAGTAGTACAAAAAATCAATTTGTGAAATATATATGATGTGTTTTCAAATGTTCAATTTCACCGTGATGTAGTAATAGCATGTGCAACCATACCATGCTGAGCTATAGCTTATTGTTTGCTCGTTTTTGTGTGTCTGATTCAATTTGACTGATTTCTTCCAGCCTGATCGAATAAAGCAGCTCTGGACAGCACATCGGCAGAGTGACAGCATCACTTGGGATGCTCCTCACAAGTCACTGATTGATCTGGGCGCAGTAAGGAAGAATACAAATTCAGCATATAAACATGACAACACCCATGAGAACACAGAGCATAGAGCCCATCCTGTAAGATCTCAGATGGACTTTAGCCATTCACACACCAAACATAAAGGGAAGACTTTTCATCGACCTGGGAAGCCAGTGGTGCAAGATGTCCCCCCAATAGATTTTTTCAGTGAGGACAACAACAGCGATTTCACAAGATTGCAAGGAGAAGTAACCCTCCCAAGGTAGATCCAAGATGGTTGCTTTGGGCTTTGTGTTTCCACGAATAGAACAGGCTGAGTAATTTCACCATGTTTTCTACTATTTTATTCTGTAGAGATGATGATCTTGATACTCCTCCACCTCCAACTGAACGTAACACTCCATATGATGCAGCCTTTTACAACTATGGAGCCAGGAATCCATTTGACATTCAAACTCATAACCAGAGTACAGTATTATAACCACTCCCAATTAAAACGTTCATTTTTGACAAATGCTATTGCTCTCTGTAGCTTTTCATGGTTACTTACAGTGTGCATCAATTCTACCCTTAAATAAAATCACAGTCAAACAGTTTTAACATGTTATTACTGCAGTAATTGTATAGCCAAATCAGGAAGTTGGAGGAATTGATATATTAGTTCATGAATACAAATTTTATTACCGAGATTATTTGAGAAATTAGGGATGTGCAGGTTATTTAAAACAGATCTTCCCTTAGTTTAGCCAGTCTTTTTAGTTACATTTGTTTAATTTTAATTTCCATACAACAGCCACATTTCTGCTCACAGTCACTGAAGTTATAAATTGTAAGTGTGTAGATTATCTGCCAATTTCGGATTTTCCATTTGTCATTTTCCCAGATGGCCTTTCTGCAAAAGCCCAGAGATCTCGGTATTTTGAGATTCCGCCTCAAAATCAAACTTCTTTCAGACCTAACAATTACACCGAGTAAGTCCTAATATCTGCCTCTTGATATTAGCAAAGAAAACATATTCATTAGAATTATTTAAAATGATTCAACAATGCATTTGGATACAAATGCATACACATACATTTTTCAAGTACCAGCTTGTTTTGTTGTATTTTAATATTTTTAGTATCTTCTAAATGATTTTCAAAAAAATTCCTCCTTCCATAAACTAAATGCTAACACATCACTTTTTGTGATTTGTGGTTCTTTTCTGATTCTAGTACATCTCTCATGACCATCGAAGGTCGTCATGAGGACAAATTCAAGCAGAGGAAACAGAGTTTACGTAGCTATCAGGATGCTTTAAGAGAGCAGGTTATACCCATAAAAATATTTTACACACGGCGGCATCAGTGGTTTCAGTGGAGTGTGCTCAGCTGTTGAATCAAAACACCTGTATTTTGCCTAGATTGAAGAAAGGAAAGAACGCAAAAGAAGGGAAAAAGAGGAAACAGAGCGACTTGATGCCAAGATAGAGGCTGAGCTGTTGGTTTATAATCCGTGGGGGAGAAGTGGAGGAGGGGCTCCGATTAAAGACCAAAATGGGAACCTTATTAGTAAGTTGGCTTTTACTTTTTAAAATGCACCACAGTAGAATTACATTTAAACATCTTGATGGGAGTTGTAATTGTTTATCTGATTTCAGGTGACCTGAGTCACATGCAAAGGATCAATAAGAACAATTCATTCACTGCAGGAGTTGAAGACAAATCTCCCCTCTCCCTCCAAGTCACAGGTCATCGTGTCCCTTTCACACTGAGGCAGTTTGTGTCTTTATCATTAGTCTGTTTCAGTTCAATACTTGTAGAAACTATTGTTCTTTGGAGGATACTAACTTGCATCTTTTTTTATCCTTGCTCTAGGTTGCAATGATCAGTCGTCTCCTCGACAGCTTCACAAACAGGACAGGTACAAAGAAGATCTGAAACAACAGGTAGGCCGGGGAGCCCCAGTAGTCTCCAAGGGAAATCATTTGGAACAGTTTTTGATGGAAACCAACTTGTATAATTCTAGCAGTTTTTACATAAGCTCTAACTTTAAATTTCAAACAGATAGAGGAAAAAAAGAGGAAGCAGGCAGAGGAGAGAGAACGTATTAGGATTGCGATAGAAAAGGAAGAGAAAAGGCTGGCAAAGGAGAGGGCTCGCATACAGCAGGAATATGAGGAGGAGCAAAGGAAACAAAAAAGGCCTCAGGTGAGCGGTTTTCTGTTAGCTAAAGAGCTCTTCATTATTCTGACTTGTTGTAATGGGGTTTTCTCACATTGGGATGTACAAGGAGGAACAACTTTTTCTACTCTCTGCAGAATAACCAAAAAACTCCACTTCAGATTCCGGAGCCTAAAACCCACCACAGAGAGAAGGAGAAGAGTACAAAGCAGCCAAAAGACATGTTGCCTCAGATTGACTTGACAAGAGAGAAGAAAACTTCACCATTTATTTATGAGGTACAGTTAACCAGGAAAAACTTATGTTTGGAGTTTTAATGTTCAGCTTTTTAAAAAAAGTGACTCTTCTCATTGCTTTGCAGAGAGCACCATCTCCTCCCATCCCAACTTTACAGAGGAAACAGGCCAAGCTTGTAACTCTTTCATCTGATGTGAGCAAATTGTCTTCCAGCACTGTAAGCCAATTATTAAACCCTACAAACATTAAAACATTTAATTTCTGGATTGATATATGAATTTAAAGAGAAATAAAATCACCAAATTTTCACAGGATCGCTCTGTGTCAGCGCCACATGATCGACCTGTCCCTGTGAGAATCCCGCCTCTAGACAGTAAGATGTTAGCTGCAGGATGTTGGTGAAATGCCACTATTTGCTTGTGTGGTTCCAATCCTTCTCTTCCCTATGTTCCCCTGCTTATTCAGAGGAAAAACAGGAAGTAATCAGAGAGCTGTCAGCTCTCCGTAAATATCTGAGAAAAGAACAGAGACAACTGGAGCTTCAACGGTGTCTGACAGGCCCACCAAAGACTCCCTATTCTCCCACTTCAAGGTATAACAACGAGAAACAATAGTAGGGGCTCCATTCTGAGTTCTTTCAGGAGCTCATTACAGCAGTGCTGGAACAAAAGGATCAACAGGGGGAATAGGCCTTCCTTTTGGTTTGTCTGGTTATATTACAGTAAACATGTAGTAACTCTTAATCTTTTCAAACCAAACTGTAATTTTTGGATACTCACCTACCGTGAAATAATGTCTTTTTGATGGTGTACTAGATTTCTGCAAATAATTTGATTAAATCCTTTAATGTAACTTGTTTAAAGAAGCCCATTTGGAAACCTTTACATTTTCATGCTAGATGAGTGGCTGCGTTAATAAAAGAGATGATGAGTTGTTAGCGAGCATAAACCTTTAAGTCCTTTGGAATGCTAATATGCTTTCTGATGCCTGAGGAATATTTGAGGTAGAGTTGTAGAGTTTTTGTTCCCCTTTACCTATGGTACAGATGCCGAATGGCTGCTTTTGAGCATGCAAATGAGGAATCTGTCCAGCCATCGCCCAGGCGGGCCGCACCTGCTGCTGATGTTGATGAGCAAAACATGACTGATCTCAACCAACGTAAATACAGAGGTACTGACATTTACTATGCATGATAAGAATTACTGACCACAGCTAGACAGGGATTAGAATCCACTCCACATTTAAAACAAATGTTTTCTTTAGTGGAAGAGAAATGCTGCTCAACCTCATCAGGATATCATCACAGCTTACTTTGTTTGCAATTCACCATGATTTCTTGGTCTGGTTGTGACAAAAAGATGAGTGATTGGGCTAAACAGGGCCAGATGTTTCAGACTTTCCAACGCCTTATCAGCAGATTTTCATGAGATCATGCTAGGAGTCTATTTAAGACATGCAGTTTGGCTGTGATAACAGTGAGTTAACTGCAAGTGACCAAGGTAATGGCTTTTCCCAGATGTAAGTTAAAGCAGAGGTCTTAGGAACAGTCATGGCTGCAGATCGTGAAATGATCAGAACAACACGAAGGGCGAGTGCTGAATCAAGCAAATTACTAACCAAACTTCCATTTTTAGATAGGTTCTGCATCTTAAAGCTGCATTAGATGACTTTTTTCAGGCATTGATCAACTCTGTTGAGAAGGATGTAGCTATTCTCTGAGACCACCACCTCACTCACAAACTGCTTATTTAGACAGAAAAGGAAAAACGAGCGAGCCAAGAAAGTGAGGAGGGAACAAGTAGAACTAAAGCATCAATAATGTAAGTGTTTTCTGTCTTAATGTTTTCCTTTTCGCACCCTGACTTGGTTACTGCATCAATTGGAAAACAAAGCTACTTGAGGGGATATACTGTATGAGATATATCTTGTCTTCATCTGTTGTATATAGCATCTCATACGGAGGTCTGTGCCATGTACCCAGACCCTTTCACTGACGCCCAAAATCTGGACATCCAACAGCAGGAACCTTTATGTGAACAGCAGCGTGAAATCCGTCCTTTGAAAAGACAGGAAGACAATGGTCTGTGGAAAATCAAACATCACTTTTCTCTTAAACCGTTGCGCTCTTTATCTCAGTGTTATGCCATCCCCTTTAGAATATTTATATCATCAGCTTCATCATTGTCATCCTCTCATCATGTTGGGGTTTTTTCATATTATTCTGACAGTTGAAATGAGTTGGTGTAGTATGGCTTCATCTGTCTATTCCTGGTCGTGTTTTGAGGAACATCCCCTGAGAGCCCTCACTACTATCTGAGGCTTAACATATTGGTCAGCCTGGCTGAACCTAATCTCTTTGTAAAGACTGTGCCTTTTTCTTCTTTTCTTTTTAACATCTACATCAATGTGAACACATTAAATTTTCAGATTTTTTCTTCTCCAAAGCATTGTTGGTTTTCCATAAAGGTGACACCCTCCAATACCCCCATACAACAGTCGGTGTGCCAGGCATATTTAGCCCTTGGTCTTCCTGCCAGGTTAAATGAGCCAGCTTACGTCTGTGCAGCCAGTGCAGAGAGTACAGTGCCCACGCCAGCTGGAGGGTGGTGATAGGTTCATGCCAGGCTGTTGGAATGAAGGCTGTAGAGAAAAGGCCTGAGGCAAAAGAGAAAAGCTTTTAAATATTCTATTTTATACATATCTTCGAGTCCTTTCACACATTTAACTGAAAGTACTTTTTCTTTTTACCATTCTGTAAGTACTAGCTAAATTAACTTTTGGATCCCCCTTTCAGGTATTAAATATACTTGTTCTGACAAGAAAAAACAATTGTGTTTGGGCTTCGTTACAGATGTAAACGGAGGTAATACATGTGACCAGTGGTTTTGCCATCAAGGAGGACACTAATCTATGAAGTAAAGTACTGACCAGTTTGCTTCAGTTCGAAAAGAGATTTGTAGCTGAGCTTCTTCTATTTTAAACAGGGGGACACTGACTGTGGGAATGGGAGCAAGAGACACGAGCAGTCCTCGATGCCGTTTAAACTCAGGGCCCCAAACCAGCACCGCAGCATTATACTCTGATCCTGGTGGTCACCACCACAGATCAGGTGAGAAGACACTGTTCACTGAGCCATCTAAAATACCTTTTAAACTAACTATGATTTTGTTTGGGTGCCATTAGATTTTACACTAGTAATACAGGAATTAAAAGATTAAATAATAATTCTAGATTAAACCTGAATTTTATTTATTTTTGCTGGGTGGGCTTAGTTTGTAAACAAAGCATTGTTTATGTATGATTCAACAATTCCTGCTTAATGTGAACATTAGGCACTCTTTCCTATGAGTTAGTCCTTAAAAAATGTATAATAGCTGATGAGCCAGTCCCTGTATTGTTCATAAGGGCTATGTTTTGAGGAAGTGGATGCGCTGTCACTCTGCTCTGCCCTGGGGAGGTGTGTCTCTGTGGATACTGTTGCCACAGACTACTGGCTGCGGCCCGAAACGTCAGACACTGTAAAACACTTGGACTGGGGAGAGAAAACCAAACAGCAGGATGGATGCTTCACCCCTGATGACTCACTGCATCACATAGCTACCCAGAGTGGGTCTCCAAGGAAGGGAATTTTGAAACCGTAAGACTTACCGTTTCTATAGATGCAGTTTTGATTTTCTCTATTTTTGGAGTCTACCAGTTATACTCGGATAAGACCACCTTTTTCCTGTCTATTATAAACTTTGGCTGTTTCATTTAGCAAATGTAAATTTAGTATGCTAAAGATATGTAAATGTGTACAGTTATGTTAGTTATTTCAGTTATAAATATGAACTTAAACAGTTTTTAAATCATAATGTTGTCATGGCCGATCTTTAATGTGGAAAATATTACTCAGTGATTTTTCATTTGAAATCAACCAAGTTCAAAAACTTTATTGAACTAGAACCTGATTAGAATGCCAGATGATGTATCGTACAGAAAGTTGTACAGTCTTTTGCAACATAGAAAACTTTACATTGCTGTATCATATACATTTTGTTTTCTACATCCATGAGCAGGAACGCTTCCCATTCACACTTAAAGCACAGCTAACGTTTGTCATTTTCTCTATAAATATAACCTTCCCCAAAACCAAAGGAAAAACAAACAAAAAAGAAAGAAAAGCATTAAATATATTATGAACTTTTGATTTTGTACACAAGTGTGAAAACTGAAGTCACATGAAAACAGAAAAACAGACTAGTGACCCAAAAGCAGCTAGCATCAGTTTTGCTCTCTCATCTTCCAGTTTCAGAAGGCCAGTCTATCTCTGTTAAAAACGTAGGAACATATAAAATGGAATAATTTAACCCTTCACTTTCCACAGTCTTGTTTAATTACAAATCGTACTGTGTAGGACTATCTGCAGGAGGTGGTGCAGTCAAATAAATTATCACAAAAGTAAAATCTCCAGTGCATTCAAAAACAAGATCAAGTGCAGCAAATCCGAAGGGGAAAAAAACCCAAACAAAAATAAATGCAATCTAGTGTTATAAGATTATATTACACAGCGGCAGATCTGTACAACTAGTTTAATCGAAGAGGCTACCAATACTAATGTTAGCCACCTGCAGTGCAGAGAGAGAATCATTATTATCCACATGTGACAGGTGTCACATTTCATAGTTGCTGAATATGTCATTTTGCGTGTCGCTGAAAACCATTCATTCTTCACTTTTTAAATATACAGTAAGAAGCACACATGTTTTGAAATATATTCGTTCTGATAAGATCAGAGATATGCGCGACTGTCAGTTGTTGATCAGTAGTTTTATCCAGTGGAAGCAACGCTACACCTGGTGCAAGACATTATTGTTTTTATTATCATATCAACAACTCTGTCTGTGTGTAATAGGTGGGTGTGTGTGTTTGTGTGGAGGCAGGGTTAAGGGTGTGGGTGGGTGTTAACAGACAGCCGATGGATAATCAGCCATTTAAGTCAGGAGTTCGGCGTACAACACATTGCTCCACAGATCTGCGGTTGAGGCCTCAGCGGAGCTTTGTGTTCCGGGCTGTTTGTGGTGCAACATCACTGGGTCTCCTCCCCAGCCTCCACCCCCACACCTGGGTCTGTCTCTGGGTCAACAGGAACCCGCTCAGAGTCAGGCTCAGGCTCGGGCTCAGGCTCGGGCTCAGGCAGCTGTGCGATGTTGAAGACGAGGCCAATGCGGAGGTAAAACTTCCTCAGAACAGCTCGGAGCTCGGGGATAAGGTCGAACTGCATGATCTCACACAGCAGAGGGTAGTACCTGGATGCATGGGCCTTGAACTGGAAGACAAAGGAGGATGAAGGATGTAGAGAGTGAGCTGAATTGGCACAATACAGCATATGTCAAAACCTCCTTCAAATATTTGTTTTCCAGCACTGATCATAAAGGAAACCAACAACTCGTCAAGAGGGAGCCACTGAGTGTGTCTTACCCTTTTGTCGCTGATCTTTAGCACCTTGGTGAGGAAGAGCAGCAGCAGGTTTGTCCAGGCCTCTCTGTGGCTCTCTGAGGTCAGAGCCAGGAAGTATGCTACAGCTTCACTGCAGACACTATAGAAAAAAAAAACAGGTCAGAAATGCACATGACAAAACAGAGGAAAGCTGGTTTTCTGCCTTATCGCACATGTAAGGAGCCGCGGGGGGGGGGTGGGGGGGATCAGTGGCTGATAATTAAAGCTGACTGAGCCCTTTGTGGAAACCTTTCTCTCCACAGCATTAACTCGGGAAAACTGATTTGGCCATTGACCTTTCTCTTCGACCTCCCCCGGCATCAGCTCCATCCTTCAAGATTTTGTCCCCCCTTCTCTGTCTCCTCCGCTCCAATGATGCATAAACTCACTGGTGTTAAAGTCTCCAAGGACAAAAGTGCCTCAAAAATCTGTTTTGGTTCCTCCACTAATTAAAAGCGCAGACGTGTATTTTTAAAATAAATGTGATTTGCACCTGAAGACGCGCTACCAAATAGCAGGATCTCTGTCTCATCCATTATCCTCGCCAGACCCCCTCCCCTCCCACAATCAGTCTCATCTCTGTGCTCATGAGACAGGCAAAGTTTCTGTTTCATCTTGATGTTCATCATAACAGACAATTTGAGGAGAGAAACAGAGTTGACAACCATTTTTGAAGCGCAGGACTAAGCCTTAGCAGTGACAGCTGAGTGGATTGAAGAATCAAACACTAGCATGCTCATTCCTTCACATCTAAAGAGCTCATCTTCTATTTCGCAGAGCTCACGCTGTGCCTTTCCCAATCCACTGTGGAAGCTGACTTCTTAACAACCTCCCACCCTCTTATTCGCACACGTGAGCCCTTTTAAATTATGGGTTAGTTCCAAACATATGGAAATACATGCACACGCGGAGACCCGAGGTTGAAATTGTGTAATTATCAGCCACTGTTATTTTGTTAAATGTGGGAAAAGGTCACTGATGTGCAGTGCATGATCTGAAGTGTTCTCAAGAATATCAACTTTCAGTATGTATAAAAGATATGCTTTCATTGCAAAGTTTCAACATCAAATAAGTTGCAGATTCTGCCAAACTGAAATTATATTATTGCTCCCAGCTGTTTTTCAACATACTAAAGCAGCGCTCCGTAATTGGGAGGAGCATAAGGGGAACAATACAGAAAGACATATATATATAAAATTCTACAATCAAAGGAGTCTAAACTGTGCTTTTCTGAGCGCGTGGGTATCATTGTCAGATGTACAGACAACATGGAAGGTGCAGCAGATGCACTGGCAAAGCTTTCCACCATTTCTACATACTGTAGAAATGGTTCAAAGCTGGTGGAAAGCTCCTTACTTGAGCAATCGTCTCTGGACCTCCTCCCAGGCATCCTGGCGGCTGTCATCGGTGTACATACGGAACAGGATGCGCAGCCCACATGCCAGACTGCTGGTCTCCTGCTTCAACAAGTTGGGCTTTGACTTTCCTTTGAAACCTTCAATGAGCACAAGTTAAAGTCACTTCAGCTTCTTTTTCCTGCTCTATTAAGTCATCTATGAATGGCCCAGGAAGCAGCTATAAAACGCCAGCAGAGCCTGTGGCAGCGTCCCCCCCACCCCCACCTGCTTTCCACAGTAAGGTTCTTTGCTCGTTGTTGGAGTTGAAGGCCTTGGCAAAGCGGTGGGACTCCAGCAGACAGTCCAGCAGCTTGAAAAGCTGCTCTGAGGTCAGGTAGCGATACATGCCCTGGTCCTGGGTCTCCACTGGGGCGTCTGCTGCCATCCCAGCATCCCGCTTCAGGATGACAAAAATAACCCATTACAGGCTGAAACCAGAAAACATCTTCTCCAAAAGACAGAGAAAAGAAACACAAACAAAAAAACTGTACCTGAGCAGCAGCAAAGTTCTCAGCATCCTCCTTCTTGCTGGTGGCAGGGAAAAAGACGATGTTATCGATGGTCTGGATCAGCTCCAGCTGCACCACACACTTTATCAGCAAAGCTGAGAACAAACGCTGCTCCTGGATCTCTGTGGAACACGCAGATAGAAGCTCGTCAGGAGAAATAAACCCCAAAACAAACAGACAAGCAGTTCCTCTGAGTGAAGAGCTGGACGCACTTGTTTGGGTCCTGCTCCTGGAGGCGTCCTCAGACATGCCTGACACTGAGCTGTGCTGACTCTGCCGGCGGTTCTCCACAGCCACCCGGTCCATGCTGCTGGTGGAATGCTGGTCGTCAGAGCGGGACTGAATGTCCACAGACCTCTGGGAAATTGAGTCCTGAGAAGACAGCAGAACAGTAGGTGGCGTTACTCCTTCACAATCAAAGCATATGGTTGTAAATGTGATACCTGTTTTAGTGGAGCCAGACACACAATCAGTTACAAGGCAACAACACTCTGACCACAAACAGCGACTTAACATATTAACAAAAACACTGAATTTCCTCACCAGCTGTTTCTCAGACAGGCTATGTGTGGCAAAGTGTTCTCCCTCTGCTCCAGCTGGTCTCCATGTTAAAAGCCTTCAACATAAGAGGAATAGTTTTTCTATAAAACCAAATTCAATGAACAGAAAGATAGCTTCCAACTCCAATTGTGGACAGCAAATTAGACAAATGATTAAGTGAAACAATGTCCTGATAGAATTTTGCACAAATGCTATCCGTTTGAATTCATTTGGAAAATAACACAATCACTAAGGCATGTTTCCTCCATTTTCCACTTTAAACATTTGAGACTTTTCCACATTTCTCTATTTGACGTTAAGCTTTTTAAATGGAAAAGAAATAAGGTAAACGTGTTGGAGTTTGGCATGCTATTATCAGTTTATCACATCTTTGTCAATAGGTACTGCAGCTCATGTAAAACAGTGACCACAAAGGTCGATGTTCTGCATTTAGTTCAAGCAGCGTTAACAAGGTGATCAATCCAGATAAGCAACACCAGCTCGGGCCTGAGGGGGAGCAAATAAACCAGTGTCACTACATCCCTTCGAGATGATAAAAAAAACAACCTCTATATTCTGGGTGCCCACTAATTTTGGTCTCTTTTAAAAGTAAGAAATGCGAATGAGTTATAAAGCTACTAACATGTTCATTACCATGGTGGCTGTTCAGAATGTTATATTCATATCCGAGATTACATGATTAACAAAAAAGCAAAGCTTTTAACAACACTGAGGCGGTGGGCTCCCACAGAGGGATGAGGCTCCTTCAATGCTTCAAACACCATGAAAATTGTTTTGTTTTTTTGGCACTCAGAAAATGGAAAGCACAAAGACTAAGTCCCACGAAGGAACCCTGCTCAAGCCATCACTGTAACCACACTCCTTAAAGAAGAAGGTGTGTTATGCTCTCAGAGTGGCGGCTTACGCATGTGGGATTGTGGTCTTGAAGATGTCCAGCATGCAGTTACACGTCTTGTCCCATGTCACCGGGGAGAACTTCTCCCCATTTAGGATGACCACGTTCTCAAGACAGTTGGTGCCCGAACGGGCGAGCTGCTCGTTATCTGCAGAGGCAGAAACAGTGACAGAATAAACAAAGAATGTTCTACTGGACCAAAAGAAAAAGCGCCAGAAAACAAGGCTACATATTAGCAGTGGCATCAACGCAAACACAGAAAAAAGCCAAAAAGAACCTCACCTTGCTGCACACACCAGAAGAGCTGAGCCAGGATATCATCCAACAGAAGCCCATTCAGAGACTCAAAGTATTGTGTGAAGACATCACAGATGGCATAAAGTGCATGGTTGCATGTGGTGGTCATCCATTCTGCTTTCTGAGGGTGAAACACAACTCCAGTGTGAGAACAAAGGCAGCTAGAGGAATGAGGAGAGAATTCTGATATTTCCAGGAGTCTGGCTAAGCAGCCGAAACAAAGGAAGAGCTGATGAGGATCAAAGGCTTGCTGCGTACCTCGGTCTGTTGCTCAGGCAGCTTCATGTTGTCAAAGATCCTGAAGACGATTCTGAACAGGTCTTGCCACCAGTGTTTTTCAAAAGTGTGCCCGTAGGTCTTCATCACTTCAAACATCACGGTGAGCCCCCTGGGAAGGTTGCACAAACACACTACTCAGTCTTCGTTTTACACGTGGAGTTTGCCTTATTTTTCTGTCTTCTTTGCTTGTTAACAACAGAAATTAAAGTCTCTTCTGTCTACTTCGATCTACCCAAGCCACAAAATAGATGTGCAACAAGAAAAGAAGTAATCTGTATTTCCTAATATGCAAATCAACAGGGTTCCCCGGAATAGAAATGTTTTCGCCTCACAGGCCTGATAAACGAGCCTAAAGGTGAACCCCACCCACCTGGTCCTGACATCCAGTTTACACCTGTTGATGATGCAGGAGAGCTCAAAGAGTATTGGGAACCATCCTCTCACCCACACACGGTCCTCAGGCGCTACATTCATGTCATCACTGGTGTAATCTTTGAAGGCCTGCCAAAGGTAAAGAAATACAACGCGTGATCACGACGTTACAATTTCTGCATCTGGGAGAAAGGAATCCTCCCACACAAATATTTATTTACACAGAGATCTGCTTCTCACAGTTTAACACCAATAGATTAAATTAAATCAATTTCTCTAATATATATATATATATATATATATATATATATATATATATATATATAGATAGATATAAATGTATTATTCTTTTTAGTGCCTGAAGGTTTTAAAAGAAATGATATGTGGTCCGGTGCAGTTAGAGATGAAAGTGCTGTGTAAGAGTCGAGGTCTGACGTTGACCTGTGGCCTCTCTGAGACGTATTTGGCGCAGTGTCGGATGAGACGGATGGCTTCCATGCTGGTGTCTGGGAATGAGGCATTGCAGGCAAACTCTGACAGACACTTGACGGCGTCCTGGAAGGAGTCGATTGTAGCTGCAAAGTGCTTTTCGAATACATTCGCTGGAGGACAGTCGGGAAGGAGATTAAAGCAGAAATGCACAGGAGATGGAGAAGGGAAGAAAGGATGGACGAAGAGGAAACAGGCGGTGAGATAAAAGTCACCATCTGCTGGTTACAAGATTAATCCGTGAAGCCTGAGTGTTGGACTTACTGACGATATGGCCAGTGGTCTGAAAGGCCAGCTCCACGATGCTCTCGTCCTGGTCCGAGGCAGCCAGGTGGAAGACGGAGAAAATGTTCTTCCATCCTGAACGGATATTTGCCGCCTGGGAGTTAACCATCTGGGCAATACATCGCACTACCATGTCCCTGATGGTGGGAGACCTGAACAGGAGATAAGAGGTAATTGGATTTGGGCAGGAAAAACATATTTAAAGAAGGAAAATAGAAAATAGGAGCACAGGAATCAAAAGAAGAATCCCTCATAAAGAGTGAAGAAAAGATATCAGGAAACAGAGAAGATGGAAGAGAGTAGGAGTCAAACAATTAAGAAAGAAGATTAATCTATTTATTCATGTCAGGGAGTTCTAAAAGCTCTTCATAACCGTCTAGGTCCCGTTTTTACAGGCAAAATGCTTATTTCAGTACTGGCATGGTTGTTTTGTTACAACAACTGTTTCCATAGCAAAGAGCTTTCCTAATTGCTCAGCAGTTATGAATGAGAGTAAAAGCTCAGCCTGCACCTATCATCACACGCACACACAGCAACAGTCTAATGGACACACGGCACTGTAGGGTTGACATGGCTGCCAGCCATCTTCTGCTTGCTGAAGCTCTCAGCCTGCTCAGTGTGTGGGTGGATCCTGCTAACTCATTTCACATCAATGAAGTGTACTGCGGCGACAGCTTGCCTCTTTGACATGCCACAAACAGACATCAGCACAGCACCGGCTTCATTAATCAGTGGCAACCGTGAATTTGAATGATCAAACCCAAAATCTAAAACAAAAACAAATCCCTTCCTTGCTTCTGTGTGATTGACGTATGAAACAATATGCTTGCCGGCTGCTGGAGGGAGAAAAACTGAGATGCACAGGTTACAGAGACAGGACTGCATGTGGAGGTCTACCTGTTCTTCTTCATGATGTGCTCAAAAGGCCTCAAGAAGTCCTTCTGGAACCTGAAATTAGCCAGCTCCCCTTTCTCCAAGAACTTCATAGACAGCTGCCTGAGAGAATCCACTGCGAAAATTGCTACATCTTCATTGGGATTACAGCCAACCTATACAGAGACACAGCAATCATTATGTTGTTACGAGCAGCTTTCTTCTAAACTTTTTCAAACATGAAATGGAGCCGTCTAAAGCCACTGTGTTTGTATTCAGCATAACTGGAGAGAGATGACCAGCTTGTGGATGCATCAGGGACACCATTCAACCTGTAGCAACTTTTTGGGCTTCTGGAGAAATCAGTCACCACCAACACAAAGGCAACTATTTCATATGCTCACAAAAACTAACAAACAAAAAAAGATTGATTTTCTGACCCTTGAAAATTGATCTATGAAGTGCCAATTCACAATATAAAAAAGTCATCCTGGGACACTTCATAGAGAGGAACCAAACAATTCCCCATAGCAAACAATACAGAGATAAAGTTAGTTCCAGATTTATTTGATCTCTAACATCTTTTTCCCCACACTGCACCACCACAAAAAAGCCTTCAAATGAAACCATCAAAATGCAATTCATGTGCAGACTGAAATGTAAGGTCAAAGATAATAATCTTGTGCTGTTTTTACTTGTTCTTTTTTATTTTCAGAGCTTTTCCGAGCTGATTAGCCTTTTACTTTAGGTTTGATCACCTAAAAACACTGTTTTGTGAGTCATTAATTTAGTCGTAAAAAGTGTGCACTAAATTCAACCTTCATCGCCTTTTCTGCTAATTTAATATGCTTTAATAAAAGTTGTGGTAATTTAAAAAAAAAAAAAAAAACTTTTTTACACAAACAAACGGCACCAGCCCATCATTCCTCCCCCACCTTGTTGAAGTGGTCTCCGATAACCTCCCAGATCCTGGACCACTGCAGCCTGATGCGACCCATGTTGTAGTAGGAGATCTCCACGATCTTTTGCAGGCTGAACATACGTGGGTGTGTAGGCGAGGCCAGCTCATCCATGGACACAGCACACAGCCAGCGCACGAAATCCACTGACGAATGGACAAAAGATGATGAGCAAAGAGAAGAAAACGTGAGTCACACCGTTCCAAAATAGCCCCAACGCGGCTGTCCTTGGAGAGATGGTCTTAACACAGCGTGGCTGGATCGATTAATCTCACCTATTGCGTTGCCATCCAGTCTGGTGGAGCCTGTGAAAATTCTAAAGAAAAAGAAAAATATGATTATTTAAAAGCTACATTTTATTTGCAAGAAGAACGTGAACAAATGATCTGTGCTTACTGCATGTCACGTTTAGGGCAGAAGAGGGGGAATTTTGTGTAAAAATGGGATTTTACCATTTTAGGTAACTAAAGTACCTGTCCACCGCTACTACAACACTCTGAGAGCTGGTCTCTCCGATTGATTCCTGAATGCTGGCAATCTGCTTACGGTCAACCGTCCCTCCAACTATATATAAGAAAAAAAAAAAAAAAAAAAAAAGAAAGCACAAAGAATTTGTTATGAGTCCAAGTTTAGGCTATAAGCGTACGGACGGACACATGTGAGTCTGACTGTGGCCTCTGACCTAGACCCAGGTACTCGTCACTGCTCTGCTCCTTTGTGCTGGTAATGAAGCCCTCTTTGCCACGCACCGTCCCTGAGATGTAGCGAGCCTTCACCCCCGTGCCAATCAGCTGAGCCAGCTCCAGCTGACTGATGCATTTCAGGATCTGAGAGGAAGCAGGACCACAGAATATTAATCCCTGTCCTTCTCAGAACTGGGGGCCGCTTGTATCTCAGGATTTTTCTCAATACTGGTCAATATTTATAAAATATATCAGTATAAAATATCGAAAAAAATTGCTTGACCTTTTTCTTGCTACAGATCAGGTCATCCTCTGCTCATTTAACAGCTGCCATTTATCGTCAATTGCACGAGGGAGAGCGGAACTCGGTTTTTAAATGGACTAAAAAGAGCAAACCTCAAGCCAGGAGTTGCCCAGGTAGTTGCCGTCAGTGTGAGCCACAGTGATGAGGGTCTTGATGGTGTCGATGTTCTTCTGCTTCATTTCTGCGATGCCGGAGCTGGCCGTCAGCAGGGTGAACCTGGCCAGGGCCTGCACGTACGCGTCCCTCTCCAGCTGTTAGGAGACAACCCCCCCACATCCAAGGTTTGAACGGTGTGCCGGGCGGGAGGCGCTCTCAGATGCAGCTCACGCTGAGGTACCTGTATGCAGAAGATGCATGCTATCCTGATGGCGCAGCGGATCCCTTCCAGACACAGCGAGGCCACCTCAGTGTCGTCGCAGTCCTGAAGACCCACGCTGAAGGCGGCCAGGAAGGGCGTCCACGCCAGCTGAGGAACACCAACACAGATCAGCTTCCTGGCTCTTGCCCATCGGAGCGGGCAGTGCATGGTGGTGGGGGTTACCTTGAACATGGGTCTGACGTGCTCCAGGTGTGTGGCGCTGGTGAAGGGAGCCTGGACGTGGCTGACCGCCTCCATCAGAGCTTTGGCCGTCTTAGCCATCTGCTCCATCTCCACATTGTACAGCAGACGCCTCTGCTTCTCACTGGCCACACCTGCCCAGCCGTCGGACGGTAAGACAGCCATTAATGTCACTAAGCAAGGACGAACCACTTCTAAAAGCTATTAATCGCATTTCTGAGACCGCCCACGCCGGTGAAAACTCACTCTGCTTGTTAGACTTCATGGTGAGCTCTTTCGTCTCCTTCATCGCGATCTTCTTCCCTGCGATCTCGTCATATATGGCTGAGAGATATTCCTCCGGTAGGTCTTTGCTGTCATTGATGCCCCGGTTCATCTTTATATATTGCTCTTTCGTCATTTTATTCTTCACCTGTGCATGTAGGAAGAATCATTCAGGTTCTGAAGCTGCTTATGCAGGCCCTGGGATTCTTGGAGGACTGACGTCTAAAGAAATAACTCCTGTCAAAGCCCCTCCCCGCCGCCTGCTGCCCCTCTGAAGTGGACTTACCTGTGGGCTGTGGAGGTCTGTTGTCAACATAATGATGGAGTAGGCAAGGACATAAGCGGTGTCTGCACTGGCGAAGAGGGTTTGCCTGGTGAACAGAATGCAGGAGGAGGGTCGGGAATGGGACAAGGTGGAACATTTACTGCTGTGTTGCACACTGGCCATGCAGAACCAGATTTCTGTTCATGGCTGGAATTTCCTGTACAAGACGGCAACTTACCCCTGGTTGCATTCAAGATATCTTGCTGCAAATTTCTCCATGAGCCGATCAATCTTCTGGGCCTCCCCGGGAAGCCGAAAGCCCTCCAGGAACATCCTTAGCGCAGACACAAAGTCTTTGCCCTGGAAATCCATCTGATCCACGTAGGCGTACATCACCTCTTTGTTGAAACGGTCGTTATCGCCGAGGAATTCTCCCACTTGAGTCTGAAACGGAACAAGACAGAGGTCAGTCTGCTCAAACTGTCACCCAATTTAACAAGACGGGCAGGAAAGTCCTGTGGCGTTAACTCCTTTTGTCAAATACAGGTGGAACTGGGGAAGATGGGAGGCTTGCACACTGACACACAGCTGTGTGCGGTGAAGCACTCTTGATTCTATTCAAACATTAACAATGATATTAAATGCTGATTCGAGTAAACATGGTCAAGGACGTCCAATTAGGATGGAGTGTTCTCCTCGTTTAAGTTAGCACTTAATGCTGCCTGATCTGGATAATAGAGTGGTTTATTTCTTTGGATGGACAGAGAGTACATTATTGTGAGGCAATCTGATGGACAAAGGCAGAGAATAAAGAATGAGTTCATTTTGATCGGCTGTTTGTGTATTTGCCAACCACTTTGCTGCCGGCTGAAATTTGCCAATTATCTCCATGACACCCAAGTCAATCCAATAAAAGTGAGTGAAGTGAGTGACACGCCACATTTCAAAGGAAAGTGCTCATTAACCAAAATACTAACACAAATATCCACATTTCAATAGATATTGAGCAGATAGCAGTCCGTTCTAAAGAGGCAGCCTTTTTTGTTTGACAACTTTTGTTAAACTAGTGTTCATTGAAAGAACACGACACATCAATAGTTTGTGCTTTAATCAAAGTTCAGAGGACGCAACTGCTGCAAAATCCTTTTAGTTCACCGTACAAATGTTTGTAAGCGCTTATTAGAGAAAAGAGGAAACAATATGGAGCTTAACATTTTGTGACTACCGTAAATTTCCTAAGTTTCCTCTCACAATTTTTTTTTAGTATGTGATTCTGAAATAACCCCAGACCAGATGTTTATAATCTAAAAGGTCATGTCAATACCTCCTGTACACAGCAACAACATCGGAATAAAGCTCAGAAAAAAAAAAGATTTTGAGAGTTTAGTATTTGAGTTCTATTTGAGTGTTGTGAAGTACTTACCGAATCAAGTCTCTCCTCCTGGTGCAAGAACTGAGCAAGGTCTTCTGGTGTTGTACCCAGCATGCCTTGCTCTTGAAGGTACTGGATTCCTCTCTTTGGTTTCTTATTGAACCTGTTTAAAAAAAAAACAGACAGACACACATTTAAAAGGCGTCTTTTTCCTGCACTACAGAAGAGACTGGTGCAGCAGAACTCACAGGTCGATGCCCTGCTCGATGATCTCCTTCTGCTGTTTGAGGACCTCAAACTGCTCAGGGTTGTCCGTGCCTGACATCTGTGTGCTGTAGCTTCCGATGCCAGACGAGGCTGTGGAGTCAAGTGAGTTAATGCTTCCATAGCGGTTGATGGTCTCCGGTGCTTTCGTCTCTGTGCTTTCCTGCTCTGATGGTTTTTCTTGCCCTAGAGTAAAAAAACAAGCACACAAGATAAGACAACCTAGAAGTGGAGATGAAGCCAGAGTTATTCTGTTTTTGTACAAAACGGCCCCTAAAGCCATCAAAAGAATGACATTCTTTGCCAATCACAAAAACCTCAGCTCAGAGGCTTAGAAAAGGAGGTAAATGAAAACTGGTATTAGGGGAGAGAAACTTCAGCGAGCGAAAGAGGAAACCACAACACAGAGCAGGATGAGCCTGAGGACTTCTTAATGATAGTTGTTGGCAGGGAGGAAGGGGAAGGGGGGGCGGGGGGGTCACATATCCACGACCAAATGAAACCCAGAAACACACACTTACTCACAGACACACAGAGCAGGTGCAATTTAGGGGAAGCAGGGGAGGATATTAGAAAAGGGAGGTTATCGACATCACTCCAGGCAGTCAGAAGAGGGCAGAAGCAGGATCCCAGAGGCCGAGGGAAGTGTTTTTTTTCCCCAGCAGATATATACTGCAGATGCTGCAGAAAGTCCCCCACATAACCTCAGCTCAGTGGAGGCCAAGCATCCGATTACCCACCGGAAACTCTTTAAAACATTCAGCACAGCCTGGCAGTGATGCGAGTCCGTACTGCCATTCACGCACCAAGCAGAGGAAGGAAACTAAACCAGGAATCTAAGTAGTTGTCAGGGAAATATTTTAGACTTTTTTTTTTTTGCCATTTAAGTTCTCGAGACAGCACGTCTGTTAAAGGTAAACCCACTAAGACCGAGTGGAACACAAAAGTAAGCCTCCCCCCTGGTCAGGTGGGTATCTACGGTCCTCCAACAGGTTGAGCTAATGCAAACACGGCTCTGATTACAGTCTACAGGTGTCAGTCTGCAATACAAAACCAGCTAAATGTTACATGATGCAACACACAAACAAAACTGTCTAAAGCTACGAGCACAGCAGGCTTAAAACAAGCCATTTTATTCACAGCAACAAGTTCTAGTAAACACTCATGACTGCTCTGCCTTTACCTGTTCTTGCTTTGAAGTTAATCAGAATAGGGGAAAAAAGAAAAAAAGAAAGGTTGAAAGAATGGAGCTGATACATTAATACATAGCTGGTTTTGTGAGCTTTGATCAGAGCGCTGATTCAATGTTTGTGAGGGAATGTCTCCAACAGCTAGCAGAGCAAATTCAATTTCTACATTTCAATATGAGCTGCCATCTGTATACTAACAGATTTTCATGAGCTTTGGCAGAATAATGTCCCTCTGAGTCAACAGAGCTGCCTCTGCCGGTTAGCTTTGGCAGCTTAGCCCGAGGCAGGCCTGTGGATGTGTTCCGGGGAGTTATGGGATATCTTTGCGGTCCTTTCACAAAGTTACACTTCATCTTACTTTGAGCTCCTCCCTCAGCCAACAACAGAAATCCGTCATTGTGCATGAGACCCTGGAGCCAGTTTCGCACAGAGGATATGCTCCACCTGTCTTAGACGGGTTCAGTTTAAGATATCTCTTTTTTTTAGCGTGTAAACCGGCTGGATTAGCCTCTGTGCTCCGGACTCCAGCGTTATCTCACTGCCTCCTCCAGCTGGAGCCGAGCTGATGCGTGCACGTCTTCCTGCTTGGAGCTGCAGCTTTTACCCGATAACTTCAAATCGCCAGTCCTACAACTGACCGAAACCAAGCTGATAGGCACCAGCTTCCTCGAAAATGTCTTTCTTTCAAAATGTAATTCTTTTGTTACACCTACAGTATATTAATCTCAGTGCTCCCCACCATCAGTTAGAACTGATGAAGCCTCTTGAATGAGATTCGAAACGTCTTCTAGAAAACTAACTCCAGTTACCTTACTGAACTTTCCAAGTTTCCTCTGAAAGTGCAGCTAACCACAAGGATGAACAGAGGAATAAAAAGACTGACCACATGACTGAACCGCAAAACTGACTGTAATGCTCATTCCTCCTGATAAACACACTACAAAGAAGCAACAGTCAAATGAACAGAACTCGAGACATCAGAACAGTTTGAAGCATGGCAGATCTTAAGCTGCAAAGAAGTATCCAGAGCCACTCCAAAGACAAACTGCGTTTGCCTGGGCGGTCCCCGGCACTTCTAAGTGGAGCAAGGGAAAATAATAGTCCTCACAATGAGTCCTGGATTGACTCCTGCTTTCCTCTTAGCTGCCAGTGCCCTCTATGCGTCTAGCTTTCAAAGTAGTGTCTCTCAGGTTCCAGAGTCAGATTAATCAGCTCGTCTCCAGTTTTTAATCAGAGTTCCATTTGGACTTTCAAAAGAAACTCAGTAAAATCAGCTCAACTATTCAGTCTTAGTCTAATGGCTTTTAACCAAAAATGTACTCCTCGCTGCCGGAGGTTAAAGACCAGAGGCACTGGAACTTGTCGCAGTGCCTTGTCCCGAGACTTGTACTTGCCAACGTTGTACCAGTGAATCAGTGACTCACCGAGGCTGGTCTGGGAGTTGGGGTTGACGTATTGGTCTTTACTCCATTCTACCATACATTTCAGGATGGACACTAAACATTCAAGGCCCTTCTTTCGCAGAGTCAGCTCCTAGAAAGCAATATGAGAAATGTCAAATGTCGATCCAATGATCGGGCAATTTTGAAAATGAAAAAAAAAAAAAAAAAAGAAAACATCCAAAAGGAGGACAAATATTCACCTGTTGGGGGGTTGTACCGAGCTCATGGCCCCCGCGACCCTGCGCGATTTTTGAGAGGTCGTTAACCAATCGTTCAAATATATTAGCAGCATTCAAGTCACAATCATAATTAACATAGATATCCACCACACTCTGGGCATCTGAAAGAGGCAGAGGACAGGGGTGGTTCAGCGTAAATTAAGACATAAAAGACATGCTTCAAATCTGTCAATCTTTAAAAAACAGTTTACAGACCTGCACATATTCTAGTGAGGGTTTGGATGACCATCCACTTATGGTCATAGGAGCTTGTAGACGTCTCAAGAATATACAGGAAAATCTCTTTGAAGAACACCTGTGGACAGAGGTTATTTGAGTGTAAAGGGCAAGCGTACAAAAAACGTTGCTTCCATAGCAAAGTTTACTTGACTAAACCATTCTGTTAATAAAGGTATTATTATTTATTCGAGAAAAAAATGACAAGCCGCACATTATATGTCATTCTTTTATTTCTGCATATCTGATCGTTAACTCAGAGTGTGGAGGTGTCAGAGGTTAAATTGGTACTTTATGCCATTATTTTAGAATAACGTTTTTCTGAATCCACCAAAGCAGAAACAAAAGGAAAATTCACCTCAATTTGCATTTTGAGGTGTGTCTTGAAGTGAGACAGCAGAGTCAGGAAAATGGAGAGCGACAGCTCGAAGACTTCAGGCACAGAGGAGACGCCGTTCTTGGACAGGGCCACACAGAGGTACTGCTTGATGGCATTTATGAACATCTCATTGGTCTTAAAGATGGGGCCGGCATTCTGCAGGATGGACAGCAGCAGCTGGAGGGACAAAACCTTCGATCGAAGCTCGTGGGACCTGAGATGGGAGAAATTTAGAGCTTCTTTTTTCAGGTTCATAGAAATTGACCATGTATCATGTTAGTTCATAGGTAGGGGAAACACATTAGAATACTTCAGTTTTAATTGGCGTTTTAATAAGAAATGTAACATGAACAAAAGAAAAAAAGAAAAATCCCCCTGTCAGTGCTGAAGTTTATACATTTAGATCTCAACTACCAATTTGTTTACAAATGTACAAGCAAACACAATCCTGTTACTTTGTTCTGAAAATATGACACAATTAACATATATGCACATGAAACAGGCCATCATTATATTGTTTTGTCCAGATGGGATTTAATTGAAAAATCGTGACGTAATAAATAGTGGGTAACGTAGTATGACAGAGGTGTCGCGCTGGGAAATGGTTAATTGAATGACAAACACCTGTAACCTCAAAGGTGGTCCACCTCTTTGCCTTAAAGAAGAATAGTAACGACTTCCGACTGCGAAACTACCGGCGAGGTATGTAACAATATTTTAGAAGTATTTCGGTTTGGTGGAAGCAGAGTAGTAAGCACTGTTAGCATGCTAGATGGACATTTTAACAGATTTAGCTGCGTGTGCTAGCATGAGTTAGCAAACACAAACTATGAATGGTGTGCTTTCTTTCACAGTTTTTTTTTTCGTGGCTACTAAATATATTACAATTTCTTTTAAAATTACACGTTTTCTTGAAACTGGTAAAAAAAAAAAGGTTAAAGGCCTGCTTTGAACAGCAGGGTGGAGTGTTTAATTCCTGGCTTATCTTTCTTTTTTTCGTGGCTACTAAATATATTACAATTTATTTTAAAATTCCACGTTTTCTTGAAAATGGTAAAAAAAAAAAAAAAAAAAAAAAGGTTAACGGCCTGCTTTGAACAGCAGGGTGGAGTGTTTAATTCCTGGCTTATCTTTGACAAAAACAAGGCCGACGTTTCATTAAGACCTACAGCACATTGTGTTGACTTGTGAAAAAAAAGTATCACAAAATAAATAAGTCAGTAAATTTCCAAAAAGAAGGCCGACGTTTCATTAAGACCTACAGGACATTGTGTTGACTTGTGAAAAAAAAGTATCACAAAATAAACAAATAAGTCAGTAAATTTCCTTGAAGCAGAGCAAAGCCACTTTGAGAGCACATCAAACTGCTTTTTTTTTTTTACACCAGAGGAAAATATCTTCAGCACCCTTCAAAGCAATGCCAGGACAAAAACCACAGAGCTTCTGCTCACACAGCTAAACTGGTTTTCTACAGTAGAAGGATGGAAAAAATGAGATTCGAAACATAAATGTCACATTTTCAGCTACTTTTATGCGGAGTTCATGTCTTCATACTTTATCTGCCAAAGTCACAATAACGTGTCATAACTGTGGAATGACAAGAAGTAGAAAAAAATAATAATTTTTTAAATAATTTTTGTTGGTCTGATTGTGCTATTGTACCTGCTGCACACACAGTACCGATACCATAAATAATTAAATCTGTTTAATCATTTTTTTCTTTCCCTCCTTGTTATTTCGGTGGAAGTGGATGGATGAGTTCCATGGATTCAGCTTTCATTCTTAGTCGGGTGCTCCGGTAAGGACCTGGTAAGTCACAGAGTCTGATTTTTTTTATTTCTACGTAAGGGTCCAAACTAATTTGAGATGCTTAAGTGAACATTTTCCCAAAGTATCCATTTGTGTGAGTGCATTTAAACATCCAGCAGAGCGGCCTTGTTTAGATGGTAAAAGGTTTCTGTCCAACACTGACAAAACCCATCAGGGCCGAGGTAACTGACGTGGCCTTCACCAGGCGCACAACACCCAACAAGCACACACACTTCCCCGCTTGATTCTCCATCACAGCAATCGTAAAAGACTTTTCAGAAAAGATTCAATTTCTCTAAAATGAAACTAAAAGACATAAAATAGAAAATCAAAATATTAAAGTTACCAAATAGATTTTTGTAATCTACTCTTGAACAGAATTCAGATACAGGAAATGTAGTTAAACAAAAGGTGCAGCCATCAGGACAAGTTAAGTGACAATATAATACTCACCTAGAGCATAAAAAACTATTATAAAAGCAGACATTATCTCTGTATTTCGTGTGTTTTAAGAAAGATGAAGAGTTCAAAGTGTTTCTCTGTCTTTTGAAATGAAGATGTGATTCATAAAAATGCAGTGAGGCTTCATTGTCTCCTTCGTTACCAAATTATCAAAATACGGCCCCTATCGCTGCAGCGATGTCATAACTACACTGTGACTCATATCTATTCTCGTACCGAAAAACAGAAGCACTGCAAAGCTCCACTAGTAGAAGAACATAAGAAGAAGAACAGCTGATATTTTCTAAAGTAGGATCAACTACCGAGTCGCTTAGAAAGAAATAAAGCTGGAAAGCCTCAAATTGAACATGTGAATCCCAGTCTGCATCATGACCTGTACATAGGATTTTTCTCAGGGTTTCTGGGCAAGAGGCTTAATCTCCGACAAAAGATGACCAAGTAGATTAAAATCTTACTTGGGATCAGGTGGTCCGTCTGACAGTGGCTTCATCGACAGCTTGCAGAGAGAGCGAAAGACCAGAAAAGCATCTTTCTGGAGTATGTGGGAGAATTTAGCACCTGGTGGCTGACCCGGTGCCGCCCCCGATTCCTGAGGGGCAACAAAAAGAAATGTGGGGTTAAAAACCTCTTTCACTGAAATATAAACCTTTAGACTGCTTGACAGTGTGTGATAACAGGCTTCAACATCGACTAGGTCGACTAGGCTCGATCACGGAGAAGTGCAATCAAGCATGACTGCAGAAGGGGATGGATGAAAAATGAAAAGTGGTTACATAAGAAGTTCGAGAAAAGGAACCTTTTTTATTAAATTACAGTAGTTTTCAGCAGTTCCTACAGGGCATATGATTTAATCCCCACCCCACCTGAGTGTCAGTGGATGAGACAGACAGTCGGTCGTCGGGCAGGGAGGGCGTGAAGCTCGCAGAAATGGGCGTGCCGGGGATGCCGTTGGCGTGGACGTGCTCACTGTCGCTCCCCATTGTGCCCTCGTCCCCCAGGGAGCTCTGGGTGCCCTCCATGACCCCTTCAGCCGGCTCAGACTCGGCTGGCTCGCCCTCAGTTCCGGACTCCTTGGCATCAGAGCAGAGGTGTGCAGGGTCCAGGCAGTGGCCTGTGGGGACGGGGGTCTGATCAGTGGACGTCTCCTACCAGCACGAGCCGTTACAGCTGGTGCATTAAAGGCTTCGATATTACGTCTAAAACGCGTTACCATAAACACAAGAGACAACTTCGATGGCTGTGAAAACAAATTTTAAGTTCATCTGAAGGTACTTTTTGGTTGTGAAAGGATACCCGAGTACATCTCTCCAACCTCTACAGCCTGTATTTCAAAATGCTGCCCAGGGCAAGTGTGTTAGGAAAAGAGAGCAAAGCTCCATTTCTTTTGAGTGGACAAGCTGATAAAGCTTTTTTCTTTCTTTTTTTGCTGAAAGAGTAAAATAATGGATTTTTTTCTTTTCTTTTTTTTGGTCAGCATCTGAGGGAAGTTAAGTTAGCCTGACATGACCTAAAAATCACTGTCCAAAGAACCTATTTGTGAAATTGGTGCTCCAGCTTGTTTGCCTGACATCATAAGCACCTAAAGCATTTAAGAAAGGATTGTCTATAAAGTTAAAAGAGAGTTTAAATAAGTCAATTGCCTAGCAGTGGCTGATGTGCAGTCATTTGGTGAGGAACCAACAACTTAAATATATCCTGAAAAGTTCTTTTGGGAGCTGCCCTGAACTAAGGTCCCCTTTCTCTGAGTATAAACAGCTTTGTAAAATTTAGTAGAAAATAAATATAACTGCAGCATGGAGAAAATGTCTCACCTCCTGCAACTGTGTTGACCACCTCCTGGAGAATGCTCTGGACTATTTCCTGGGCTTTTTCTTCATAATTCGGGCCCCCCTCATCACAAGCTCCTTCGTGCTCCTGAGTTGCTGCACCTAAGCAACACATGTTCTTCCTCAGTGCCCACACAGATATTTTCTATTTGAGCGTAGAGTGCAACACAGAGGGCTTGCAGGGCTGAATGTAGAAGCTGATGTTTGCAAAAGCAAATGCTGCTTCTTTCTGCCCAATAGGGCCAATCATGAAACATATTATTTGAAAGAAACAAGCACAAGAACTTGACACTAAATTGTAACCCAATGCATTCATAATTCCTTTTTGAGAGACAAAAATCCTTCCTGTTAAATGGCAGAAGATCCTCCAACTGTTAGCTATTGATGAAGGCAAAAAGGAGAGCGTCTTACTCTGTGCTGCCGCAGTCGCTTGGTCTGCCTCAGTCTGCTCATTTTCAGCCACGCAGAACTCAGAACCGTTTTCTGGATCTGGGCTCTCGTACACGGGCCCCTGCGCTCCCTGCTCTTCCGGCTCCCCAGACACAGACCGCCTGCTGGACTCCGGGGCCGGCGTGGAGGGGGTGGAGGGGGTGGACGGGATGGTGATGCTGGGGGTTGGAGGGCTGACGGGCCCGTTGGCCTCCCGGGTCAGAGCCTTGGCGGGAGGGTTAGGATGAGTCTGGAGATGGGGGGAGTCTGGCTCAGTGTGCTGGGTGACTGGGGAGTGCTGCCGGTGGCGCTCCCGTTCCAGCTGTTTTGCTTCCTGCAGCTGAGGAAGGGGCAGGAAGATGCACAAATACCCACAAAAAAAATAGAAGGAAATGGAGCGGGGAAAGAATTCACAGGGAGCAGGCACGTGCAGCACACACAGACACACACAGAGAAAAATAATAGGTTAAAACATATAGAAACATACTCAGAATTTACAGTTTTGATCAAAGAGGCCATTCTCCCTGGGGACACCACTGAGCCCACAGCTGAGCCTCAACACTTCTACACATCAAAACAGAACAAAAGACCATCAGAGTCTGTCGGTCTTTAAACATCTGGTGTGTCAGCATCGATCAGCTGTGAGGTCATATGGAAATGTACATGAATATGCACTGAGAAATAGGACATGCTGCTCAAACGGCAATGAAACAAACTTTGTGAAATCAATTCATGCTGGCTGGTGTGTGTGTTGAGTCTATTTTAGTCTGCTGGTGGCAGAAAGCATTTCTGGTGGAAAATGGCTCACACAGCCATGCCCTAGCTGATGCGTCATGGCTGACATGTGTTACGACTCCCTCAGAAAGAGGGAGCGATGGAAAGAGTTGCCGTGCTCTAGCTCGGTAGGTTGCGAGCCAAAAGTGGGTCACAAGACAATTACACACAGTTTTGATCTTGCTGATTAGTTTCATATCGCGGCGTGTACTACAGACATGTGACTGCCTCCTGAACGTGGTAACATTTGGCTTCTGGAGGAAATGTTATTTCAACCTTTCGTTTGGGTTAGAAAATAATCATGTGCACAGTTAGATGCATCAGCGACTCGCAGGCTCAAAACAAGAAAGACAGAGAAACTAAACAGAAGAAGCTGAAGTTCTTTCAGCCCGCCAAACTGACAGCAGCCCATGGTGCAGTTTCAGGTTTGCGGGTAATAAAGATTTAAAGGATGAAAAAAGAAATCAAGTTACAAACAATGGAACAAGCACAGCGACACATTTACAAAACATGGTTATATTTCTGTCTAAAGCCGACTGAAATGAGTAGAAATGGCAGTCCTTTGACTGATGAAGCTTTTCCTTTTTTTTTTTTTTTTGGGAATGTATTTCATGTCAACTTAAAATGATGTATTAAACCAACACAGTCTTGTGGTAAGCCACGCTTACTTCAAAAGCTGTTCTGCTCTGATCGAGCTAGCAGCCGCTGTTTTCACTTCTCAGTGAAACGGAATAAATCCAATGACGCGGCCTAAACAAAATGATTAGCATTGAATTGGAGCGTCAACGGACCCAGACAAACACACCTCCACTGGAGGGGACAGGCGAGGCAGCCCAAACTAAGCTCATTATTTAAATGCCACCTCAGTCGTATCGTGAGAGCTGCTCCAGCATGAGAAACACTGTGTGTGATGATGCCACGCTGAGCGGCAGGAAGGAGGACGCCATCTACACTCACATACAGAGAGTGGATCTGCCTGAGCAGCACTGCAGTGGGACGGGCTTTGTCTCTCCTGCTTCAACCCTGACTGCTGCCTTATTTTCCCCATTTACGTCTGACTCATTACCGGCCGCCCATTGTTCCACAAAGAACTACTTTAGGCCTTCAGAGAGGGAAAACATTGGCAGCACATTTACCACGGCCAAGTGTCATTATAAAACCAAGATGTAGCAGGGAGAAGCGAGCCGGTTTGTAGGCATTCAACAGAAGCCACAGCAAGCACACGGTGGAAGAAGGACACAGCATATGCTCCTGTGCAGTGGAGGAGCAAAGGAAGAGAACAGATGAGTGCATGAATGAATGAGGGGGGGGAGCTTAATGCGCAAATACAGATACAGAGAGAGAGGAGTTGAAGAGGTCTGATCAGGCAATGTCACGGCAGTCCTGCACGCTTTACCTGGCGGTCACGCTTTCTGGAGGCCAGAGACCAAGATAGCTTGTGATTTGTAAGCTATGTGTCCAAAAGGAGGGAAGGGAGGCAGGTGAGGAGGGGAAAAGTGTCATTCAAAAAAGAAAAAGATGACATTAGAGCAAGCTTTTTTTTTTCTTTTTTTTTTAAGGCAACATCTAAAATGTCCCTCTGGACACAAAGCAAAGACTTTAGTTTTGACTTTAGTTTATAGATGGTTCAAAATCTTATTTTCCACAGGGTTTCATGCCAATATGTTACAATCAGGCTGATTGTCTCAATGAATAGCTGCATCATGCCAAATTGTTTATGGTTACTACTTATTTGAAGCTGAGCGAGTTTGTCAGTGCCGAGTTTCCTCGGGCAGCGGCTGAAGAGAGGAGCCTCCCTCTGTCTAACGTCTGCATGTTTACATAAACACAACTCTGTGTGTCTGGGTGTTTTCAGAGGGGTGGACATACTGCTTGATTCTCCATGCGTGCAAAGATGACGTTAAGCATCTGCGTGAGTGTAGCCTTTGCTGTGGTCTGGTTGATGAGGTTCTTGCTGGCCAGGTAGATGTTGTAGCAGGTACGGACAGCCTGCAGCACGGTACCCTCGTGGATTTCTATGTGCTGAGAGGTCACAGCCGTCAAGAGAGCCTGGAGCACACCGAGGGGGTGGGGGGGGTGAAGAAGAGGATATGTCAGTAAAACTGCACCCTGATTAGACTTTAAAGCACATGTGGTACTTTTTTTTACCTGTTACCTTTCCTGAGGACGATCATGAAATCTACATATATGAACCACGTCAACTTGTTTTTGTGAGCATTTCCACACAGAACAATCAAGTAATTTTTTGGTCCATTTTAAAGGACAACACAAACCAAAAGATAAAAATATCCATGTAATGTAATTACTGTGGTTGGGCCTTTTGCATTTTTTTTTCTTACAAAGAAATATATCTGATCTAGTCCTTACATGACAATCAAGAAAGTCTTAATCACAGGCATTTAGTGAGTCTGGGTTGCTCTCACAAGGCTATATGCTTCCCAAACCTAAAAGACGTATTTATACCTTATTTGCTTTTTTAAGTCATCATTAGTTCACTGTGCTCTGAGATACGATCCAAGGCCCATGTTTTATGCTGCATCAATTATTCGCCTCCCTGTTTGGAACAGCATTGCTGTGTATAAGCTGCCTTCAGTCTATCATCTTTTATCTAAATCACTGGTGATTTTGCATGTTATCCCCCTTTGACGGGCCTGCCTTCAGCATTGCTTTCTGTGACATTGCTGCCTTATCTTTTATGACTCAAGGCTTCCTTCATACAACCAACTTTTATTTGGTGTATTTTCTGTTGGTCTCAGATGTGGTAGTGCTTCCCTGAGCTCTTCCCGGTTTGACACATGATGATTTACCTCCTTATTGCTTCCTGCACCAAGCCGCAGTCACATGACCGCCTAATGGGTCTTCAAGACAATACCTGTGTTTCAAAAACCCTCATACTATTGATCAAACCATGTTATTCTGTTTGAAAGAGAGTACTTATAAGCATTTTCTCAGATTTCTCTCAAATCTAAGACCAAAAATGGGGGTTAAAGGCTTTCAAAAATAACTTATCAGCATTGTAGGTTTGTACAAACTGCTGCTTAAAAAACTTCTGCTTAATGAAGGGGTGATCATTCAGAGGAAGCAGCACACCTTAATAATCTGTAGCTGCACGCCCTCGTCAGTCTGCGGTCCTTGGAAGCAAGCACAGATGGTCTCGATGATTCTGTCTATGAGCTTCTTGCCCGGAGCTGTGCTGTCCGGTGCGCTGCCCGTCAGGTGGCCATAAGCGATCAGCTTCTGTGAGTCAGAAACACATGTAGATATTTTCACACATGTAGGCAACTTGTCTGACCTGCTACATACATTTTTTGGGGGGACATACAATAAATGTATTCTGGGACTTTTTTCCCCCCTCGTCAGTAAAGATATAAAAAATTATTTGAAAAGCTTCCACATTGAAACACTCATGCAAACAGTTGTAGAGGTGCGTGGTGTCGTGTCCTGCCACTGACCTGTAAACAGTCGAGTGATGTGATGACGATGCGGGGACATTTGGACTGACATGCCAGCTCAAACGGCAAGAAGTACTTGTCGGCTTCGATGAAGTTGGTCTTTGATTTGATTGGCGGTAAAGTGCTGGAGCCCGATTTGCTGTCTCCGCTGGGTGGGCTACAGGGAGGAGAGGGTAGAAAAAGAGGTGGAGGCTATGAGATAAACATCGTGATCCCTCGGCCCGGTTGCTCAAACTGGGGAGAAGAAAGGTTAAAAAATCCTTTTGACAACATCACGCTTCCCTTGACATCCAGACACGACTAACACTGCATAGAACAGTAGCTGTGTTTCGCCATACAGAACAACCTCTTCTTGTTATACAGCTAGAATCAGGATTTAAAACATGCTCAAGCTTAAAAGGCTTCAACCTTTGCGTCTAGCTTCTTGGGGAAAAGGCAGCATGCTGAATTTAATTTAGTGCCTGGCTGCCTCAAATTCTCACTTGATCTGTTCTTAGAGAGAAAGAGAAGTAAATCCAAAGGTTTGTGATTCAGACTCAGACTCTGCCACGTGTTCATGCTGACAAAGCACCTCCTGGCCAACAAACTAGTTCACAAAAATGATACGGCTATTTATTTTTCCAAAATTTTTAAAAGCCAGAGACACAGACATAAATATGCACCATCGTTCTCAGCATCCATGTTTCCACAGCTTCCCCAAGCTGTACTACCACACCCAGACTGCACTGGCTGGAAGAAGAGAAAAACAGAAAGGGCGGGAGGGAGGCAGACAGATAGGAAAGGAGGGGGTGTGAATTGTTTATGTCTTGGCAATGAAAAAGGATGACTTCAGCTGTTTTGAAAGGGACGACCTCACAGAATACAACAGAGCACAATCACAGAGAGTAATAAAAGATGAGAGGATGGAAGCCTCGTTGAAGTGCCTCATAAAGAAAGGGGAAATATTTTGAAGAGGGCTACATGAAATTAGAAGAGAGAGCAGGCCTCAAGTAGCATTAATTAGATAGAAATCGTAGAGTGAAACAGACAAGTGGAGGAAGCTCAGCGAGACAAACAGAATAAAATAACATCACTGCGTTGGCACTAAAGACACCACCACATCTGTCCCTCCCTTTTGTCAGACAGCTAAAGGTGTCAGAAATTGTGATTGAAAATCACCCAAGGGAAAAGTATGCGTCTACTCACATTCATTTAAATAATTTCCAGGCTGTTGCTCTGCTCTAATAAAATCCAGATTTGACAAAACGGCTTCAACTGTGCGCTAGACCACAGTCTACATTTTGCCAGTTCTAGCCAGGGCCAATTCACTTCTGGTTCATTTATCTAAGAAACACATCATTGCTGAATGAGTTCAGACCATTGGCAAATAAATCGACAACATCAAAAAAGGATTTTTTGCAATAATGTAGCCTGTTCTTTGGAAAATAATTCCCAACTTCTCTATTGTCATTTCAAGGAAATCTTCCTATCTGAGACCTTGCATGCAACCATGAATGCACAAAGAGAAGTCATTTAAATAGGATTAGTAACAAAACTATATCTGTATTCATAGGTGGTAAAGCTAGACTTTTCCATATATAAAAGGAAAAATAAGTGAGAGCATTGGAGCCCCTGAGGGGAAGCCAAAGCAGCAGCGTTGGTATGAGCGAGGTGTGGCTGCAGACTGCCTCCACATCCATCTTTGATCTCTAAGTCCTAGACTTAACGGTAAAATTTTGGATGAAAAAAAAAATCAAATCAAATGGAGAGCATGGAGAGAAATGATGAAGAGGAAATGCATGTGTGAGGTGAAACGGTGGGGAATGAAAATGTGAGGGAAATAAATGGGAGTCTGCAGGCAGAGGAAAGAAAGTGAGCGAGGGGAGGCGGCTCTCATGCTACGTCACATTCCAAAGCCCTTGTTACTTGGCAGCCCTTTCATGAGTACGCTGCAAATAAACCCCGCAGTTAACCAGAAAAAAATAAATAAATAAAAAAACTCCGGCAATGGGCAGGGCTTCATGAAGAAAGTAATTAATGAAAATGCGAGGGGGCTGTTTGAAACAGGCCGGAGCAGAGACACAAACAAAAACACACAGCCGGCTGCGAGTATGCGTGCATACAAAAGACACACACAGCTTTCTAATCCCCTTTACTAGCCTGCACACAGGAGAAAGCAACAGAGGGGCCTCTGGCTGAGCCATGAATTTTACAGAGCCTCAACGAACACAGAGAAACAAAACCCATTAAATGACCCCGTCTGCCAGATTGGGTTGCATAATTCACCAATGGCTTACCTTAATTTTTCTGATTCCTCCTTGATTTCCTCTGAAAAAGAGAAGAAAAAAAAAAAACGTAAGTTAGTCCAGTGAAGGCCTTTAGAAAATGTTAATCCTTCAGAACTTTTCTCAGTAAAAAAAAAAAAAAAAGATGTAGATTTACTGGCACACAAACAATTAATCTTACTTATTAAATATTGCCCCCAACTCCCAAATGCAGAACATATCTGTTTATGCAAATCTCATCAGGTGTAATTCAAATACTGTGTTTTTTGTTGCATGAAAGCCCTTTTGTTGCCAAGGTGACAGCCTTGTTTACCTCCCAACAGCAAGCAGTTAGGAGCCTGGTTAATGCACAGCCTCAGATCCTGCACAGTCCCAAAACAGGAATCTTTATTCACTCTGCGCCGCGCGCCAAAGCCAGGCCAACATTTGTGTCGATTTAACAGATTTTCAGGCATGAAAGCAGTTGTATGAAGCACCAACATAGGAGAGCAGAAAAACGAGAGAGAGAGATGCACAGAGGGAGAGATGAGAGTGAGAGGAAGCGACAGAAAAAGAGCTACAGAGAGCAAAAGAGAGGCTGATTGGTACTAGACATTAAAGGGAGGCTTCGATGAGGGAGCTTTTTAAAGCACTGTTGCGACTGGCAGTGTCCACACAGAATTACAGCTGCCCACGGTTGTTTGGGAAAAACCCCTGTCATGCAATGACAGCTTGGTCATTTTCTCTGCCAGAAAGCTAAGAGTCCTTTAAAGAAATCTTTTTGGTAAGAATATTTAGTACCTAACACTCTGTGGCTTTAAATGAAGATTGATTTCAAAGGAAAGTACCTGATGCTCATTTAAAGAGCCAATGAATAGATCCCGTCAAAAAAGGCCCAAAACACTGGTGTGAGATGGCTCCAAATTAGACACCAGATCATCTCATCAGGCATCTTTACCTGGACATACTGAGCCAGGTTTGAACTTATTGCCTCAGTCCTTCTATCATTTGATGCCCAAACAACAGGATGATAGGGTAGAAAATAGAAATATATGGGAGATTCTTGGGTAATGATTTAAATATGAAAACCTACCAAGATTTAAGAAAAAGAAATGTTCACAGATTCTAGAGTCTGCAAAATAGAATTAATATTTTCCCCTTTTCCTGATATATGACATGTTATGAAAACAAAGGGCTTCAACAACTCTTTATCAACACTTTGATCTCTTCATTTTCTGCTGGCCGGCAAATATGAAATGAAATTCACCATAATTTCTAAGAACTCTCCCAGACCAGCCAAAAATTAACGCCTTTTCACGATATGCCAATCACTTAATAACCGCCATATAATATTTTTGTAAATATGTGAAATTAATAATATGTACTCATTCATATCTTCTATTACTCTTATGCGTCCAGTAGTTTGGCTTAACAGTATGCAGGAAACATTTTCATGGAGGAAATTAATTTTCATCCAGTGATAGTACTTCTTATTTAAAACCCATAGCCATTCATTTTCCTGGCATAGATGAATCAGAGGCACAAAAGCTGACACAGAGGATGAAACAATGTGCAGAATGGAGAGGAAGAAAGAGTATTTAAGGGGCAGAAGTCCAAAAATTATTTTGGACATCATAATACATTTGATTTATTTATCTTTTTTTGCCTCCTAAGCTCAACACTTTTTTTTGTAATTTTTTACTTTTACCTTTGAGACCAAATATGACACTTAAAATCTTCTAAATACTCAATTGTGGTGACTTCCTCTAGATTTTCCATACACTGCTGCTTTAACTTACTGAGCTAACCCAGTAGTTCCTGCAGCTACATCAATACATGTTCATACTTATGGTGAACATGAAAATGTCGGGCTCACAATGATGGTGATTGCAGCTGGAAACTTCTCCCTTTGTTTGACAGCTGTTGTTGGATTCACCAAAACAGAGAGATGGGAGAGTTCAAGGAGCTCAGAGCAGAATAAAAAAACACGAGTACATTAACAGATCAGATGGAATTCTTCTTGGCAGTCTTTTCTAAACATGTGCAGACTCCAGGCTGATGTGTCTTTTGGACTTGTAGAGCCTTTACAAACTCTGGGGGAGGACTTTACTGGGTGCTCCTGAGGTTTCCACGGTAAAGTCAACAATCAGTAAAGATTAATCCTTTACTTAAATGTATCCATTTTACTTTGACTTTTTCTACGCAAAGCCAAACGTGATGAAACTGGAACCTAGAGAATGGTGTAATATAACCCAAGTCAAAAGCTGCCTAACTGCCTTCTTCCTGCTTCCTTACTTATTGATTGGGTAACCAGTCTAAAGTTCATGATATGAAGATTACATCAAAGCTATGGATGTCTCTTTGACAGCATGAGCTAATCCCTTCTCAATTTTCCTCCTCTTAAGCACAATCAGATTTGTTCAAATGGAAATAAGAAGACATGCAATGTATACACAGTTTTCTTTATGTCTAAGCAACTAATTGCTTCAACTATAAGAGGCAATAATGAGATGTTCTCTCTCTGCGATTTGAATCCAGAATCTAAGGAAAAATAGCAGTTGGGTTACTAAAGAGAAGGTCCACAACGATCAGCAGAACATGAAAGATAAGGACATGATTTAAACCAAACTGATGATAGCATAAAAAAATCATCTACAAATGGGAAACTTTCATGAGAAAACAAACCAACCGACAGCCCACTTAGCCACTATTCCAAGGACAATGACTTCCCGACAGCAGCAGGACGATTTCCCTGAGTTGTTACAGCTTGAAAAACATAAAGACCACATCTTGATTCAGGACAAGCCCCCCACCCTGCAACCCAAAAGACCACCAACTGCCATTACTTTCAGATGTCCTAATCCAGTCATGATTAGTCACCGGTTCAAGTCACTGTGATAGCTTAAGGCTGATTCCTTTCACAATCCCAAAATGGTCAAAAAAGCTTACATTCAACATGAACACCCATGCATCCATTTTTTAACCGCTTATTCCCAAATGGGGTTGTGGGGGACTGGAGTCTATCCCAGCATTCAAAGGCAGGGTACATCCTGAAGGGTCCCCCAGTCCATTGCAGGGCTCAACGTGAACAGTCTATTGAAATCCACAGGTCTGCACACCACAACGAGTCAATGTTGCCGACCGGTTCAGCATGATTTATTACAAAGGGATAACCCTGTTATAACCACAGTTAGTACTGCAAGTCTGTACAAAAGGAAGAGCACATGTCACTAATATCCCCTTATCACAGCCTTAGTTGCAGACATCTATAAGAAAACATATTTGCTCGAGTCCCTCTGCACAAAGGCTGATATATGACCCTGACTCAACAGCACCATCAGTGAAAAATACATGAGATGATGACATCGGTAGACACGCCTCAGCACATTGGTTCACAGTCAAATGCTGCCTATGTTCATACCACAATGTCGCTCATATAAGGAGCACATCTGAGATTACTGCATGATATCCAGACCACGGGCGATGCTCATGAGTAAGAACTACTACCAGCTGATGTGAAGCATAGCCAGTATTGTGAGAAATGAAGGCACAACAGCTTGTAGTTCGATCAAGAGAGGAAAAACAGCAGCATCACACCCAGTCGCTGAAACTGACAGTGAGCTGTGACAATTGCTGCCAAGCTCTGTATAATTTGTGTTTAAATCAGTGAGCCCCTTCAATCACACTTAGACTGAGCTACCACGAAATCTGATCATGACTTAGATATCAAACACACAACACTGTAGTCGACCCAATGAGTAACTCAAGAAAATCTCACATTCATTTCACCTGTATTAATATGAACTGCTTTGACAACAGAATGTGGACAAATATTAAATAGCTCTGCCGTGACTGGATAAAAACTACAGAAAAGGGAGTTGGCGACATACAATCAATCTTTTGAAATGAAAACTTCCATTAACACATGCAGCATCACAATCCAACATCCTCTCAAGAGAGCACCACAAAAGCAACTGGCCATCTCTCTCCCGCTGCTGCCATTAGCTGCTACAAGACTGAGTTGATTCTCCTTTTTCATGGGCACCACCCTCCCAGAGCACCATGACAAAGCATTCCTTTGCCAAGAGCAGCACAGAAGCATGCTGGGAGTGTCCGCAAAGGGTATGGATAACTAGGACCGTTAATAAGAGGCCCCATGCCCTTCTCGGGTGTGTTTGGGCTAGTGGAATGTGTGTTGTGCAACAGCACAGAGAGCAAATGTAACACAAAAGTTGCCTCTAATGCATCTGATGCTTTGAAAAAGAGGCTTAATTTATGTAAGACACAGATGTCACAGAAATGACGTCATATTGACCCCAAAAGGCTTGATTTAGATGAAGCGTGGAATATGAGATTAAGCTACATAATTAACAAACCAGATAGCCAAGACTGTTGGCTATGTAAACCATTTCTTGGTTATCATATGGAAGTAAATATGTGCCATCAGAATTTGAATAAAAAATACCTCTGAAATTTGAATGTTGTATATTAGTGCTTACTTTTTCAGTATTAAAATAAATTCAGAATATATTTTTAACCTAAAAAAAATTCAATGTCATTATTTGTACATTAAAAAAAAATTCAGTGTAATTTTTTTTACATGGTTGCAATTTTCAGTTATTAAAAAAATTCACATTCCTATTTCAAAGTGATCAAATTTTCAATATACATATTTTTCACAGTTTAAATTTTCAGTGTTAAAAAATTCAGCATATAAAAAATTCAACTTTTCAAAATTCAAATGCAATATTTTCGTTGTCCTCCAATTCAACTTGCTCAAATTCGCTGTCTCAAATTCAGTGTCTAAAAATTTGCTGTAAAAATGGCCAATGTTACTTCGTGTCACAGACATTAGCAATGGATGTCCGATTCAACATCCACCTAATCACGTGACCCAAACCAGTGTTTTAAATCAGGCTTTAAGATAATGTATCAAACTTCATGCGCAAAATAAAATATACTACAGAAATATGAAAGCATTAAACTCACCGTTGGGTTTGAGTTCGCCTCCATGGTCGCCAGCCTGGGTTTTACTGGTACTTCTTCAATATGACGGTTGTGT